AGGTAGGGAATTGGTTGTTCCCCTTTGCACAAGGCTCATGGACCGAAAGGTCTCCTACAGGTTTTTCTGGCTGTTGGCAAATCTTTGACAGGGGCTGAAAGCAAGGCTGTGCTTTTGGGGTTGGAGGTTTTGTCTCCTCTGAGGGCAGAACTGCTGCTGTCACACCATGCTAGATTCTATTTGCTTGAACTTGAGTTATCCTTAAGTCATGGTAAAGTGAACACTACCTTCCCTCGGAAGCCCTACCCTACCTGGTGGTGCTGTAAAGAAAGTAGAGCCTCAGCTATTTTTGCTTTTCCACAAGTGTTCTTGTGCTTTAAGTCACAGTTATTTTTCCAGACACAAACATAATTCTACCATGAACTTCATTCTCACTGACCCCCCTGATTTCTTCAGTTTTGGAGGCATGACTCTCTGATGCTCCTGTTATCCCTGGGTTATGCCCTCCCCCTTTTCCTCCCCCTTTTCCTCCCCCTTTTCCTCCCCCTTTTCCTCCCCCTTTTCCTCCCCCTTTTCCTCCCCCTTTTCCTCCCCCTTTTCCTCCCCCTTTTCCTCCCCCTTTTCCTCCCCCTTTTCCTCCCCCTTTTCCTCCCCCTTTTCCTCCCCCTTTTCCTCCCCCTTTTCCTCCCCCTTTTCCTCCCCCTTTTCCTCCCCCTTTTCCTCCCCCTTTTCCTCCCCCTTTTCCTCCCCCTTTTCCTCCCCCTTTTCCTCCCCCTTTTCCTCCCCCTTTTCCTCCCCCTTTTCCTCCCCCTTTTCCTCCCCCTTTTCCTCCCCCTTTTCCTCCCCCTTTTCCTCCCCCTTTTCCTCCCCCTTTTCCTCCCCCTTTTCCTCCCCCTTTTCCTCCCCCTTTTCCTCCCCCTTTTCCTCCCCCTTTTCCTCCCCCTTTTCCTCCCCCTTTTCCTCCCCCTTTTCCTCCCCCTTTTCCTCCCCCTTTTCCTCCCCCTTTTCCTCCCCCTTTTCCTCCCCCTTTTCCTCCCCCTTTTCCTCCCCCTTTTCCTCCCCCTTTTCCTCCCCCTTTTCCTCCCCCTTTTCCTCCCCCTTTTCCTCCCCCTTTTCCTCCCCCTTTTCCTCCCCCTTTTCCTCCCCCTTTTCCTCCCCCTTTTCCTCCCCCTTTTCCTCCCCCTTTTCCTCCCCCTTTTCCTCCCCCTTTTCCTCCCCCTTTTCCTCCCCCTTTTCCTCCCCCTTTTCCTCCCCCTTTTCCTCCCCCTTTTCCTCCCCCTTTTCCTCCCCCTTTTCCTCCCCCTTTTCCTCCCCCTTTTCCTCCCCCTTTTCCTCCCCCTTTTCCTCCCCCTTTTCCTCCCCCTTTTCCTCCCCCTTTTCCTCCCCCTTTTCCTCCCCCTTTTCCTCCCCCTTTTCCTCCCCCTTTTCCTCCCCCTTTTCCTCCCCCTTTTCCTCCCCCTTTTCCTCCCCCTTTTCCTCCCCCTTTTCCTCCCCCTTTTCCTCCCCCTTTTCCTCCCCCTTTTCCTCCCCCTTTTCCTCCCCCTTTTCCTCCCCCTTTTCCTCCCCCTTTTCCTCCCCCTTTTCCTCCCCCTTTTCCTCCCCCTTTTCCTCCCCCTTTTCCTCCCCCTTTTCCTCCCCCTTTTCCTCCCCCTTTTCCTCCCCCTTTTCCTCCCCCTTTTCCTCCCCCTTTTCCTCCCCCTTTTCCTCCCCCTTTTCCTCCCCCTTTTCCTCCCCCTTTTCCTCCCCCTTTTCCTCCCCCTTTTCCTCCCCCTTTTCCTCCCCCTTTTCCTCCCCCTTTTCCTCCCCCGGTTGGGGCTGGGGGTAAAGCAGGTGAATCAGCAAGGAGAGGCTCCACTTGCCGTGTGTGGATTACCACTGCAAAGCCGAGACTAGCACTACTGATCTGTAAATGCATGAACTGTTTCCCATCTGAGACCCTGCTTGAAATGCCTCTGTTACATTAAAAAACAACTGGGGAGGTGGGGAGTGGTTGTTGAGCCTTGACAATAGCATTACTACTAGGTTGGAGAGAAACTAGCCTTTATTGCAGGTTGTATCTTTGAAAGAGGTTTGTTGTTTTGTTTTGTTTTTTCCAGCAGGAGTGTTAGCTTCTGTAAAAGCCTTCCAGTAATGTGTTTTAATAGTTGAGCAGAAAGAACAGTTTTAAGATGGCATTTGCAGAATTTATTGTTTACTAAGTAACATGTTTTATCCCTCAGAATAGATTATTTTCAGGGCTTTCTAGGACATTAAATCCAGCACTGTGTCCCTCAGAGGGCAGAGCAATTTCTGGAATGATTTTTCATCATAAGTCACGAGGGTATTTTTTCCCTTCTTAGCTTTACCAGCCCTCTGCTTTCCTCTTTCCATCTCAGAGCAGCTCGATATTCAAGTCACTTGATTTTTGGTGAGAGCAGTCTGTGCTGTACTGGCGAGTCATTATTTGGATGCAAAGTTGTGCTGATCCTCCCCTTGTGTTAAAAGGGGACCCTGGCATCCCTGGCATTATTTTTTTTGCTGTGCCCTCTTCAGGTGATTAAAGGTTCCTCTTGCTGCTGGTGGTGGCTGTAACCTGCATTTGCCGTTCTCATTTCTTTCACATTTGTTATGCAAGAATTATTAAGGAATACTTATTTTAAAACTTCCTAAGATACTTCGTAGTGATGTTTGTGTCTCTCTTATTTTTCCTTTGCACTGGACATGTAGTATTGTCTGCCAGAAATAAACAGTTTGATTTCCCACCTGTGATTGCTGCAATGAATACGCTAAGACTTTGTTAATTTGCACTCATAATTGCATATTACATATTATGATTTACCCAGTTTTGCAAGTTTATCAGACAAACAAAGCATACCAAATAGAGATCAGTCATTGCTGGCTGATTTTGATATTCAGGTTTAGCTCAGGATATGTTAGTAATACTGTACACTGGAATTTGTTAAGCTGATCTTTTCAAAGACAGATTTTTAAACTGTAGTCATTAGCAAAACTTCCTACGGCGTTGCGCAACATTTTACAAAGACATTTTTAGTGCTTACCCGCTTAACACGAGATTCAGTCTACTTAATTGTGCCAATATGATTTCTCTTGGCTTTTTTTGTGCATTATTGCCTTTTAAAGCTAATACGGTCTAAAAAGGCATTTCTTACAAGTCAGCAGTGATACTGCACATAAACTAAAAACATATTTTGATGGTAGTAAGTATGAGAAAAACAGACTGTAGTGTCTCCACCTGAAGACAGTGTGTATATTCTATATTTTCTTTAGGCTGCACGATGTTAGGAGAGCAATACTTCTTGTCTATTGTATTTTCTATCCATGCTTCAGGCAAATATTCAAGATGGTTTTTTTACCTCCATATACTGCTTTCTGCTTGACACAGCCAAATATATTCCAGGTTTTCATTTGTACATTGTAGACTCTTGTAAAATGTAGGCAGACATGTAAGTGAATTTTGGTCATGGATTCCTAAGAAGCTGTATTTCTTCTCTCTTTGAAGAGCTGCTAATATAAAAGAACTTTATAATTACACAGAATTTTTTAGATGGTAGTTTTTACTTCACAGCCAGGCCAGGTGTTGTGGGTGGAAGTGGCTTGTGCGAGTGTCTGCTTGGCCTTATGAAATGAAGTCAAGGAGAAGGAAAATGCTTTAGAAAATTTTGGAATAGTAATGCAAGTTTTTACTTGAGTTTAAATTTACCATTTTCTAACATAATGTCTTGTTTTAATTTCACATTTATTTCTGGGTGTACAGATTTTGCAAGTCTAGTAGGAGTACAATCTAGATATAGTGTTACACATAACACAAGTATCTATTGAGAATGTGCAAATTGAAGTTTTCCAAAATATTTCTTGGCCAAATGCCAGCAGTTTTTCATTGTACATTATGTAATGTAACAATATCCATCATACCAAACAATATCTCAGTTTCCAGAAGGTGACAGGGAAAGGGGTGCTGCAGCTCCCCAAAGTAAGAAGACAGTTTTCCTAACTTCGGAAAAAACTACTTCGTTAGGTTTGTTCCTGAAAATAGTTGAAACATTTGCTTGAATTTTCAAAACAAATAAGGTTTGCATGTCTGGCATGCAAATTGCATCCCAGGAGGTTAAAGACTGGCAAAGTTATAAGCAAGGGAAAGCAGAATTTTACGATGTTTGTTCTGATTATAAATGTAAGGTTACCAAATATGGTAGGCCAAAGGATGGCTCTGTTACATAAAGATGGTTGTGGAAGTCTTAATTTTTTTCTGTATTTCAAAAAAAAATATTTGTTTTGTAGCCTGTGGTCATATTAATTTGTGCTATAAACACACTTGTGAAGAAAGGCTGGCTTGCAAAATATTTTCTTTTTTATTTTCTCACAGCTGGGTTGGAGTTTAAGTTGCATTCTCCTCTTGTTCTTTGAGGAATTCTCACCGTGATTTGTGATTACCTTTTAGAAGTGTGTACCTAATTTAAATAGAACAGGGAATTTGTGTATTGCATGCATAGCATGCAGTTTCAAATAGGAAGAATAATTTCTCTTCAACTGTGCTTCCACTGTCAGTGTAATCTGGCATATACCTTGGCCGTGGAAAGGGGGATTTAGTGCGCAGAAGTAGCTCGGAGCTGGATCTGTTAAAAACTAACCTATCACTACTATTAGTTTTCATTTTTGAATTGGCACAAGGGAAGGATTGGAAATGAGCGGATAGAGATGGAGAGAAAGTAGCATCGCCCCATCTGGCAATAGCACCGACGTGTGCCATGCTAAGCTGATGGTGGAACTCTAAAACAATTTTCAGAATGAATTGTTTTGCTTCGTTTTGTACCTTCATCAGCTCAATCATTGCAGCACAAAACAGGCAGTTCTTCCCATTATTCTTGCTGAAATAGCACAGCAATCTTGATACAGAAAGGAGCAAATGAATACTGTTTATCTTAAATTGCTTCAGCGTGTTTGTGGTGCTGTATTTGTAAATATATTATTTGCAGTGATTTGCTTTGTATCAGATGAATTATTGAATCGAGTTTGTACAGGTTCAACATAGAAAAAATAATTTCCTGTGTTTTCTTTTTTAGCCTTCTGTTGAGTCTTCAAGCCCAGGTAAATATTTTTGATATTTCCTAAACTTGTGAGGGAAGAGGGCACCCTTGAAAAATTATTTTTTGCTGGTCTCTTCCAGTCAGTAATTTAATTTGATGCTGAGATTGATGGCGGTACTGGTTTAAGCAGTCACTGCTTTCTTCCAGTCTGTACCAGCACAAGTTTCTAAATGGTAAAATACACTGGGGAACTACGATTCTTGCCTTTGCAAAAGCTGCACGAGCACACGTTGGGGAACGCTGGCATCCTGGGGAGCACAGGGGGCGAGTGCTGGGGGCGAGGAAGAGGCTACTTCACCCAGCGGTGGGGTTGCCATCCCTCCAGGCGTGGCTACCTGGTGGTGGTAAATAGCTGAAAGTTAAGGCCCTGTGTGCTCTCAATTAAGAGATACACCATTGCTGGATGTTTTTATGCGTAATAGCAGCAAGAGCAAAAGCAGCAAGAAAAGCAGTATCTTTTACCTCACTGGATTACTAAAAATGAGGGGTTTCATGACTTCTGGTTTAAAGCTGGTTATTCTATGATATTCCAGTATCCCAGAGCTACCAGCTCTCTAGTAGTCAGCCTAAATTCAAATTATGAATATTTGGGATTCTTTTTTTTTTGCTTTGGTACCACTGTACTTAGTGTTATTTATTTCCAAGCTTTTTGGCATCCTACCAGTGGAAAAGCTTTCCAGTTACTTTAGCTGGACTGCGGTTGTCTCTTGAGCTCTTACTCCTTTCAGAGAAACAATCAATTGCTTTAACACTTAAAACTACAAAGTGTAGTTAACTCTTAAAGTCAACCCCTCCCTCTTACACTCTTCCAACTTTGGAAAATTAAATTTAAATTGACCCCGGAGACAAGTGGAAAAACGTTAGGAGGGTTAGAATTAGACATCAGGTATTGCTGAATTAAATAAAAATACTGCATCTGCCAAACCATTCATCCATTCATTTATTTTTCATTGTCACAAAATATAACCAGACTTCTCTACAAAGAACTGTGGAGAAAAAAAAAAAAAAAGTGGGGAAAAATAACTAAGGATTCTGCATCATAAATAAAATCTGCATAACTCTGAAGCTTACTTTAAATTCTGGAAAAGTTATTAGGCTGTCTTTGTAGTTGTAAACAAGAAAGCTTCCGAAGTAAAAAGGAAACAACTGCCCTGAGTTTATATTTTATGAGTATTTCTGCTCCCAGTAGAATTCTTGATTCAGGCAGGATTTATGGTTATTTAAGAATTAAGCCTTGAAAACCTGAACGTTTTACAGACATTTAACTAGGGGCCCGATGTCCAGATATATAGTGCTGTGAGAACTGGCTGGTTAAACAGTATCTTCTGGTTCTTTTTTCCATGATCTCTTACTACCCAAAGGACAGCTTTCCCTGTCCTCTGAATAATGCGATTGGCTTTCCCTAAGATAAATGATTGAGGGATTTTGAAGCTATTTTAATTTCTGAGTATAATTTGAGTATTAAAATGTCACCAAAATAAAAAATTAAACTCTTGTGAGGCCATGATCTAACTAAAAACATTCTTTAAAATGTTTTCTATCAGGAGGTTCAGCAACATCTGATGACCATGAATTTGATCCATCAGCTGATATGCTGGTGCATGACTTTGATGATGAACGGACATTAGAAGAGGAGGAAATGATGGAAGGAGAAACAAACTTCATTTCTGAAATAGAGGATCTTAACAGGGTAGGTAGCCTTAAGTAGTCGTAAAACATAACCACAGCCCACAGTCTCACACAAAACGTGCAGGTTTTTTCCCTTCTATTTGGAATTTAAAAAAAAAAGCACCCCTAAAATACTAATAGGCAAATAATATAGATGGGGGAAAGGGGCTGAACTAAATCTGCAGTTCCCAAAAGTTGGGAAAAGGAAACTGGTACCTAAATACTTCATAATGTATAACGCTGTGCTTGTTTAGTTTCTTTTTGCATAGATATGCTGGCATAGAATTTGCATTCTAGAGCTAATATAAGTTAAAGTACACTGACTAATCATGTATATTCCCATGTTATTTTCTAAAGCACTTGCACTTGATTAGTGCATATAGATTTAGATTTTTTTTTTTAATTCTCATAATGTTACATTTCTTTTGCATTTTTATACAGACATTTGTGTAATACTTTAGTGGAGCATATAGGGGTGTCTTCATTTGTAAAACAGGAAAAACGGAGATGCAGATGAAATGATTTGGTCAAAGAGTTGTCAGTGGAGCTGGGATCAAAACTCACAATTATTGTTAATAGTGATAAATAAATTTTAAAATGTATATCTTCTGAAGTAATTGCATATAAGATTTATTTGGCATTTTGAGGTTATGCTGTCACTTATGTATTGTCTTAAATTATTTCTCAGGCGGGAATAATATTCTTAAATTGCAGACTAGGTTCATTATAAATGCCAAGTAATTTAGATATTGTCTGTGACCTCATTGGCTGAACAGGCTTCCAGAACAGATCATTCATGATTCTCGTATGCATATTTGCTGTACAAATCCTATTTAGTATAAATGATTATGCCAATATGACTTTAAACTAATTTAGTGCATTTAATCTGCATTTCGGGTGTAAATGATAATTTCTGGTAATTTCAAGTTTGATATTAAATGGTAAACATGAAGATAAATAAATAGTTTGTGAATCTAAATATGCTTCATCTAGATTAAATGGGAAATGGAGCTCCACATGTGTGTCATGAGGTTTTTAAGTTGAAAATAACGTTGGTTTTTTTTTTTCCCCCCCCTCGTAATTTGTGAAGAGTCAACATCTGGTTGTGTAATTCTATCACCACATTACAAAGCTTCATTTATAACTATTTCAGTCATCAGTTTACTCCCTCACACCTTGGTTGTCGGGCTGGAAGTTTATAATTTCTCTCTGTGTCAGCTCTCTTGTGATCAGGACGGTGAGCGGTGGTAGAACTCAGCTTCCCAGGGCTGGGGGCGCTGGCAGCGCGCGCTGCGGTCAAGCTGGACGTGAATCGCAGGGGGGGCTTTTACGGAGCTTCAGACACTTCCATGCCAGCAGGATCTTGCTAGAGACCTGTAGCTCCTTCTAGTTGTGGGATAGCAGGCCACACATCAAGGCTTACTTTTATCTCTTTTTTTTTTTTTTTTTTCAGTCATGGAAGGCAAGCAATCTAAATCTCAAAACTATTGTCGAGACGAGTGCTCTCCTGTCTTTTTCTTTCCCCCGACATTTACATGTATTATTTCATATTTCCCCCAGGCTGTGAATGTGCCTGATTTACTAGTTCAGCTCCTTCAGAGAGGAGGTGGCAGTCAGGTTTTGCAAAAGAATTTTTGAACCTCAGTGGTTTTAACTCCCGAGTGTCGTAAAAATTGCACCTTCCTCTGAGGGTGAGGATCTTTTTCTACTCATTGGTTGAAACTCTGGTGAATCTGTAATTCAGTAGCACTTGTGCTTGAGTAGCGTCCTGCATTTGTCTGTGCAAGTATGTGTGGTAGTAGCATATCTGTGTCTCGAGACCTGAAGGCACCCTCTCTGCTGCCCTAGGATAGGAAAAAATAGAGTTTCCTGAGAGCAGAACAGTACTTGAAGGGAATCAGAAGTATTGGATTTGGTGGTTCTTTGTGATATTTCTTCGAAAGGTGAGAATTTTCCTTGGATGGGAAAGCGATCTGTGAGGTGGTACAGCAGACTATCCTTGATCGTATCCAGACATGTATTCAGTGAAGACTATTTTTGTGTGTAGGAGCATCTGTACCAGATCTGACCAAAGTCCTGGCTAAGCAGTATTCCTCCTCCAGCAGCCCGAGAGGCCGTGCTCGGGAAGGTGTGCCTGGGAGGGGGCACTTCTCTCGGCGTCCTGGGCACACTCTGGCACTGCGGTTTTCCAAAACATAGGAAACTTGGCAGCGTAGTTTTGGTAGGAGAAAGCTGCGTTCACACTCAGTCTTGGAAATAATAAACGGGCAGACCCCAGCAGGTTGCAGAAACTTGACATTCTCTTGCTCTTAGCTAAGCTGCCTGTACAGAGCATCGGCTGGAGGGGGTGTGACGTGGAGGGTTTGGTGAGTGTGGGGCCTGGTTCTTTACCTTTGTGCTGCCCCGTCTCTGGGCAGAGCACTGCTGGGTGGTGTGTGTGATGCCTCGCTGCTTTACTTACGGATCTTTAAGGCTTTGACTCCCTCCCTTTTTCCATTTGTTGTTCCATATAATCACTTGGTTTCTCCTCTCGGGGTCCCCCTTTTCAGGGAGGGCTCTTGGGTTTTCTTAGGGTTATGCACCAGCATTCTCTTGTCTTTAAATGAGAAAACCATACATGGAAGTGTGCAGTGTTTCTCCCAAATACTCTTCCAGTCCCTAGCAGGGTGCAGTTCAGGCACGTATGAAAAAGATGTTGTCTCTGTCTGTAATGTTGCCTGTCAGTCTTATTTTTCCTCCTCCTGTGAAGTTGTCCGTTTGATTTTTTTAACCTCTGTGAACTTGGTGCCCACGAGGCATATAGCAGTGTGGCACAGTTCATTTGGTGTGAGAAATATGTTTGGTTTTTCAGACCTATTCCGTGTTCATTTCAGTGGTTGCCTCTGAGCTCTTCACTCAGAAGAGTGTACAGTCATTTCTATTTACCTTCTCTGTGCTGCGTATGATAGTTCTGTTATATCACTCTCCCTCACGGACCTCTACTCCAGACGCATGAGTTAGAATCCATTTCTTGGTATTAAGCGTCTTCCACACAAGAAATTTCCGTGTCTTTGGTAATCCTTGGTACTTTTTTAACCTTTCCTATTTTTGCGATATCCTGAAGTGGTACAAAAATCAAGATTTGTATTCTGCCTTGGAGAGTTGCTGGCCCTTGGAGCTTTTTGAATTGTAATGGACTATTTGGAGTTAAGAGGCTCTACCTAAGAAAAATGTTGTAAATACAATACCGCTTAGCTAGGTAACATATAGTAAGTAATATGCCTGTTACGTAGTTCACACATACCTACAAATTGCAGTAAAAGTTCTTTTTAATTCTCAGTCTGTATCTACAGATGGGGTAGTGGTGAGGAGTGCTTAATGAAAGTATATTACTTTCTAAAAATGTACTGGATAATTTGTTTGGATAATTACAGATAGGATTTTTCTGATAGCTGTACTGTCAGGTTTTACTTAAGACTACAGTCCTGTCGTGTTATCTGCATCAATAAAAAATGAATTCCTGTTGTCTAAGAGTTCTTTCCATAAAATGATAGGATAACAACCAAGAAGTCAAGAGAGAAGGTGAGGACATTTAGGTCTACGTGGTATGCATCTTCACTGAAGAGTAGATGAATAAGTGGTAGAATGTCTGAGTTGTTTGAAGTAAAATAAAGTACATAGAAAACGAGTACTCGTAACACCTCTACTACTCTTACTTTTGCACAAGAGGACTAACTACACTTGCCTTTTGTAACTGGTATTGTTAGTATGCTTCCAGAAACTAGACATGTTGATGAGTGAAGGCCCTTAGGATAAGGTTCATTGGAGGAAGTATAAGGTCAGCTGATAACTGATAATCAGATTTTTTTTTTAGTTGAGATGTAAATTACATACTAAGAAGAAATACTCAGAGCAAGCAGAAATCTCATTGGGGATGCCATATACTGCCCCTGAAGGCTGGATACTGAGGTATTAAAAGTAATAAAGTAATTTTCAGGCCCAGCAATTAATATTTTTTCTTAATAAAGTGAATGCAATTGTTAAGAGTTTGGGAGCCACTACATTTGAGAACTGACTGTATCACTTGAAACGTCTCTTCAGAGTAGACCAGCATTCTAGATACAAAGATTTTTTAAATGTGCACATATTTTAGCAGATGTGCTTTCAACTGTGGATGGTTCTGTAGACAACTAGCTTAAAATGTACATAAACCTGTAAACATTACTACTGTCTTTACCTGGATATCAGATGATCCTGAATATAAGGTGACACTCACCCCTAACCAACACCTTATTTTTTGTTTTGCCCAGAAAGGGGAGAAGTACCGAGGGAGGTACTTTTAGGTGTAATTTTGCGTTCAAAGCCAGGGTTGTAGAACTGTGTGGAACTGTCGCTGTAGTGCGACTCCCCAGATGAAGATTTAATTCCACGTTCAAGCCAGGTACTGCAAGTTTCTGGTCCTTATTCTGCTGAATTCCTGGGGACGCTGCAGAGCAGAAATCCCTGCCTTGCACTCGGACATGATCCTGCCTGCAAAAACACTCCGTATCGTAGCTGTCTGTGTGAAGCTGTTGCTGCTGACATGCATTTTATCTTTTTTTTTTTTTTTTTTTTTTTTGCCCCCCACAAATAAGGACAAAATACTACAATTTTTTCAGGTAGTTTTTGGGCAGTGAAGGGAATACCCATATATATTCCACTAAGGAGTGTGTTCTCTTTATGTCTGAAGGGTTATGATGTAACCAGATGGAACCTGCCACGTTGCAGTGCTTGAGTTTTGGTAAAATAGTAGTAGGCAAGTATTGAGGGCAGGGATGGGCCATACTGCCCTTTTGTGCCCTTTTAATGAGCTTTATGGCCCTTTTGAGAGGTTGTTGATACATGAGGTGTGCTGTAAATTTAGAAAGGATTGGGAAATAAAAAGTTCCCCTGCATTAAAAAAAAAAAACATACATTTTTCTTAGGAGCCAAAACTTCAAATGTTGACTGTCCATAATTTTGAAGTGGCCATTCTTGGTATATATGATCATCATCTCTGTTTTTGCTGTGTAATGTTTAAAGTGCACACCTTTCAGCTGTAGAGCAAGCGCGGGATGTTGAATACTTTTGTTTAAAATCTCAAACTTTGTTTGGATGTTTATCAGGAAAGCGATATGCCAATCCAGGAGCTACTTAGCCGTTACGGCTATGATGGTGCCATTCCTCTCCAAGAAGATGATGATGATGAAGAAGATGAGGAGGAGGAGGAGGAGGGAGAAGATGATGATGACGTTGATAATGATGACAACAGTGGCTGTAGTGGTGAAAACAAAGTAAGTGTTTACAGTAACTCGAAAACGATTTTCATTGCAGCCTTTCTGTGCTAGACAACCACTCGAGGTGCCAGATCATGACAGAAGTAATTTGTAATATTGTTGATTTCAGATGCTTTGTGTGCTGAACTCTGATGTTTATTCTTAATTACCCATCTGTATTTCTCTTGATTGCTCTTACTTTCATCTGTATCGTTCCAAACTTGCTGAGGCAAATGAGAGTATATGTATGCATATAGCATCATGTAAGAAGGGATTGTAATTGTCCTTCAGAAACTTCAAAACCGAGGCTTTAAATGCCTGAAGACACCTTTAGAGATACGACCGAATACTTGTTTCAAGATGAAAAGCTGATCGGTGAAGTGTGGAATTGAATTAAATGTGTCTCTGAGTATTGGAGGTTGCTGCCAGTTTTCTAGCTTTATCATTTTAAATTGTATCTTTTCAGCCTGGCAGCCCTGGCTGTGCTTAAATTGTTAACTGGATCTAATGCTTCAAGTATCTTTGCAAAATGTATAGGTTTGAACTTGGCATCCTTAAAATTCTGTTCTATGTGCTCTTAAAATAAACTCTCCGATTTTAGAAGTAGATCTTTTCTACTTGTGTATGTCATACGTATTTGTAACAGTCGTGTCCTGTCATGGGCACAGCTGTAACATCTCCATTACTGGTGGCATTCAGCGTCGCATCCTAAATTCCATTAAAATATGAAACCCTTTGCATTGTCAGTCACAAAGAAGCTTAGGCATTAATGGAAGTTGCCTTATCTAATCTGGCTTTAAAAAGGATGCATTTTGGGGTTTTTTGATATCTCACTCATTTTAGAATCTCTGGAATGCAACAGAGAGATGAGGAATGATATATCTGATTAACAAATGAAGTTTTTAGGATTTACAAACTCCCTTGACAGATGCTGTAAAAGATGGCTATCTTTATGGGTTAAATAATTGAAAAAGAAGAAAGATCCATAGTTATACCACATCAAAAAAGGTTCAAGAAGCTGGAGAAGGGGAGAGACTTACATGACATGAAGTATGCGAAATTTGGATAAGACGCAAAAGTGTTTTATTTTGTTGTGCGTGGTGGTGTTCCCGAATTCCCGCTCTCCTCTTGCGTCTGCTGCTTAATTACTTCCTGACACAGCTTCCATCTTCCATGTTCTCATGGCCTCCCCTGCAGTTCTCCTGTTGTTCTGCTACTGCCTGATTTAAGATACGGTCTGTCTTTTCTCTGACCCGGGTAGAACCTCGGCGTCTGTCACCGCTGTTAGCAGCGAGAGCAGCATCTTTGTCCCTTTGTAGCGCTGCGGAGCGAGTGCCCCCGTGCCCGGCAGCGGCAGGAGCTCCCAGGCTGGCACCCTGACCAAACCCCGGGGTGTAGCCTGATTGCAGACTTGGCACCACGGCTGGCTTGCGTGTGTGTTGGCCTCTCGTACCCCAGGGCTGGGAGGGCCTGGAACGGAGCTGGTGGGGAGGACGGGGCGCAGGAGAGCTGGCTGACCTCTCAGGGTGGTTTGCCTCGGGCTCCGGGAGCGAGAGCTCCAAACTGCCTGCGCGCTCTTAGCAGAGAGGCAGTAAAATACATCTGTGGGGGTGGAATAATTTTATAAATCATTCAAGCTTTCTCTGCAAGTGCTCATCTTTCTACAGCTTATTTAGCTACACTGCACTTAGCTATTTTCTATTTTTAATCTGCTTTAAGCTGCGCATGTGATAATACTGTGGTTGCTGGTGAAGGTATACATAAACATGTGCTGTGCCTACTGCTTCTGTGTTAGAACTAGCAAGCATGAGTGCTTACAATATAGTCATAAAACACAAAAAAGATCCTGACAACATGCACTGAAATAGAAAACACTGACCTATTTTTTTTTTTTTTAACCTTTGCCATTTTAATTTTCCTTAACTGTAGTAATTCTCACAGTTGTGGTTTATCTTCTAATAAAGAAATTTGTTCTAATTTTTCATCTTTTAATGACCCAATGTACATACTCAAGTCTACTGTTATGCTATTCCTGTGAGGTTGAACCACACTGTTTATGGAAGGACCTGTCCCTGGAAGGGTTCAAGGCCAGGTTGGACAGGGCTGGGAGCCCCCTGGGCTGGGGGAAGGGGGCCCTGCCCGGGGCAGGGGGGGGGACTGGGGGGGCTTTGAGGTCCCTTCCCCCCCCCCCCAAACCAGCCTGTGATTTCCATCTGACTGAGAAAAGTATATCTAGGAAATAATCCCTCCCCTTTTTGTTGAAAATTCCTAAGGAGGAGTTTTAAAGACCAAAGTAAAATTGAAAGTGAAATGAAATTAAATGAAAACTGTGAGGAATTGCTTGATTGATTTAAAAAACCAGGTGTGGTATTTAATTGTGGTTCATATTTCTGATTTGTATGTTAGCATCCGAGTGCTAAATTGATCTGCTTAAAATCCTCGCCAATAAATAATATGATGTGTTTACACATTTACTGTGGCTCAGTCTGGCCAGGCCACAATCTATACAGTTACTTTGAGTCAGATAAAAGATACTTGGGTTTGATATCTTGACGGTTTTGGAAAAAATACTGCCAAAATAGTGTTTGTCACATACAACAGATAGCTGATTTCCTATTTGTTTCTTTATATTTAAGGAGGAGATCATAAAAGATTCATCAGGTCAGGAAGATGAGACACAGTCATCTAATGATGACCCAGCACCATCTGTTGCTTCTCAAGATCCACAGGAGATAATTCGCCCCCGTCGATGTAAATATTTTGATACAAGTAGGTACAGTTTAGTACTAAGCACAGTAATCTCAATATGATCGAACTTCCCTTAAGCTCTAGTTAACATAGTATTCTGTTTCAGAAATACGGATGCTGATCCCTATAAACATTTGTTTATTCTCTTTTATAACATTGCTCTTGATTTTCATTATGCTCAAAATAATAGGCAAAGAAAAACAAAGCCCTATTTCTAGCTGAATGCGTAATCTTCTCTGCAGATAAGGACTGGAGATACTCTCTCTTCTTAAAGGATTAAATTTGTGGAAAATTTTAAATTTCTAGAGTTTTAAAAAATTGGCTCTCAGACAGTACGAATCCTTTCATGACACTAATCCAAGTGTTGTAATAGGCCAGTTTAGGATCCTGCAAACTGGTTTGTATAGATGTGCCCTTCAGAAAAATTTTCTTGTGCACGGAGTCCAGGTGCAGTAAATGACCGTTTAGTGTGATATAACCTTACCATCACAGTTTCAGCTGCCAGTTCAGACTAAGGACATAGGTAAAAATAATTGCAAGTAGGAGATGCACCGTTCTGGCTAGATAATTGCTGCACAGTGCGTGCTTATCATGACAGGGCCTGATGACACCGCGTTACGTGCTCATTCGAAGAAGGTGAGACTCCAACTGAAGGAAAAAGTAAAAATTGACATGTACTAGAAATAGAACCCCAGATTTCTTCAAGATTGGTAATACAGATAGCAAAGGCAATGAAATCTGAAAAAGGCCAATGGATTGTTAAACCTGAAATACAACGCAGGGGGAGATAACGATGAAGAAAATTTACTTCAAGAATTCCATGCTTGATACTGTTGCCAGCATTGTGAACTGATTATTTTCTCTCTTGTTTTGTTTAAAAATTGGTTCTGCCTCCATCTGAGACTGCTGAGCTAATGTTACGTGGCTTGTCCCTTTAGACCACTCTTATTTCTGTGGCAATCTTGCTTAATGAGATCTGAACTTTTTAGTACTGAGCTATCAGCAGGGCCATTTCGACAACAGATATTTTACCTTTCTTTGATGGAAGTGACTGTCATCGATGTTTAAATTCCTGCTGTTCTATGTTTTAACAGACAAAAGTCAAAGCAAAGTTTCCTTACGATACCTTGTACTTGATAATTACTAGCCACGACATTGTAGAAATACAGTTCTCTATTTTAATCAAAAAATGCCAAGGAACCTCATCGTGTAGCTGTGCAGCAGATTACAACTATCTTAAATGAATCTGTTTTTTAAACATAGCATTAGCATAATGCAAGTGTAATGCATTAGGTTTGGGGGTTTTTACAGTGTTCAGCTGTGTACAGAATGTAATTTAATGTACAGATAATTTTAGTGCTGCTATTATTGCATGCTATGCATAAACCAGATATTGCAATTGCTTTCAGTATGTTGTGAAAGGCGACTAGCCTATATCATAAAGAGCTTAAGATTTTTGTCAGTCCTTATCCAAAATAATCTATTTTAAATGCTGCTGTGCATCTCTGAGCAGTACATCCAAGCCTACTAAATCCCAGTAGGGCTGAGAAAAGCATATTTGCAGATTTCTTGCACCTTGTGCTGTAGCCTACCTTAAATTCAGTGACAGCTGCTGTAAGGGGGGGAAAAAAAAATAAAAAAAACAGAAGTAACTGAGCTTCGAGCTCATTGAAAATGGTGTTGAAACCCACATGTGGATGCTGAAAATACATACAAAAATTCTTTCAGACAGTAACTGATTGTAGTAAATTTGGAGGTGGATCATCTCAACTGCTTAAAAACTGGGTGAAGGAAAGGAGATTTTAATTATATAGTAGTAAAATTGATGGATGTCTTAATTTGTGCCTTAACTTTCCGGAGCCTGTTGTGTATCTTAACCCATTCGAAATGTGAACGTTGGGTGGGTTATTTTTTAAAGCCGTCAATACCGAAACCTTTAATATTGTCACTAAAACTGCTGTTTGCACTTGTGAGGTGTCGGGTAAGGGGGCCGTGAGGCAGAGCAGGGCTGGAGGCTGGCGCTGGCGTGCGTGGGCCCTGTCACAGCTCGTTTTGTGTAAATGCTTGAACAATCTCTTGTAGATAGTGAAATAGAAGAGGAGTCTGAAGAAGATGAAGATTATATTCCCTCAGAAGACTGGAAAAAGGTAAATACTAAGGGCTGTTTAAAAAACAACAACAAAAAAAAGCCTGTATTTCATGAATAGTGAGTTGATCTGTTACCTAGTAACTGAGCTCTAGAGATCACCCAAATCCTCTCCAGTTTTTCCCCATAAATAAAAGAGTTTTGATAGCAAGAAGTGTTAAAGACTTCCCTGAATAGTCAAAAATCCATTTCCATACAGTGCCCGTTAACTATATTTTTAGATTTTGAACAATAAAAGTTTTAAGGGATGAAAGAAAGATGTGGTCATTCTCTTGCATGCTAACAAAATACGTCACAGCAGTGGTTGCTTAACTTCTTGTTTCTGTCATTTCAAAACAGGAAATCATGGTGGGCTCTATGTTTCAAGCTGAAATTCCAGCTGGCACATGCAAATACAAAGAGAATGAAAAAGGTGAGGTTTAGCACTGTTACCATCATTGCTATGTTTGAGATTATTTTCTGATGGGGAGAAGTAAAAGATTTGATTGAAGTCACGCGTCTTGCAAAATAAAAGAGCTCCTTCAAGTGAAAAATAGAACCGTCATCTCAAACTGTAGTTCATCCTGTATTTCACCACCAGAGCTTGAGTCTTGGAAGGGGAAAAGAAAGATTATATTGCCAGCCTATTGCCTGTTCAATCTTGTATTCTAATTTGGTAATGTACACAAACTGTCTACGTAGCTTATGTTAGCCTCTTAACCTCATATATTTAGTTTATGTAAAACAAAATAGATAATAAAGAAATTGTGTTGCTGGAATTGGATTAACACTTTAAGAGACAGAATGGTACCAGCAGCTTCAATTTTCACATTTTATATTTCTTCAATTAAAGAACTTCCCATTCTCCTTTTGAGGTTTTTTCCAGGAAGTTTTTCCCCCCTCACAACCAGAGCCTTGGGCTGTATGCTGTCAATATAACCAAGTCAGGAAAGGTAGACGCAGTTTAAACCCAGCTGTGAGCTTAAAAGCCGCACGTTTTCCTGTTCATTCAGCCCAGTACTGAGAATTTGTTTACACTGCGGGTCACTTTGAGCCTGCCTCTCCTGTAGTTTTATGTAAGTTAGTTTTTAAACTAGCCAGCACAAAACTTGGGTGGTGCCTTCCTGGAATCTGAGTATATACTCGAGTAGTAGCAGCTGTCTGGCTTCGAGCTCCAGGTTGCGGTAGCTACGCCGTAGCCTGATCTAGCTAGAAATGGTCTCAAAAGAGCATCAGTCCTTCTCGGCTTAGAGCAGGCTCACGCTGGAGCTGGCCCGTTCTGTCAGCTCTGGACTTCATAGCCAGAAAGGTTGAAGAGAGAGTAATTTAAAACTACACGAGATGTCAGGAACTTCCATTAAAAATTGAAAATGGCAAATTAGAAAACATCTGCCTCTTAGCGGTGAAGAAGCTGCTTTTTGCACGCTTTCCTGCTTCTGTCTGAAAATAGAGCTTGAACTGTGTATTGAGATGCAGTGAATTACGCTTCACTGGTCACCTGCTTTTCCTGCTATTTACTCAGCTCTAAATGGCTTCTGGCCTCCAGTAATAAAAAAGATATCGCTGCTTTGTGTGTTGCAGTAACCTGTATAAAACTGTTTATCGTAGTCTTGCACACTACTCTTTGCAGAACAGAGAGCCTACGTCATGGGCAAAGACTGTTGAGGGGGAAGAGTTACGTTTTCACTAAACATGCTAGGGTCATTCTAGCTTTATATACCAGTGGGGTTTTATATCTTCTGCCACTTCTTTCCTTTCTGCTGTGTTTTGGATGTAATCTTTCACAGGACTTCAACTGGAATATTAATGAAGCTTAAAAAACTGAAAAATAAATGTCCGAGACTATGTATTCAGTGCTTTCATGTGTATATCCCAGCATCTTAGTTGTTCTCTGATGGAGGGGAAATTCTAATTGTAAAATTCCCAAACACTAGGAGGGCTGGTCCTTTCATATCCAGTCCTGTAAGCAAAAGCACGAAAATGCTAGAACTCTTAAGAATAGGCACATTGCTTTTCAGATTGCGTTCTGACAGGCTGCTGTGAGGAGAGAGCGGCCGTGTAATCTACACTAAGCTAATTACAGTGGACTTGCTCCCTGAGAAGTGCGCCTGGAGACCAAATGAGCTGCTACGAACCAATTTCAGGTTACGCAACATCTACGAAATCTAAAAGAGGTGTTTTACGAAAGCTTGGTCTTGAAAATGGAAGGAGAGCTCTGAAAGGTGCTGAAGCTGCCCTGAGGCTTACTGTCTGCTGTCTTTCATGGAATTCGCAGTGTCCTTAGCTCGCGTGGTTAAGGGTGGCTTAGACCCGATTATCAGTTACCTCCTGGAAGGAATTGTTGCTTCTGCTGGAGTCTGTATCCCAAGATGCCTAGAATCTTTTCCTTAAATGAGCAACCAAACCTCAGGTGGGGACTAGCCTTTGAAACAAAAAGCTCCTAGAAAATTGTTGGGAGCTGTTTCTGAAGAGTGGGTTGTTCTTGAAATGAAGCTGTCTTCGCAAGACACTTAGCAATTTTCCTTACCAATTTGGGGTTTTTATTTGTAGTCTACTTTCATGTTAGAAATTTTTTTTTTTTTTTTTTTCGAGTAGAGGTGCATCTAGCTGCCACTCTGACCTTTCCACCTGCACAGAATGATACCCTGTCCTCCTGCGGTGACCGCGCTTCCCCAAGTGTTTGCTCCTTTCTCTTGTCAAAGGTGCTCACTGAGCTAATGGAATCAATGCTAAAGTTACTTTCTTGACTTTTTTTTAAGGTTATCTTTCACTGAAGACTGGGCCACAAGCAAGGTCCGGATACTTTTTGGATTGTTTTTTTTTTTTTTTTTTTTTCCCCACAACCTGAATTTTACTTTATTTTGCTCTACTAGTTGTTTAATCCTGCAAAGCTTGTAGGCTCTTCAAAAACCAAAATGGACAATAATTCAGAGGCTATGTCACTTGGCCATGTTTCTCCCATTAATTTCAGTTTACTCAGGCTTCCCTGGTCTGAAAGCTCATGCAAAAGCTCTGAAATTTGGTAGTATTAAAATTCATCGATCTTTACTTGAATTATTTTATTTTAGAAAGTATTTTTTGGAAGTAGTGGAAAAGTCTTAGCAAAGTTTCCTTTCAGGGGCTGCTTGACTTCAGAATGTCTGTCACCTGGGTGTCATCTTCCCTGGGGAAGTAGTGGGCCTTGCTGCTGCCTTTTGCCAGCTCTGTTAGCTGAGACTTTTTTATCTAGTGGTTCAGAGCCCTGGTAGGTTGTTTGTTGTTTTTTTTGTTTTGTTTTTAGCACCATTTTTGGTGGTGTGTTTTTTGGCTTTGTGTGACCGCTCCTAATCATCTTGCAAGAAAACAGATATAATTAGTTTCCAAAATAGTTTTCCCTGCCTGCTGGCTGCCTTCAGCAAAACTGTGTGGCGCCGGGAAAAGGCTGGATCGTTCAGGGACCGCGTCGGGTCGTGCTGCGACCGCGTCATTATTAAGTGGTTTCAGGAGGAGGACGGGGAAGGTGAAGTTTCATAAATGGGTCCTCGAAGCTAGAGCACAGGTTATGCTAGAGATCTCAAGACAATACAGTGTGTAGGATCCTAATCATTTGGGTGTTTTACCTGTCCTTATGTGTGTTCTGGATTAGCGTTCATGCTCTAATGATCTTCCAAGGTTTTATAAACACCAGCTTAATAAGAGAGAATAAACTTCCATATCGTTGTTTTAGCTTGCTTGTCTTTTTCCTGGGGTTAATTCAGTGTATGAAAATGATGACCAGCTGCTGTGGAATCCGGACTTCTTACCAGAAGATAAAGTGATCGAGTTCCTAAATGAAGCATCAAGGCGTACGGGTGATGAGAAGGGCCTGGATGCAATTCCTGAAGGATCACATATTAAAGACAATGAGCAGGTATTACAAGAATAATTAGGATTTGTAGTTCAATATTGCAGAATGAATTATCCCTTTATTTTACTCTCAAGAATTAAAACTGTGTTTGAAACAGCTTTATTATTCCTTGTGGAAATAGAAATATGCTGGGGTTCTTAGTAAATATTAAACTGTTAACTTAGGCTCAGCGTTGCTGTATGCATCGGTGCATAATTTCATATATATATATATATAAACAGTTGTGTATGAATGGGTTCTGTTCTTTCAGTTACAGTGGTTTTTTAAAGCAATGTGAATGCATACTTATTTTTTAATCCAGACAAAAAAAACTCCCATCGGTTTTACAAATGTATGCAGTGGATGAAAATGTTAAAATACTTTGACTGGATATATTCTCGGTTATGTAGAGATTTGGAAATTTAACCAGAGGAAATACGTCTTTGTGCTGTCTTAAATTATATTACATTCATTCAAAGAGTTTATTTTTAATCTTTTCTTAATAGGCATTAGTGATTTACTAAGTATGCACTTCTGTGACACAACATAAATTGAGTGGTATCTAGAATGTGAAATGTGTGTGTCTCCATCTTTCCAGGCATTGTATGAACTGGTTAAGTGCAATTTTGATACTGAAGAATCATTACGAAGGCTGAGATTTAATGTAAAAGCAGCCAGAGGTGAGCACACACTGGAAGCTAAGTTTCTGTTGTTGAATTCACATTTTATTTGTTACGTGGGTATTGGGTTTTGTTGTCAGCAGACTGAGAAATTTTATTAGAGCTTGCCTGCACGTAAGCCCCATTTAAATGCAACCTTCAGTTGAGGGATTTAAATTTGGAGGTGTAGTATAAACAGGTGCCTGTTGAAAGAGGGGGTCTAAATTAACTTCTGTCAACAGGGCTTAATATTTATATTTGTGACTTTCATATCAAGTTAAAACTTAAAATCGCTTCTTAGCAACTGAATGCATTTCTTGGGCATTTTATTCCTTGTTCTTCTGCACCTTTTCAGTCATCAAAGTTAATGGAACAGAAGCGAACTATAAAGTAAAATAATTCCCAATCCAAAATAAAGGAGAAGGAGCATCTAAACCTTTTATTTAACAAAGGATAACACTGAAAAGACCCTGGTCTTAAGGACGCTTTTGGAGCCTTAAGCATTTTCTGTTTCGGTATTGATCTTTATACTCCAAAGGAACAAGAAACTGAGAGAAGGCACAAGTTCTTTTCCTGGCACATTGATCTGTTGGTTCTGCTTTCAAACCTGTGGCTTCTCCAGAGTTTACTGTGCAAATCACAAGACAAGCACGATCAAATAGAGAAGATCAGTTTGTTCTCCCACTATTTTAAACCTTATTTATTCGTGACCTTAAGAATCAATGAGGCCAAATTGTATTAAGTTCTTAGAAGCGGGGCTGAAAGTTATTAGGAGGTTTATTCTGGCTTCAGTGGGGCCACGATTTCCCACCCGCTCGTGTGAGCAGCACAGTTTCCCATTCTACCCGTTCCCCTGATTCTTCCCAGTACCAGCAACCACTTTGAGTCCACAGCATGAACTCCTTCGGGCCGTGGCCTGGCTTTGGCTTGCAGGATTCCTGCTTCCTGTGGTTCTGGGGGTGGAATGGTGACACGGGGTTTCTAAGCCCTTCTGCCTCTTTCTGCTGCCTTGTTATTCCCCTCCCTGCGGCAGGGCTGGGGTTAGGGACAGTTCACACCGGTCCCTACCGACCAGCTACTTCAGGACAGCAAATTTCCCACCTGCTCACTTGAAGGGAGAATTTTTCGGGTGGTTTTTTTTTTTTTTGGACTAGAAGGTGAAATTTCCCGAGGTGGTTCTCACTTAGTCACCAGATGGTGTAAGAAACTTGAATACCACGTATGTTTTCTGTCACTTAAGTCTTCTTTCACTGGCCGTATGCTTTTTTGTTAAGTGTTTTCTTTATTGTGTTTCCTTGCTATAGAAGAATTATCTGTTTGGACAGAAGAAGAATGTAGAAACTTTGAACAAGGGCTGAAAGTCTATGGCAAGGATTTCCATGTGATTCAGGCAAATAAGGTAAACACTGATTTAAGTGTTGTTCTCGCTTTTTTCTTAAAAGCAATGCAATTGTAAGCAGATTCTTATCCTCAATTCCCTTCACAATTTACTATATTTACTTCTAATAATTTTTACTGCCTATACGTCCAAATTGGTTTCTCAAAGTCCAGAATCCTCTATAACTGTGACTGTGAACCCAAAGTTCAGAAAAGTGCAAAAATCCTGCTGTGCATACATATGGGGAGATTGGCATCATCTGCCTCTGATCTTGAGCAGACTGGTGAAACGGACTGGAATATTTCTCAGGAAGCTGCTGGAAACACTATTAAACTTTGCGTTTTGATTTCTGGGTCTCTGAAGTTTTGAGTCAGTAGTTTCCACCATTTCCGATGTTGTATAAAGGAGCATTGACTTTGAATGTCACACCTTTTGATTAAATGGTAGCTTTTTGCCAAAAGTGTATTTAAATTCATCAGAATTTGCATGGCACGTATTTCCTAGGTACGAACAAGATCAGTTGGTGAGTGTGTAGCATTTTATTACATGTGGAAGAAATCAGAGCGTTACGATTTCTTTGCGCAGCAGACCCGATTTGGAAAGAAGAAATACAATCTTCATCCTGGTGTAACGTAAGATGTGCATTATTTTTATGTGCTTTTACATGTTGGATCTAAGTCTTTATTTTAGACTAATCTGAAATGGCAGGACAAGGGAGGGATTCCGTAGTCCCAGTTTGCAGCAGGAAAGCAGCCAAGGTGGAAGAAAAACTTGCTAGTGCCTATAATGTAATTTCTAAAATACGTTTTTTTGGAATAAGGCCAACAATTTGCACCGAACGGCTGTTTAATTCAGTTTATTTTCTGTTTAAATGTTTCACAAATGCAACATCTCTGCGAAGATGTGGGGTTTTTTTAAATGCTTGTTTGACTCCATGTTTTATGCAAAGGCGTTAGTGACCCCTTGAAACGTGGTGTTTGGCAGGAATTTGGGCCAGCGCAGCACCCTGCGCTTGGGCCGGTTTGGGGGGACGTAGCTCCTTCCCCCATTCACATCTCTGCCGGGCAGAGAAGGAAAAGTCTGTGCATAACTCTGTATTCTCCCTCAAATCTGAGCAAGTGAGTGCAACGTATGCTTCTGCCCTTCATTCCAATACTATGATTTTAGCATCCCGTTCTTTCCACTGTGTTTTCTCCAAGTCTTTTTACTTTTAGTTTTATTTCTCATTGGTCCCTGGCTTCTCTGTTGATCCTTCTTTTTGGTATTATTGTTTCCTTAAACGTTTTAGAACTGTGTGTTGGACCACTGAAGTGAACTTGCAGTATGACATTAAGAGTTGCCATCTGTGGCTTTGTGAAGCAGACTGGCAGAGAAGCCCCCAGAGCTGCTGGATTTTCTTAACCAGTTGTCAGGGACTGTCTGTGTCTCCCTCTTCTTCCATCTCGAGGGGTTTTTTTTTTTGATTTTTGACTAAATTAGTAGATGTTTTCGGTTGTTAATCACTGAAAACATTCTCTGATTCTTTTGCAGTTGACTGCATACGGTGATCAGAAGAAGTGTCATTAAGGATTTTACTTGCCTATTCTTGAATGATTTTGCAGATAGATGTGGGAATTTAGAGTGCAGCATCAGTTCCAGCATAATTACGTGTGAGGATATGCTGTTTCTGGAGTTAATCCAGACTAATACCATATGTAGAAGGGCTTTACCAAGCAGCTTTGTTTGTTTAAATCTTTCAAAAGAGATTTACTATTAGTGACCTAAATTGTAGGACTGTAATAGATTTCAGATACGGAAACGTCATGAACTCCTAAGTTTTTCATTTGCTTTTACCTTTCCCCCTTCTGAGCTTGTACGTGCACTGAATTTATTTACTTCAGTGGTTTGTTACCGCTGCCGCAGCAAATTGCAAGAGCTTAGTACAAACCTGCTTGAGAGCATCACCTTGAAAACGCAGGGTGTTGAAGTTTCTGCCCGTACGTGATCTCACGGGACTTAGCGTAAGCGCAGGCTGAGTTTATATAATCTCACCGCAGCGTTTGGTCAGCAAATACGTAGCTGCTGTGGAGGAACCACGGGTGGGCCACTTAACAGGGGAGTTCTTAACGTTGTTAACTTTGCAAGATAAGCCTGTGCGTTTCCAAAGATTTGTCGCGCCGGCGGTACGTGCGGTGGATAGTTTTGTACAGACGACACGGGTGCTTTGCGCAGCAAGGGTGATGCTGAGCGCGCCGTTTCTGTTGTGCAGAGATTATATGGACCGTCTCCTGGACGAAAGCGAGAGCGCTGCTTCCAGTAGAGCTCCGTCCCCTCCTCCTACAGCTTCCAACAGCAGCACCAGCCAGTCTGAAAGGGAAGACAGCACAACCAGCAGCAGTAATCAGAACGGTAAGTGCACGCACCTCCCAAACAGAGCTTCCCAATCGTCGCGGCTGACAAGCCGAATGGGAAAAGCCAATTGGAGTTTTCAATATTTTTCCAAGGTGTTGGCAACTTTGAAGTTCAAACCGTTCTTTAAAACAAGCTACGTGTTTGCGTGTACGCAGTGGTCACATAGTGAAGATGAATCTTCACTGGAGGCTTCCTTTCAAAAGTAATTGCTCTGTGCTTGTCTTCCCCGCGCTAGTGCAGGTGTGCAGTGCTAACTTGGTGAGGAATCCCGTGCAGGATGTTTAAAATGACTGGGCTGCTGTGCAGCGTGCCGGCGCTCGTCTCGGGAACACCGTTAGCCGTTCTTACCAGAACTGGGGCACTGTAGGACAACTGGGAACGGGAGAAGAGCCAGGGCACGAGCGCTGCTGGCGGAAGAAAAACCTCCAAAGCCGAGGGCCAGCCGTTCCGAAGGAGCTGAAGTGAAAGCAGTAGCGAGAGGAGGGAGGAGCTTGGGGGCTGAACGGGATTGTGAAAATTGTGGGGAAGCCACAAGAAGCTGCCCAGGTGAGGACAGTCCACCCGCAGCTTGTAGGGCGGTGGGATTCCAGGACGTTTTCTGGACGGCTGCTTCTTGCGAGGGCTCCCGTAAACTCCGCTGCGCTAAGTCTTGTCATTTGTGAGCAGATAAATTCACCACACAGCCAGGAGACAGGGAGCCATGGTGGCTTTCTGGTTTAATGGGGCTAGTTAGACCTCTGCTTCACTGACCCGGCAGATTGCTCTGCTCCTTGCCTGCGGTTCCGTTCTCGTTCTTACGGTGCGTCTCTAACGCAGGGGTGTCTGCTAACGGGCCGGGTGAGGTACCGAATAAAGAGGAAGCAAAAACGGAAGGATTGCACGTAAACGGACCTACCGGTGGCAAGAAAACACCTCACACGGATCTGGATACGAATGGGTATGAAACTGAAAACCTTCCCGCTGACCCAAAACTTGCTCATTCAGCTTCAAGGAACGAAAATGATTTTGAAGAAAAAAGTGAAAGACCTCTCAAAAGAAGAAGAATTAACAGCAGTGGGAAAGAGAGTCCAGGTTCTTCAGAGTTCTTCCAAGAAGCAAACTCGCACGGGAAGCTTGAAGAACTAGAAACTCTGGATGACTGAATACTAGGAGCCAATTTTATTCCGTGGAGTAAATTTTGGGTGTCTAAAATTTTCAGGGTTGATGGGTTACCTTACAAAATCCAGTTCCGTAAAACAATCTGCTGAGATTTTTTTTTCTAATACCTTCTAGTTGGCTCTTAAGATCTGATCATTTGATTTCTTTCAGTGCTGAAAAGCAGTAGGAGAATATTCAGTATCTCAGAGCTGGGAACTCCAAGGCTCTTAAAAATATTTGAGAAACAAATCGATGAGTTTCTGCAAAAATACTCCCAGCCTAACGCATTAAAGAAACTTCTCTGTATAGTACACCATTAAGCATTGTACAAGTGAACAAAGCATCCTATTTGAGGCAGGGGCTGGTTCAGATGTTGCAGGAAGTTAAAATGAAATACAGAATGCCAAGGCACGCATCAGAGTAGGCATGGAGACTTCCACTCATGCTAGCCGAGAGGAAAGTGTCATCCCATTGTTAAGGAACCCTTATGAATCCTGAAAGTTATGAGCACAACTATTTTTATATATAGAAGTTTTAAAAGGTAAATAAATAAACCAGGTCAGGTTTGTATATGTAAAATTGTTGACATCAATGATGTCTTTCCATATTCTTTATCTGGGCTAAAGAAATACATTCTGTATTTTTCCAGATTTCTTTGTAGCCTTTGAAAGATTTTTACAGTACTTATGTCTTGATTGAACTGTCCTTTCTTAAAACAAAAGCTTGTATAATTTTCTTAACTTGTACAGTTGGTAAACTTTTATGAGAGAATTGATATCCTGAGTCTAATGTCAGCTTCATTTTACTTTGCTGAAGTCTTTTCTAAAAAAAAAAAAAAAAAAAAAAAAAAAAACCAACAACAACAAAAAAAAAACCCAAACCAAACCAATTGACTTAAGAAATGCTTATTAGTCACCAACATGTTATTTTCTTCTCGGAAAACAGTAAACAATTAACATTAAGAATGGTTAGAAGTAATTTGATTTTGAAACCAGGTTTTTCTTTCTTGTGTTTTATGGCAAATAGCGATGCTAAAAATTTGTTAAGCATGCTGCTCGCGTTGCACAAATTTTCTTGCTTTCATTATAACATCTTCTCATTTTATTTTGAGCTCGGATAAATTTCACGGCAGCCAAACGCTTAAGTTTACTAAACCTTGTTCGCCAAGATCGGGTGTTAAGATTATCCATTGATTTCTTTTCAGTCTTATCTGTCATCTTCTACGTTTCACTGAGCACAGGGAGGGTCAAGCAAGTCCGGCTGTACGGGTCAGAAATGCACGTGCAGCTGGTGACCTGGTGCCTGGTCTTGAATTTCTGAGAAGTAGTGGACCTTGTATGGATGGGAATTTCAGGGGGAGCAGAAACATCCCATGCACGTACTTGGTACAGCAGGCACGCATCTATACGTTCAGTATCTAGAGAGTCACGTGGAAAAATTGTGAGAATATTTGAAGTAAGAAACAATTCTTTATAAATGTGTGTGGAGGGGGTGATGCCCACCGTCCCACTAGCAGGATTTGGAAGTTGTGGAGGTAGGGTTTACAGCCATCAAATAGAAAGGGGTTTGATACCGATCTTCAGTTTTGGTTTGTGTTTTTTTGTGGTGGTTTGTTTTTTTTTTTTTTTTTTTTTTAAGCCACAGCTACACATCTACTCTCTTAAAAATAGGAAAAATTGTTCATTTGTATAAATTATAATGTTGTGTCCGCCTCCTGTGGCTTACGGGCGTGCTGTTAATTTTGAATTGGTTATTTTTACTTCAAGTTTATGAGTCTTTACGATTCCAGTTTAAAACGGGACGATCCTATGGTTTGAAAACGATCGTATCAACCGGAAAACCCCTCCTGCCAAGGGTTTGGTTTGTTTTCTTTTTCAACTCGGTGTACTTGGACTTTGTGGTCATTGCTGAGCCAAATCCTAGAATTAGCCTGCGGAGAGGCATGTCAGGAAGGTTGGTTAACGTCTGGCCTGCGGCGTTAATCAATTAACCGAGGGCTTTAGGAGGAGGTGGCTGTTAATTTTACAAGCCGGTTTAGTCACGGAAACCCAAAGTATCACCCAGCCTTATATCAAAGATGGTCTCGAGACGGTTTCAGACTGAGGGGTAGTGCAGTGCTTCGAAGAGTCTTTGCAACTAGAGGCCTATTTTCAATTTTATTTTTATGCGTTTTTGTTTGCAAGGTGGAAATACTTCCAAAAATTTATAGGAAAGTTTATAAGTAAATTGTCTCAGGCTTGTGTGTGAAATACAGCACTGTGTATATTTTCAGGAATGTTGCTTTGTTTTTTATCTTACCCTTTTTTTGTGATAGGTAGAAAAGACCTGACATTCCGTAATCAACAACTATGTAATGCTCAGCTAGATTTTAAGAATATTTAATTATAATTTACATTTTGTTTATGCTGGTGTTTTATACAATACTTTGTTCATGTTCGTCAAAATGCAGCCACTATAACTTAATAAGTCATTGCACTACTAAAGCTATTTAAAATTCGAGAAATATAGTAACTTTGATTTCATTTACAAAGCCCTCAGCCCAGGCTGGAGCCCGGGGGGGGGCGGGTTTGACCGTGTCCCCACTCGGGTCCGTTTCGCAGGCGCTGTCGTGACGGGGTGGGGTGGCCTGCAGGCACAGAGTGCCTCGAGACTGCAGCCTGACCAGAGTCCCCTTCAGCAGGGTAAAGCCATGCTGGGCTTTCTGAAGGATGAAACGTGGGAGTACCGACACAACCACCCACGCCCACGGAATTGACAAATTCAGTTTTAGACGTTTTTTCCACGCCTAGTAATTTTGCGCTGTTAGTAATTCCCTTCTCGTCTCCCTGCTCCCTGTCTGCAATTCTGGAAGGGCTTATAAAAATATTTTTTTAAACGTACTGTCTGCATAAAAAAAAAAAAAATTCCTGAGTTGTTTTGATCAGAAGAGGGCGTAGAGAATTTCTGCTTAGAGGAGGCGAGGGCCCCATCCCCTTGTAGCAGCGTGGTAGGGACTGTTACCGCTGCGGTGAAAACGGCGGAAAACAAAATACCCTTTTCTGAGTAAACTTGAAGGGGTTTCTTTCGTTCCCCTAAACCCTTTTTTCTGTAACAGCCCCAGGGGCTCAGCAGAAGGAGGGGGGAGCCTCAGCAGCTTCATTCTCCTTTTGGGTTGGGCCGAGGCCAAATCAAGAGCAGGCGGGGTAGGAGGAGAGGGAAGGTCATTGGTTTATTTGAAGCCAGTACAAAAATACATAGGCACATAAAATTCTTTTTGCTATCATCACTGAGTGACATATAAAGCCTGCCGTACATTCAAATAAAAAGGTCACCCTTTTAATCACTAAAATGGGCATTTTGTAAATAGATTCTATATAGAAAAAACTTTAGTTGATTAATAAGGTAGAAAATACTGTTGTAGGAACTCTGTTTGCTTTCCCAGTGTATACAATACCATCCCGACCCTGGCACCGAAGCGTGCCCAGTTACAAACAAAATAAGCTTTAAAAATATTTTACCGTTTGGCCAACAAATCTAACCAGCAGATTCAAAAAAAATTAAACAGAATTGACATCCTGACTGCAACTGCCTCAGCACAGCAAAGTTCCAAGCAAAAAGTGATTTGCAAATATTTCTGGTCGGGCAAGTAAGCCAGAGGGGGGGTGGTCCCAGCACTGCCCGGCTACTGGGAACCAGTGCAGGGACCAGGAACCCCCCCACCCACCCCCCCGGAGCTGATGCAGGAGTAGCTCTGGGTCTTCCGAACAGCAGGAACCATTCATCATCTTTCCTTACAAAAAAGAAGTGCCCTGCAGCCGCCTGCAAATCTGAGGTTTTACTGAAATTTAGGCGGCGATAAAAATAATGGAGGAATTTTAAATTTTTTTTTTTTGGGGGGGGGGGGGGGGGGAATTCTGCACCAGGAGGGGTGACTCAGCTCCTCGGTGCTGCCAGGTGCCTTATAAATGCCACAACCCCCCCCCAAGGGCAGGGAAGACCCCGGAGCCTCCTGCTCCAGCCCCACCAATTCCAGGAAGGGGAATTTGGGAGCAAACGCCCTCCCCATCCTTTACCAGAGCCGTTACAGAAATTCTCGGTTCTGTATAAAAACTTGGCTGAACGCGGCTTCGCCAAACAGCAGGTACATTTTTAACAAGTATCTTCCAGAAATGGATTACGTTGGCTACAGAAGCTATTTTCCTGGTTACCAAAGGAATGTATACAAAACGCTCATAAATATATAGCTTTACCAAAATTGTTTTAACCAAATTTAGAAACAATTCTTTTTAAACCAAAAGGAGAGACCTAGAAAGAAGTGCTGTGTGTAAGACAACCTTTAAAAAAAAAAAAAAAAAATCAGTTAACACTGCCTGACATATTAAAAAGCCCATTCTTTCTTAACGGGGCACAAACCAAAGACTTGGTACATCAAAAACCACGACCCGGGGGCCAGGGTTTGGACAAAGCTGAAGTGCTGGTGCTGCAGCGTGGGCTCCCACAGAGCCGCCCACCCCCCTCAGCCCTGCTTGTTTCTCATTAATTTGCCCCAAAACCCCCCAGGATTTGAGTCCCTGGGCAATTGAACGCCCGGTGGCAATGGGATTGCTGTGGGATGCTCTCAGCTCTCCTGCAACCCCTGCAGCTCATCCCTGTGGGATCCGAAGTGCAGTATTCCCAAATCCAAAGGTTTCTGACCCGCTCCCCCCCACCCCGGGGTGGGCTGAGGGGGCTGAGCTCAGCGGCTGCGGGTAAAGCCTCCGTGGTGGGAACGTCCCTGAGCCTCAAAAAAACAACCAACCTCGGGCAGGAAAGGGAGGGGAGAATGGTTGCAGGGCTCGAACCAAGGAGGGTAAACCCAGTTTGCAAAGCGGGTTAAAAAAAAAAAAAACAAAAACAAACAAACAAATAATATCAAAGTTCGGCGAGCACTGAGCATTCACCAAAGAGGTTTTGGCCCGACGCGGGAGCAGCCGCCGCTGCGGCTTTGCTGGGGGAACACCAGCGCTCGCTGAGGGGGGGGGGGGGTTCACCTGCCCCTGGGGCCCCGACCCTGCCCAGGACGGGGGTCTTGCTGGTCCCCCAGCCGGGGGGAGGCCGGGAGCAGCCCCAGCCCCCGGCCCGAGACGCCGGGCGCTCTGGGGTTCAGCCCTTCACCCATTCCACGTGTGCGCCGGTCCCGCCAGGCTCCACGGCCACAGCTCGCCACGCTCAGAAACCCAGAAATTCCTCACCATCAGACTTAATTAGCTGTGTTCTTCACCGTGCGGTCAGTTACCTTCCCAGTAATTTGTAAAGGCAGCAATCTAGATTGTGCAAATTAAGAGAATCACCGTTACTCCATGGCAGGCGCCCTGGCTTCCTTCCCGCATTCTGCCTCTGATCAGCGGAACAGCAAGAGGTTGCTTCCAAAAAAAAAAAAAAAAAAACCAAAACAACACCAACAAACCCTTTTCCTGGTCACACAGAGCTTTTTCCTTTAATATCCATCTTGCTGCCAGCTTCGGCCTGCTTGCTCATTTGCTCCTCGGTGAAAGTGATGTAGGAATACACCAGGCTCCCAGCAATACTGCAAAACAGGGTCAGGTAGGAGGATGAGCCGCAGAAGCGGCAGCGCCCTGAGCTGGTGTCCCTCCTGCCCTGCAGAACATAAACCTGCCCCGAGGAAATGCTGCCTTCTACACCAGCACCTTTATTAGTTAGAGACACCCTGCCCCAGGCAGCCACAAACACCAGTTGCCAAAAAAAAAAAAGCCAAAACCATGGGTACGCCAACGGGCAAGGATCTGCTGCAAGCATCAATTTGCAAGGAAATTTCTCTGGTTTTCTTTCCACCCGCTCTCAGCTATTTTGTTTAATTCGCACCCAAGTGCTTGCTAGCCCCAGTCCCCAGCCTCGCGCAGGACCGCTCCATCCCTGCAGGGATCCTGCTGAAGGACACGGGGAGAACAAGGCGACTTTTCACAGCACAGAAACACACCCCCCAGGCCAGAAAGGAGACTTTTTCCAAAAGCTGTGCTAAAATACCAGGTGAAATAAGCCAAAACCCACCTCTCTGACTACCTTAACTATGTGATTCGGATATGCAACTCTGAGAAGAACTTCAGTTTGCTGCTAAAATACGCTTGTGCATCCTCCTGGCTTTAAAACCACCCGAACCTGAGAGCTCCCCGCAGCCTGAACTGGAAGTGGGGACCGAGCAGCCCTGGGCTTGCCCCGGCTCCTCTGCTGCGGCACAAATACCAATTCCATGTTTGTTTGTTTGTTTGTTTTTAAAGCAGCATTGAGCTGGTCAAACCCCTTCCTTTCCCAGCAATTTTCACCTAAAAAACATGGATAAAAACTGCCGGACGCCTGATGTTCTTACCTGATATTTAAACCAATGAAGTTTGTCCACGTAAAAATATAGTCTCCTCCAAAAAACATCCCAATATAGGTTATTAAAATATTCTGCAAAGGAACAAGATTTAAGGAACAAGAGCACCAGTTTCTGTATAGCCTGAGACATGTGAACTCTCTATGCATTAAAGCAGTATGGAAACAGGAAACCTCAGATGCAGATAAGTGTGAAACAGGCAAGCGGCGGCAACACTGGATTCAAAATAGGCGGTTTTAGAGCTGCTGAGAAATTCTCAATTGCTGGAGCAGCACAGGCACCCCGGGGCTGCGATGCTCCCCCTCGAGCCCGGCCCAGCCCCGGCCACTAAAACCCAGAGTAACCCCCCCAGGAGCTCCCGTCTCTTCACAACTGGTTGGTCGGGCCGAGGGGCCCCTTTTCTGGGCATCCTGCGCGTCAGCAGCCCTGGGGAAGGTGCCAGCACCAGGCACGGCTGCTTGGCATGCAAACATGCTCAGGGCTAGCTCTCTACTCCAGGCAGCAGCCAAAAAAAGAAAAAAAAAAATAAAAATAACCTCACGGGAGCTGTCTTGCTCTCCGTGCAGCGCGCAGCAAAAGCCCCAGAGCCTCCACCCAGCCCCTCCCCGGCGGTGCTGGAGCGGCACGAAGCGGGTGCGGGGTGCCCCGAGGTTGTTCATGGCTTTTGCTGGAATAATTCCAGCAGGCGAGCCGACCCCGGGGGAGACTCAGAGCCAGGCACGTCCCGAGTGCTCCGGGAGCCCCCCGAATCACAGGAGCCCAACAGCAACAGCAGCCCCCGGAGCGGAGAAACCACTTACCTTAATGCAGCCAACTATTGTAGTTGTAAGAGCAGAATTATACTGAGTGCAAAGAACTGTGGAGTACATCAAAATAAACCTGCGGGAGGAAGAGCCGACATCAGGCTCCAGGACACGCTTCGGGCATCGCCATTCCCCCCCAGCCCCTCTTTTCTACAGCAGTGTCTACACCACCACTTTGTGGGCTAAACCTGCGCTGAAGCAGGGTAGGGAATCATTCCCACCTGCCATCTCTCTCAGAAATGGGCCGGGGATTTCCTATTATGGTTTTCCACGCCGGCCCGGCTCACGGGACAGAAGAGCCGGCTCCCCCGGCCCGCAGCCGCCCTCGGCTGCCGGCAGCACCCACCGCAGCCCCGCACGTCCTTACCCCATCACGCACGAGAGCGTAAACTGCATGACGAAGAGCACGTCTGCCCAGCCCTGGTACTGCACTGCCTGCAAGAAACACGGCCCCAGCCTTAGAGGAGGAGGCGCGGGAAGGCACGGCGAGACAAGGAGTAAACCCCCGAGAGTGGCCTTCACATCGCAGGAGGGGGAAAGGAAAAGAAGGGGGAAAGGAAAAGAAGGGGGAAAGGAAAAGAAGGGGGAAAGGAAAAGAAGGGGGAAGGGAAAAGAAGGGGGAAAGGAAAAGAAGGGGGAAGGGAAAAGAAGGGGGAAGGGAAAAGAAGGGGGAAGGGAAAAGAAGGGGGAAGGGAAAAGAAGGGGGAAGGGAAAAGAAGGGGGAAGGGAAAAGAAGGGGGAAGGGAAAAGAAGGGGGAAGGGAAAAGAAGGGGGAAGGGAAAAGAAGGGGGAAGGGAAAAGAAGGGGGAAGGGAAAAGAAGGGGGAAGGGAAAAGAAGGGGGAAGGGAAAAGAAGGGGGAAGGGAAAAGAAGGGGGAAAGGAAAAGAAGGGGGAAAGGAAAAGAAGGGGGAAAGGAAAAGAAGGGGGAAAGGAAAAGAAGGGGGAAAGGAAAAGAAGGGGAAAGGAAAAGAAGGGGGAAAGGAAAAGAAGGGGGAAAGGAAAAGAAGGGGGAAAGGAAAAGAAGGGGGAAAGGAAAAGAAGGGGGAAAGGAAAAGAAGGGGGAAAGGAAAAGAAGGGGGAAAGGAAAAGAAGGGGGAAAGGAAAAGAAGGGGGAAAGGAAAAGAAGGGGGAAAGGAAAAGAAGGGGGAAAGGAAAAGAAGGGGGAAAGGAAAAGAAGGGGGAAAGGAAAAGAAGGGGGAAAGGAAAAGAAGGGGGAAAGGAAAAGAAGGGGGAAAGGAAAAGAAGGGGGAAAGGAAAAGAAGGGGGAAAGGAAAAGAAGGGGGAAAGGAAAAGAAGGGGGAAAGGAAAAGAAGGGGGAAAGGAAAAGAAGGGGGAAAGGAAAAGAAGGGGGAAAGGAAAAGAAGGGGGAAAGGAAAAGAAGGGGGAAAGGAAAAGAAGGGGGAAAGGAAAAGAAGGGGGAAAGGCAAAGAAGGGGGAAAGGCAAAGAAGGGGGAAAGGCAAAGAAGGGGGAAAGGCAAAGAAGGGGGAAAGGCAAAGAAGGGGGAAAGGCAAAGAAGGGGGAAAGGCAAAGAAAAGAAGGGGGAAAGGCAAAGAAAAGAAGGGGGAAAGGCAAAGAAAAGAAGGGGGAAAGGCAAAGAAAAGAAGGGGGAAAGGCAAAGAAAGAAAAGGGGGAAAGGCAAAGAAGGGGGAAAGGAAAAAGAAAAAACCAACACAGTGACATGCTGGGGCTGCAGGAAAGCTGGTCGCCCACCTCAGCAGCAGCTCCAGCCCCCAGCAGCACCCACTCCTGTCAAAAAGAGGTGAACAACAGTCCTACGAGCAGGAGGAACCAGGAACAGCATTTCCCAGCCGGCTGTTACCGGGAATCGCCCTCCCTGCAATCCTTCCCCGGCCAACTGCAACGCTTCCACAGCACAGCCCAGGGGACATTAACTGCTAGAGCCAGCGCTGACAAAAATGGGTAAAGGAAGTGTAGATTGCATGGAAGGGCTTTTTTTGGTTGGTTGGTTGGTTTGTTGTTTTGGTTTGGTTTTTGTTGTTGTTTGGGGTTTTTTGTTTGTTTGGGGGTTTATGTTTGTTTGTTTGGGTTTCGTTGTTTTGGGGTTTTTTGTTTTGTTTTTTTCTTTTGTTTTTTTTAATTACACTCCAGGCACCTCAACACCTTCCTGGCAGCTGCAGGTCTGGGGATGACTCCGAGGACGAAGCTCCAGAGCAGGAGAAGGGGTCTGTGATGGGGACAAGGGAGGGAGGCCAGAGCCTGAGGCTGCCGGCCAAGCTGGGGCCACCGGCCAGCACCGATCTCCAGCAGCTCAAGGGGACCCGCCAAGTCCTGCCCCTGGGGAGGGGGAACAACCCCCCCCTGCAGCAGGACATGCTGGGGGACACCAGTTTGGACAGAAGGGTGGCCAAGCCCACCAGGATCCCCCCCAGCCAGCCGGGACGGTGCTTTCCAACAGGGACACAAAATGCTGGCCTGGGAGGGGGGGGGAAACACACACACACCCCCAACCTTCCTTCACCCCCAGGAATTATTTGCAGGGATTTACCCATCACCATCAGCATGCTGGCCTGGGGGGGGGGGGACACCCACCTTCCTTCACCCCCAGGATTTATTCGCAGGGATTTACCCATTACCATCAGCATGCTGGCTGGGGGGGGGGGGTACACACACCCTCCTTCCTTCACCCCCAGGATTTATTTGCAGGGATTTACCCATCACAATCAGCATGCTGGCCTTGGGGGGGGGGGGGGGGGAGGAGATGGACACCCTCCTTCCTTCACCCCCAGGAATTATTTGCAGGGATTTACCCATTACCATCAGCATGCTGGCTGGGGGGGGGGGGTGGTACACACACCCTCCTTCCTTCACCCCCAGGATTTACCCGTCACCATCAGCATGCTGGCCATGAGGGGGGGGACACACCCTCCTTCCTTCATCCCCAGGAATTATTTGCAGGGATTTACCCGTTACCATCGGCATGCTGGCCGTGGGGGGACACACACCCCACACCCCCCCTCCTTCTTTCACCCCCAGGAATTATTCGCAGGGATTTACCCATCACCATCAGCATGCTGGCCAGGGCGGGGGGACACACACCCTCCTTCCTTCACCCCCAGGAATTATTTGCAGGGATTTACCCGTCACCATCAGCACGCCCATTTCTGCCTCTCTCATAACAAGACCTCGTTCCCATCGCTGCTTGTTAATGAACTACAAGATTTAACACATCCACACGCCCCAGTACAGTGGGAAGCTTTCCCATGCAAACCCCCCCTCCCCAGCACCCCCCCCCCCCCCACAAGACACGTTCAGCTGCACCCCCTTCACAAGAGGGTTTTTTCATCGGGCTGCAAACGTGGAGTTTCCTGGCAGCAGCCCCGACAGAGCGCATCTTTGTCTGCCTCGGGCTGCCAGGAGCTCAACCGGGGAAAAAGAAGTTTATTCAGGGGGGAAAAAAAAAAAAAAAAAGAAATAAAAACTATTTCTCTACAAGCTGAACAGAGGCTGCACAGTGTAGCACAGAGCAACATTTTGCTCCCCGTCCACCAGCTCCTGCTTATAAATGAGCACTTTATCCCCAAATATATCCCCCCTGAGTTGCCCTTTATGAAGGGGCTGAGCTACCTTCCCCCGGTGCAATCACTTCTCCTCCCTAATCGCAGCTCTTTATCTTAGCAGCTGCTTACTGGGGTTTGTCATCAGGGCATTAAGCTCTTAATGAGGAAAGAGAAATCAGGCTCCTGCCTGGCGGGGGACACACACACACACAGAGGTGTCTGCCAGGGCCGCTGACACCCACGGGGGTCTGGGTGGGTGACACAACAACATTTGCCTTCCCTTGGCCACGGAGAGGGAGGCAGCAGTGAAAAGTGAGTGCCCTGCTCAGGAGAGCCAGCTGAGTATAACGGCGCACAAGCGAGTGCAGGAATAATAATAATAATAATAATAATAATAATAATAATAATAATAATAATAATAATAATAATAATAATAATAATAATAATAATAATAATAATAATAACAATATGCATTTCACATATATGGAACCACATGTAAATCAGACTGTGCCCTGGTGGGGCAGCAGCACGGGCAAACGGACCCTCATAGCCATCCAACATAACCACTACCCCAGCAAGAGGGAAGGACAGGAAGGAGTCAGAAGAAACTCATTTATTCTAAAAATACTCGGCTGCTTTGTTTTGTATAAGATTTGGTTTCACTTATTGCTCTCGCACTTCCCCATTCCTCCAGCATTACAAAAATGCTTGAGTGGAGCTACTCTGTGGATGTGAAGTCCAACGTAAGACTTACAGTTCTGCTGACACGGTTTTGGGGTAGTTGCTCTTGCCCTCACCTCCTCCCTCAGACGCTGCGTAGCTCACATTTGCAAATTAGGGATAACAAGCTACTTTAGTTTCACATTTTGAGTATTTCCCATTTTACGTAAGAAGGCTAAGTTACCGAAACACACATTCAAACCAACAGTAAAATGTTCTTTTTAAGCAACCCTCTTTGCCCACAAAGTTTTGTGCCAATAAAGACACTGCTTTCGGGGACAGCAACCCTACCTTCTGCGCATCTCCGGTGAAGTAGGCAATGGTCAAGGTGGGAAGGATCATAAACAGTGCATTGTAATACAGCAAACCGTATTTTCCCAGCTCCTAGAAATAAGAAACATCCGTGTGTTTAAAGCTGGTCCCAAGCAGGAATATAAAACCTTATTCATATTGCTACTGGGCCTTCTGAGCTAAATCCATGTGGGATTCTCAGCGACCGAGCTGGAGGGTGGGGTTTTTTAATATATATATATAAATGTATATATTTTTAATTTTATATATTTTGTATATACATATGTGTGCATGTATATCTACAGATCCATAAAGCAGACTCTGGTAACGAGCTTGCAGCGGGCTTTGTGGTCACCGTCAACCAAAATGCCGTTTTTTTGCTGTCGCAAGGGACCGCAGCTGTAACCGGCACAGGGCAACGCCGGCGGCACTGCCAAACCTCCTGGACGGGAGCTTTTTGGGGAGAGGGACGGGGTCACACCGGGTGAACCTCAACCCCTCTGCCCCCGCCGGTGCGAGCTGCTGCCGTGCCCACAACGAAGCCAGAGCTCGGCCTACCTTTGAATCCAGCTTCTGTTTCACATAGGCACCGTTTGCAGCTGTTAAGGCATCATTAATAAGGATAAAAATATATCCTTCCAGATCGAATGCCAAGTCAGCACTGGGAAAGGGAAAAAAAAAAAAAACTGTAAGTTAAAGTTTCAAGCTGCGCAGAAGGTAACGCTTGCAAGATTCCTTCCACCTTCTGTTTAGTCGGTAAGTTGTCAGAAAAAGTTAATCACGGGAGGAGGGACTGGGATTTGGGTTGGTAAAACATTCTTTCCTACTAGAGAGCATGTCTGAGGGTAAAAAAAAAAAAAAATAAATAAAATTTAAAAAAAGTCAGCTTTTACTCTCTCTTCTTAGGACACACCGTGGTGCTTGATTCACCTCAGCTTTGCTAAGGGACTCCCCCCCAAGCCATGGGAGAGGGGGCAGCAAACTGGGAGCTCACCTAGCAGCTACGAATGCACCGATGATCATGGCAAATACTGTCATCTGAACGCTCCAGGAAAACTTCTTCCTGAAAAGAGAGGCAGGAGGACACCGCCGTCACCCAGAGCTAAATCTTCACTGAGGCCTTGCGAGCGCAGGGAGAAGCCTTTCCTCCCAGCACAGGCAGAGCAGGGGAAGAAAACCCCAAGCAAAAGCAGCAAGTAAAAGCAAGACATTTTTAGACAATTATCTCTGTGATTAAAAAAAAAAAAAAAAAAAAAAAAAAAAAGGCAAACAAGAACTTGGCATCGACGAGGTGCAAGTTTACGGCGTGCTACAACTCTGCCTGTTGCAGGGAAGGGTTCAGCTGGGCACGGGGTGCTTGGCACCCCCCCGGGACCAGCCCAGTGCTGGGGAAGGGGCTGTGGGTGCACGGTGGGAGCGGTTTCGGGGTCTCTGAGTGCTAAGGAGAGCTAGTTAGCGGGGGTGGATGGGCACAAGACACCCCCCACACACACCCTCCCCGGCTTCCAAAACTGCCCTGCCCGGCCAGGCTGCTGCAAACCCCAGTTTAGAGGCAAAAAGCCCTGGCCACACGCGTCCCCAGCACGCCAAAGCACACGGGCACGCTGCAGCACCTCCGGGTTTTTGTGACTCTTAACGGGTGTCTGTCAGCGAGAGACTCACTTGAGTAAGAAACCTTCAGCAAACATCGTAAACAGGATGGAAAACCTCCGCAGGACGGTGAACATCGGCAGGCTGCGAGAGGAAGGTTCAAGCAGGGTGAAAGGGTGTCCCCGTCGTTTGGCTGTGTGCCCCCCCCCCCCCAAAAATCCCTGGGTGCTGCCAAAACGCAGCTCTGCGCCGGGACAAGGGACAAAGCGGCACAAGGGCTCCAGAGCAGGGAGGCATCGGCGAGCCCCCCCCCCACCCCAACCTCCAGGTTTCCTTATGGAAACGGCATTTCTCCCCCCACCCGAGCAAGGTATTGCTGATGTCAGACTTTGTCAGGGTGGGGGGACCCCGGGGACAGCTCCAGCCCCTCACCCATGGTGGGCGAGGGCCAGCCCCGCGTCCCCCCCCCTTCCCAGCGGCTGCGGGGAAAGCGTTTGGAAACACGCGCGGGGCTTGTTTTAACGTGGGTGAAAAAGGAACCGTGACACCCCGAGCGGGTCCTGCCCGGGTCACCCGCACCCCTGGAACGCCCAGCAGCACCCCACAAGCACCGGACCCCCCCCCCCCCGCCAACACAAACCCCATTGTGCACCCCTCTCCCAGGAGAGAAAAGCCATCCATACTTCAGTTTCTTTGTGCTGAACAGTCCTGTGATCTGGTTCCCAAAATACAGGAGAGGTAGAGGAAACGTCTAGAAAATCAGAAGAGGGATAAACGCGCCGCGTGAGTGACCGGAGAAAGCCGCCGAGCTCCCCAGCAGCACCCTCGGTTTATAAAAATATATATATATATATGAAATTATTTCCACCCTGTGCTGGGAGTGTTCGCACGCGCACGTGTCCCAGCTCCTCGCCCTGGAGCTGCTGCGTGGCCGCAGGCTGGCGGGGCAGCGAGCAGGGGGATCCCGTTGCCAAAAAAAAAAAAAGCCCGCGGTGCTGAGCCCGTCACCCGGCCTCGGGGCGGTGGAGGGGTGCCTGAGGAAAGGGGGGGGGGGGGTAGGTGGCTGAGGAAAAGTGGGGAGCGGGGGGGGGGGGGGGCTTACCCGTCGGGGGACGTGCCTGTCGAGGTCAGGGAACTTGACCACCCGCAGCGCCTTGCCCGCCCAGAGCACCGCCACCGTCGCCAGCATCTGCAAGAGAAGGGAAAGGGGGGGGGGGGGGGTGTCAGCCTGACAGCCCCCCAAAAATAAAGGGGGGAAACACACACACACACACACAGGGACACCCCCCCCACACACTCACCTGGCCCAGCCCCACGCACAGCGAGGAGGGGAACCTGCGGGCAGAGAGGAGACATCAGTGGGGGCACCCACGTTGCGGGGGGGGGGGGGGGGGGGCGGGCAGCACCCCCCCACACGCACAGCGTGTGCCTGGGGGAGGGGGATAGCAGTGAGGAGATGGGGGGGCAGTTCCGCCGTGGGAAGTGGGGGGCACCCACGAGAAGCAGGGGGGGAGTTGGCAGCGCGACGCGCTCTGGGTGGGTGGGGGGGGGTAAAGCGTGCATGGAGCGGGGGGGTTAAGGTAAGAAGGTGTGGGGGGGGCGCGCACAGGGGTGCCCGCTGGTGCGCAGCACCCAAGGGTGGGGATGCACGGGCGCGGGGGTCTCGCATCGCGGAGGGGGGGGGGGGGGGCTGGAGCAAAGCACACCCCACACCCCCCCCCCCCCCGCTCCGGGCCGCGGGCCGTACCCGTAGGTGGTGAGGACGCTCTTGTTGACGACGACGATGAGGAAGGAGCTGAGGCCGTAGAAGGCCGCGGCCAGCAGCTTGAGGCAGAGCGTGAGGCCCGGTGCCGCCATGCCCCGCTCCGCATCGCCGGGCGCGGGGGCTCCCGCGGGGGCTCCCCCCTCGGCCCCGGCCGCCCGGCGGCTGCGCGCCCGCCGCCACGACATGGCTGCGGGGGCGGGGCCGGGGGCGGGGCGATGGGCGGGGCGAGGGGCGGGACGATGGGCGGGGCGATGGGCGGGGAATGGAGCCTACGGGGGGGGGGGCAGGACGTGGAGGGTGTTGTGCAGGGGTCTGGTGAGGGGGGGGGTATCCCACGGCGGGGGGGGGGGGGGACATCCCACGGGGGGGTTGTAGGGCAGGGGTCTGGTGTGAGGGGGGGGGGACGGGGTCGGGGGGGCCATCCCATGGGGGGGGGTTATTGCGCAAAGGGGTCGGGGGCGGGGGGCATCCCACTGGGGGGGTTATGGGACAGGGAGGGCATCCCACGGGGCGGTTGTGGGACAGGGGTCTGGGGGGGGGGGGGGGGCCCTTGGGGGGGGGGGGGGAGGGGCATCGCACGGGGAGGTTGTTGTGCAGGGGTCTGGTGAGGGGGGGGGTATCCCACGGCGGGGGGGGGGGGGGACATCCCACGGGGGGGTTGTAGGTCAGGGGTCTGGTGTGAGGGGGGGGGGGACGGGGGGGCCATCCCATAGAGGGGGTTATTGCGCAAAGGGGTCGGGGGGGGGCATCCCACAGCGGGGGTTATGGGACAGGGAGGGCATCCCACGGGGCGGTTGTGGGACAGGGGTCTGGGGGGGGGGGGGGGGCATCCCGTGGCGGGGATTTATTGAGTAAAGGGGTCAGGGGGGTTGGAGAGCAGGGGCCTGGTGGGGAGGGGGTGGCCCTTTTGGGGGGGGGGGGGAGCGGGCATCGCACGGGGAGGTTGTTGTGCAGGGGTCTGGGGGGGGGGGGGTATCCCACGGCGGGGGAGGGGGGACATCCCACGGGGGGGTTGTAGGGCAGGGGTCTGGTGTGAGGTGGGGGGGGTCGGGGGGTCATCCCATAGAGGGGGTTATTGCGCAAAGGGGTCGGGGGGGGGGCATCCCACAGCGGGGGTTATGGGACAGGGAGGGCATCCCACGGGGCGGTTGTGGGACAGGGGTCTGGAGGGGGGGGGGGGGGCATCCCATGGCGGGGATTTATTGAGCAAAGGGGTCAGGGGGGTTGGAGAGCAGGGGCCTGGTGGGGAGGGGGTGGCCCTTGGGGGGGGGGGCGGGCATCACACGGGGAGGTTGTTGTGCAGGGGTCTGGGGGGGGGGGGGGTGCCATCCCATGGGGGGGTTATTGCGCAAAAGGGTCAGGGGGGTGCATCCCACAGTGGGGTTATGGCACAGGGGCGGTCATCTCACGGGGGGGTTATGGCACGAGGAGGGGGGCATGCCATGGGGGTTTTACTGTACAGGGGTCTGGGGGGGGGGCAGTGGGGGGGGGGGGTTATGGCACAGGGGTCTGGGGAATCCCACGGGGGTGTTATGGCACAGGGGTTTTGGGGGGGGAGGGCATCACGCAGCAATCTGTTGCACAGAGGGGGGGCATTGCATGGGGCATGGAGGAGGGGGGAAGGGACACACGGGGGGGGGGGGGGGGGGGGAGTGTCATTGCCCGGGGAGGGGCACGGGGGATCAGCACCCTGCAGGGTGTTGCCCTTGGGTGACCCCGAACGCAGGATTTTGGCACCAGGCCTTTCCCTTTCGGAGATTAAATCTTCCCCTCCGGGCCACGTTCTGCCAAGTGGAAAAAAAAAAAAAAAAAAAAATAAGGCAGGTTGGAAAGAAATCAAAAAAAAAAAAGAAAAAACAAATCCAAACCACCACCCTATAGGTTACATCAGAAAAATATGGCATTGTTTAGGATTTTGCTGGAAAACAAGAACTAACACATACACCTAAAGCAGTCATCGCTGTGGTATCTGCTTTCCCTTGCCCACGCATCCCGCGCGCAGCCCGCTCCCACCCCGCACGGATATTGGGGTGCCCACGGTTTGGGGAGGGGGGGGGGGTCTGTACCCTGCAGCACATACACTCACACCCCCCGGGGACCGCACAGGGCTGGAGGGAGAAAACCAAGCGTGGGTGGCCACGGGGGTGCTCAGCGAGTGGGTGGCGGGGGGGCTGGAAGGGGGGGGTTTGGGGTGTCACGGGTTTTGGGGGGGGGGGGGGGCAGGATGAACCCCAACCCGGCAGCCCCAGCGCTTTAGGATGAGGAGGCAAACCCGCTGCGGGATGTTTGTTGCCCTTGGTGGTGTTTTGGGAGGAAACGGTCCCTTTTTGAGCATTTTATCCCCAATTATCTCCCTGCCCCGTCCAGACCTGCCCCGGGGAACCGCCAACCACGCGAAACGGGGTGTCCGGACCCCCCTGGGTGCACGCTCACCCTCACCCCGAGGGAAAACCAAATTCTTTCCCCAAATTTCCTTTTTCCCGGCCGATCGGCGTCCCCCGCCGGCGGTGAAGGGGCGCGGGAGGAGCGGGGCCCGTTCCTGTCAGCAAGGACAGACCCGACTCGTAAACCCAGGAGCAGCTTTCCCACACCTAGGCTGTCCTTTTAGCACTGGCCAAAGAACGCACTGAAGAAAAAAAAAAACAAAAAACAAAAAAAAACGAAAAAAACTTTCTCATTGGCATCACTTTCCTTGTTCCTGCGCTCAGGGTCCTGTCCATCCTTATCAAACCGCAGCGCAGGTTTAGACCTGGAAATATTTGCTCCTCCAACAGCAGAGAGGAACCGAATCCTGCCCGGACACCGGCGCCAACCGAATTGACGCAAACGGCCCCAATTCCCAGTCCTGCCCTCCTTTTGGTGACCCCAGTGATGGCCGGGGTGCTGCAGAGCCCTGCGAACCCCATTTGGGGGGGGGGGGGGGGTGCAGGGAAGCACCCATGGGTGCAGCCCCTCTGTCCCCGCCAGCGTCGAGCACGGCGCGAATGCCGCCGCGGCGGGTTTAAAGTCAAATATTTAAACCCTCTGGGTGAAGGGGTTTGGTCAAGGTGCGGGTGCCGTGGTGCAGGCACGGCGGGGCGGGGATGTTTGTGCCTGGGATGACCAACTCCGTGTGTGTGTGTGTGTTCCCCCCCTGTGTCCCCCCCCTCCCCGTGCCGAGCACAGCTCTGGGTATGACACAAGCGCCTCGCTTTTGGCAGCAAAGCCCGTGCTGGCCCGACCTTTCCTTCCTGCTAAACTAAGCCTCTGAGTCACTGCAGTAATTTCAGCGTGCCCAGCCAGCAGCGAGCCCACCAAAGAGAACAAATGTTAAATTAATCCGCTTTTATCTTAATCACGTTTGACAACCAGCTCAGCCGGAGGTTTCTCCCCAGTGCCAAACTGGTGACGACTCCCAGGCCAGCGTGCACATTATGGGAAAGGGGGGGGGGGGGGGGGAAAGGGGCTGCAGAGCCCCGTTCCCCCCCCTCCCCAGGGGACAAGGGCCGAGGCGACGGCAGGATCCGGCGGTGGGGGTGGGGGTGGGGGGGTCAGGGCAGGTTTCGGCACCCGGCGAGGAAGTTCTGCGAGATGCAATCGCGCAGTTGGGAAAGTCACGCTAGAGCGGAGGCGGGAGCGAGGTGCCACGGCCCCCACGTATTTTCTTGGCTGCTTGAATTCAGGGCTGGCGGGTTCCCCCTCCCGCCTCCCCCCCCCTCAAAAAAAAAAAAAAAAAAATGGGTGCTGCAGGCAGGGGGGAGGAAGGGGTGCAAGCCCTTGATGCGACTGAGGGAGGTTGGGGGTCGGGGGTGACTGACCCCAGCCTGGGGTGGGACGTGGGGACGATGGGCTGGCAGGCGTTTGGGTGGAAAAAGGCTGGGGGGCACCCCGGGCCCCCGGGGAAACAGGCACTGGGTGCTGATAGTGCCCTATTGGGAAGCGCTGGGAGAATCCTGCTGTGCCGTGCCAGCCTCTCCACGGCAGCAAAATGCTGGCAAGGGATTTCTAAACATCAGGCTGTAAGCAAGATCTAAGAGCCTCGAAAGGAGCAAGAGGCAGGGTGGGGTTTGGAAAGGTGAGGCCTTCGGGGGGAGGTCAAAGCAACTGGGATTTCTGAGCACGGGAAGGAGAAAGTGCGGGGAAGAGCCAGGCGTGAGCGTTTCCTCCGCTCCCCTCCTGCCTGAGGGCTGGCTGTATGGGGGCACGGAGCCCGCAGCTCCCCGAGGCCCCTCAGGAAGAGATACGAAGACGTGAGTTTAACCGGCACCAGAAAGGACGGAGGCTCTGGGAGAAAATGGGAATCAGAAGCTCAGAGGGGAAGGGGCCGAGGCTGGGTGCTGGGGAGCAGCCGCCGCGCACCGTGGCTGGAGGCACACTGCACCGCACCCAGATGTGCTGCGCCGGCTCCAGATGTGCTGGGTTCCTCCCCCCCCCCCCAGCTCCAGATGTGCTCCCCGCTCCAGATGTGCACGCTTGCGGTGCCACCCCGGAGCCGGGGGATGTAACCTGGCTCCAGATGTGCACGCTTGCAATGCTGCCCTGGCCCCAGATGTGTGCCCCGCAGCGTTTCTTCCTCCGCCCCCGGCTCCATCACCCCCCCTGCCCCTGCAGGGACCCCCCCCCCCCCCCTCGGCTCCCTCCCCTCCACACCGGGACCCCCGAGCCGCAGCAAAGCCCACCCGCAAGGCAAGACGCACGCCCCCCCCTCCCTCCACCTCCTGCAAACAGGTTTTGATCGATGAATGCTAATCCTTACGTTATATAACACCTGAAACACACCTGTAACGTGCCGAAACGAAAATTCCCACCGCAACCTTCCCGGTCTCGCTGGGGGGGTGTGTAACTCTACACACAGACGCACTATACGTGTCGTTGTAACTACACATTATAGTTTCAGCGCACAGTGAGGCTTCCCCCCCCACGGTGCCAGCAGGCTAGCGCGCTTGCTTTCACTCACCCTTCATTTTCACAAAAAATCCCCGTGGATCCATCAAACCCCAGGGCTCGCTGGCAGAGGAGGGGTCTGCCTTGCCCCCGGGGAGGGGGGTAAATTATGTTTCCTTAACATTTCCTTCTGCGAGGGCAGAGGCAGGCGAGCGGTGCGGTATTTCCTGTGGTTGCAGTGTCTAATGAGGTTAACACTGTTATTGAGGTTTAACTCTTCAACCGATACGAAAAAGGAAGCCACGGGCTCTGCAGACGGGAGGGTTTGGGACCGACGGCAAGAGCCGGTGGGATGGGGAGCACCGGGGCAGCCCCAGAGTCCTTCTGCCCCCCGGCCCCGGGGGTCCCGAGCATCCCCAGACGAGCTGGGGATCGGCACAAGCAGAGGGGGTGACAGTGCCGGTGAAAACCACCACAGTCCTTAAAGATTTTTTTCACTGCAGGCTTCGGGATTCGTAGAAAAATGTTCTTTTCGCTGACAGATCTCAGCCTGGCTCCCCAGGACCCCTCCGCTGGGCTCCTGCCGTCTCGCACACAATCATAAAAATCCAGTTGGGATGGATTTAAAGTTACGCGGGGTGGGGAGGGGGGTGGGGGTGGGGGCGGCCTCCAAATACTGTAACAACTTAAAAACTAAAAAGACAACCCCCCCAGCCAGCCCAGGGGCTGTTCCTTTAAGGGATGCTGGGTTTTCCCATGGACTGACTCAGACTGGAAACTCTCAGTTTTTCTCGGCGCAGCAATCTAGGTCAGGCTTGCTGACACTTGCTGATGCTTCTCGCCGCGCTCGGCAGCCCCGGCCACAGCAGGAGGCAGAGGGGCCCGGCAGCACATGTCTTGAGAAACAGCAAGGTAAGGACCCCCCCCCCTTCCAGCTCCCAGCCCTCTACCACCTGGATTTAAAGCCCTAAAATATCCCAGCTCGTGTTTCTCGGCTGCTGCTTCTGTGCGTTAGCTGCTCCTGACACCCATTGCCCGTAAAGATTTCGCGTGGTTTGGGTTTGCACAATCCAGACAGCTTTTTCCTTCTGCATTTGCTTCGCATTTCTTCGGCGCTAATGGACGAGGAGGCTTTTTAATACGGATGAGATCACAGACCATGCATCTCTCAATAAGAGGAATGGTCTCCTTCCTTCCGCCTTCGGAGTCTGCAAACTCGGAGTTTGCAAACGCCTGTAAATTGGAATAAAACGCGAGCGTGAGTGATCTCCGGAGAAGTCAGACCCTGAGGTCTTGTCTTAGAGCTGGCAGTCAGGCAGGTTTATTGTATTTTCAGCTCTTTTCAGAGACCATGAGGGTTTGGGTTTGGTTTTTTTGGTTTGTTTTTTTTTTTTTTTCCATTTGTTCTAACTTGCAGAAGGTTTGCAGGCAACTGGGAGGCCTTCAGGTTCTCTTAGTGGGTCAGGTAATAGGAAGGCACTTGAAATCTGAGTCACTAGTTATGAACAGCCCTTAAACGAGGTCAACTCATACAGCAGCAGAAATACAAAAGCGTTAGCTGCAGCTAGTAGCCTGGTTTGGGTTGAACAATGTCATTTTGAGGCTTTTACAGTGGGCTCTGGTCTGGCCTGTCCCTCAAGGGCAAACTTGCCATTTCTAACGTCAGGTTTGGTGCAGGGCTATTTTAATTATTGCTGGCTTAGAAAGAAAAACTACGGAGGCGCCGGGGCTTTGCTCAGCTCTCAGCGCCGTGCACGTGAGCGGTGGGTAAGGTGATGGTAAGGGTCTGCCCAGCACCCAGCCCCGCGCCCACCGCAGCATCCCCCCAGCCTTTGGGGCTGGGGAGGAAGGAGAAATGAGCAGGGAAAAATTCAGGCAAGACTGTGGGATGAGGACAAGAGTGTGGCTCCTTGGGGAGAGAGGGGAAGCCCTTTCCTGGGATTTTGGGACTTGGGGGGGGGGAACGCTGCCAGGAGGAGCCACGGCTCGGCTTGGGCAGGTCCCTTTCCCACAGGACCCACGGGGGAAAGACGTTCTGGGAACAGGGGAAGTTTCTGTCCCACGAAACCGTGTCTGGGTGAGTCTCAGCGTCTCCAGGGATGGAGACTGCCGGGCAGCCGGCCCCATGCGTGCTCACCCTTAAAGTGCTTTTTTTTTTTTGGTGTTTAACGGGAATTTCCTGATTTTCAACGTGAGCCCACTGCCTCCTGTCCTGGCGCTGGGCACCACTGAGAGGAGTCTGGCTCCCTCACCTCTACTCCATCAGACATCCATACCCAAAGATAAGACGCCCTGAGCCCTCTCCTCTCCAGGCTGAACTGCTCTCCCAGCCCTTCCTCACATCTCAGGGGCTCCAGACCCTCAGGAATCTTTGTGGCCTTTGCTGGACTCGCTCCAGTCTGTCCCTGTCTCTCTTGTCACGGGGGGAGCTCAGTCACAGACCCAGCAGTCCAGATGTGTCCACCCCAGGGCGGAGCAGAGGGGCAGGATGAAAACAAGCAGCATCCCCCTCACCCACCACGCCAGCCTGCTTCGAGGCAGGCTCTGGGGCTGCTCAGGCATGATTTCCCTTTCGTAAAGCCACGCTGGCAGCTCCTGGTCCTCCTGCGTGTGCTGGGAGCTGCTTTCCAGGAGGATTTGCTCCATCTCCTGCCCGAGGGTGGAGGTGAGGCTGTCCTGAATGCGCTTCCCCCCATCTTCCCTGCCCGGGGTGACCAAAAACTGCGTGAATATACACATCTGTGTAAGGAAAGGATCGGAGAAATTTCACAGATATAAGGGAAACGTCACCGGGGGTGGGAGCTCAGGGAAAGTGGCTTTGGGGCCACTCACTGGGGCTGGACGCTGGGCTCTGCTAGTGGGGTGCGTGTTACCCGCAACGCTGAGTGTCCCCCCTCTGCTCCCACCGCTGGCATGACCCGACCTGACCCCAAAATCCCCAAGGAAACCCTCGCTACGCATCCCCCCCACTGCCGCCCCTGGGGCGGTCCCTCAGCGTCCCCGGGGGCGCGGGCAGCGGCTGGTGGGACAACCCCCACTTTTCCTCCCACCCAGGACCGCGCCACGCGTGGGCGCCGGCCGCGGTGTGGGCCATGGCGAGCTCCGGCGAGGTTTTGGCACTCCAGGTCCTGCTCTGCTGCCTGTGCGGAGGTAAGCGGCACCGCGGCCACAGCAGCGTCACCCTCGCTGGCCACGGGAGCAAAGACCCCGGCCCAGCTGGGAAATCGGAGCGGGAAAAATTATAGTGTCACTGCGATGGATTTGGAGGGGAGGCACTCACATCCTTGGATGGGGAGGGGGGGGGGCTGCATCCAGCTGCCTGGCAGCACGTTTCGGCGGCTGCCACCGGCATCATCCTGCCTCCGCGCACGCGAAGCCGGAGAGCAGCTACACCCTTTCCAGGAAGGCCAGATCGAGCCCGATACCGGCTGCGAGCCGGCTTTGCCGGGGCTGGTGCAGAGCCTTCATCTGATAGCGAAGGGCAGCTGCGTGGGGGCTGCCGCCCTAATCTCGGGGGATCAGAGCTCTCAAGACTACGGGTTATTTCCTTGCAGTCATTTAAGCCTTAGAGCAAAACCTAAAATTGGTGAAACTAGCTGTTTCCGATCTGAGGGGATGAGTCACTGGGTGCCTGGTCGCTGCTGAAAGGGGTTTATCCCTATTGCTTGGGGAGGGGGGGGGGGGGGGGGGAGTGGAGCGAGGGGGCTGGGGGGGTGCTGCCCCCCCCCACCACGCTGCTGCCTGCACCCCAGCAAAGCAGGCGCCCGTGGCGGAGCGGGGCAGCCCGCGGGCATCATCTCCTCCCGTGGGACGCCCACCCGGAGCGGCGGTGACCCGGCGGGTGTTGGCGCAGGTGTGGCAAACATCAAGTGCTCAGGGCACGTCTGGATCGAGCCGGCGCCGGTGGTGCGGATGGGCTCCGACATCTCCATCAACTGCCTCTCCACCCTCGGCTGCCCCTGGGCCAAGTTCTTCATCTTCCTCAACTACAGCCCCGCCGAGGGTCCCCTGCACCCCCTCAACAGCAGCACCGTCCAGCTCCGGCTGCGCGATTTTCGGATGCCCGTCGGGGCCGTCGCCTGTTTCGTCAGCTGCCCCAACACCCAGAGTCGCTGGCTGGTGTGCGGCGCCGACGTCCTGGCCGGCTGTGAGTACCCCCCCCCCCCCCCCCCCCCCCCCAGGCTGTGGGGTTTCGGTGATTTTTGTTAAGCCGCCAGCACCGAGGAGGTCGGGGAGGGGGGTGTTTGGTGGTGGTGGGGGGGGTGGGTTGCAGCAGCTTGGGTTTGGCACCGCTCGAGGGGTACCCGCACTCTCCGCTCGGCTTTGCCTCCGCAGACCCCCCGGACCCCCCCCGGCAACCTGAGCTGCAGCATCCACGAGCACTCGGGGCGGCTGGCGTGCATGTGGGACGCGGGGCGACCCACCCACCTACGCACCCACTACGCCCTCCACCTGCGCAGGTAAGGCCCCGTGGGATGGGGGGGGGTTGATGCGACGAGCCAAAGGCAACCAGCAGAACCAGTGCAGGGCGTGCGGTCGGGGCACGGCGGCCACAAACCCCCGGGGTGACGCCGGGGCTGCTCAGCTGCTGGCAGAGGGCACCGTGCCCTAGTTAACGCTTCCTAACTCAACCTGACGCCTTCCCTCTCTCCCGCTTGCAAACCGCACGCGAAACCCCCCGGGGTTTCGTTCTGCACGGTGGCCCTGCGCACGCTCAGTGGCCCAGCAAAACATCTCATCGCATTGCCGGGCATTGCAGCCATCGTGCATTTTTTTTTTTTTTTTTTTGGGGGGGGGGGTGGGGGCTGTTGGAGGCAGATGGGTGGACTTTTTCTAAGCTAAAGCGCTGAGAGGGTGCAGCCGGCAGTTTGCACCTAACGCTGCCCGAACCCTGAAACTGAAACTCGAGCAGAGCACGAGAAGCTTGAAGCTGAAGCGGGTGTGCCGGCTGCTGCCTTCCGACCCAGCCCGGGATGCTCCCTGCCACGTTTGGCACTGAAGCCCCCGTGACACAAAGCTGGCAGGCTTTCAAAGATAATCTGAACCGATTATTAAAGTAAGCGCATTGAAATCCCGCCATACGTCGGCTTTGTGAAGAGAAGCAATTAACCGCCTAGCCTAAATTCGCTTGGGCTCAAACCCTGAGGAGCTGAGAAAGCTGCCTTCCCCCCAGCGAAGATGCAAACGCCCCGCAGAAGCGTCGAGAACCGAAGGCCATGACTTTCTCGTTGGCTTTAAGAGTGACAAACACCAGGCCTGGAGGTGACCGTGCCCCGGTCGTGAGCTGCGACCCCCTCGAGAGCCGGGGCTGCCTTTCCAGCAAGCCGGGACGAGCTCTGACCGGGGCCGCTTTCTGCTTCCCAGCGCGGGGACGGTGGATGGTGCTGAGGAGGAAGAGGAGGAGGAGGAGGAGGTTTTCCCCGCCGGCTCGCCGGTGCCGCTGAGCGCGCTGCGCGGCGGGACCCGCTACTCGGCGTGGGTGCAGGCCAGCAACGCGCTGGGCGCTGCCCGCTCGGCCCCTCGGCTCCTCGACCTGCGGGAGCTGGGTACGTCTGTCCGTCCGTCCGCCCGCTTGAGGGGCACGCAGGGGTGACTCGCGACAGCAGACACCCAGACCCCCCCCCCCCCTCCCGTGTCCCCCGCAGTGGTGCCCGCTTTGCCCCTGGCCGCCGGCGCTGAGACGACGGAGACGTCGCCTCCCACCACCACCGTCCTCTGGAGGAGGCAGACGCTGCTGGAGAACGTGCGCTGCGAGGAGCGGCACAAAGCCGCGGGCGCCTCGGCATGGCATGTGAGACAGCCCACGACCCCCCCCCAAAAAAACCTCCCCCCACGCAGACCCATACTCTGAAGCTGCCCCCCCCCCCCCCCCCCCCATTAAGAGAAGCGCCAGTCCCACTGGAGAGCACCCACGGGTGATGGGAGCATTTGGGGGGTCATTCCAAACCCACCCCTTTGCTGGTGGGGGGCGTGCACCCCCAGCCACAAGCAGCCCCCCCAACCTTTAGACAGACAGCTTTTTGGGCAGGGTTATCTCTGCTTTTAAAACAAAAAAAAAAAAAAGCAAAATTCAAAATATTCTCCCTAAAGGTGACAAGGCAAACAAGTCTGCAGGGATGCTCAGCGCTTCGCCGGTCGCCCCCCCACCCACACGACACTTGGGGGGCAACAACACCCTTTTGGAACCCTCCCCGGGTGTTGGCGGGGGCTGAGCCCTGATCCCAGCACCCACTGGAGCCCCTCCGAAATTTCCGTGGTGTCACAAGCCCAGTGTGTGTGTGTGTGTGGGGGGGGGCTCTCGCTGCCCACCCCGCCCCCCCCATCTCCCCCCAGCCGAGGGGACTGCGTGCTCACCGTGTCTCGCAACAGCATCAGCCTCAAAAACACGTGCTGGAGCACCGCGGCGATGGGGACCCCCGTGCCCCGTTCCCCCCACCTCCATGCAGGCGACCGCCGCGTGCTCCCGCTCTGCGTGGGGGGGCTGGTGGTGATACTTGGGGGGGGGGGGATCAGCTGGGTCCTGCTCCCCCCTAGCACCCTGCTTTTTCCTCGCAGGTGGAGGCGTGGGACGGTGCGGCACAGCACGGGCCCCGCTCGCGGCACGACCTGCAGAGCAACACCCGGTACGTGTTCCAGGCGAGGTGTCGGCTCAGCCCCACCGACAGCCCCTGGAGCGCCTGGACCCCCCCTTTTCTCTACACCACCCCCGAGGCAGGTAAGCTCAGCCTCCGCTGCTGCTCCGACAACGTTTCCCCCCACCACCACCCCTAAATCTCCTTGAGATGCTCGGCGAGGATCAGACCCGAGCTCCGGCGGCTCGAATCAGCCAGCGACACGCGTGTGCATGGCATGCACGTTGCATGTGCCCGCCGTGGGAGTCCCTGTTCCCCCCCCCACGCCCCCAGAGGCACCGCCACCATCCCCACGCTGCGGCCGAGGGCTGAGCACTCTCACAAGCCGGCAGCTCGTCTCATGCCCCCCCCCCCCCCCCCCCCCCCCCGCCGAGCCCTCATGGCGATTTTGAGGCTGCTGCAGTGTGGTGGGAGCCGGAGAGAAACCCCGCGGGTTTTTTTTTTGCAGGCAGAAAGAGGTTTTCTGTACAGAAAAAGGGACGGGATACGCTTATCCATCTTTGGTAGCTTGCTTTCTCCCAGCAGCAGGGAGCTTGTTCTAGGTGGAAAAGCCACAGTGGCTCACCGGCCGCAAATACCTGTTGTCTTGGGTCAGATTTCCCCCTTCGCATCTTGGCTAGCGACACCGGGATGAGCTTAGCCACGGCCAGCTCAGTTATTTTGGCTGGCAGCAGGCTCAGATGCCCGAGGAGCGATGCCCTCCCTTACACCCCGGTTGCAGGGAGGAAGCCGGGGTCGCGCTCGCCCTAAAAACCAAAAAAAAAAAAAAAAACCCAACACTCGTTGCCGTTTGCAATCGGGGCCGCTTCCTCTCCAAGCGGCGCTTCCCGCCAAAGGCTGCGTGTCCGTGGGAGCCCCGTGCGCGGGTGGGAAGCTCACGCCGCGTCCCACGCTTCCTTCCCGCAGCCCCTGCCGTGGCACCCGACGTCTGGCGGCGCCTGGGCCCGGCCTTCCCGAACGGCAGCCACGAGGTGACGGTCTTGATCAAGGTAAAAAGCATTTTTTTTTTTTTTTTTTTTTTTTTTTTGGCAGCTCCGGAGACATTTTTGCGGGCTCTGCTCCTCCCCGAGAAGAGCGCCTGCCAAGAGGCAGCGGAAGGCGATGCCCTTCCTTTGACAAAGAGATGGGAGGAGGGAGACCCCAACGTGTCCTTTGGGACCAAAAAAAAATCTCCCCCCATCCTTGCAAAATCCACCGGTGCATCACCCAGTCGGGGGGGACGCCTATCCTGGGGTGGGGTGGCTCAGCACCCAACCCTGCACCCATCCCTCTCGCAGCCCCTGCCGCCCCGAGATGCCCGTGGGAGGATCGTGGGCTACGCCGTGGTCGCCGAGAGCCCCGGGGGAACCCGGCTCCTCTGCAACACCTCCAGCACATCCTGCAGCCTCCTGGTACCCCGGGGAACCCGCGCCCTCCGCGTCACCGCTCACAACTCCAAGGGGGCTTCCAGCCCCGCCAGCATCCCGCTCGGCCGGGATGCCGGTGGCCGGGAAGGTGGGAGTTTGCACACACCCATCGCAGCTTTATTTTAATCACTTTTGCAGGGCGGGGGGGGGGGGAAATGCTAGCTTGCGCACGCATGCTTTAAAAGCAAAGGAAAAGCCCCCGCGGAGCTCTGCCGGCTCCACGGGGGGAGCACAGCATCCTCCAGACGAGGCCAGCATCCCGCAGAGATGCTCTGCAGGCACATATCGCAGCCCTCAGCTTCCGAAGGCCGCAGCAACGAGCTTAAAAATAAGTTTGGCCTGCCTGCGTCGGCTGGCAGGGCCGGGCCGGGTGCAAGGCTGCTCCTCCGCTCCCCAAAATAACGCCTGCTGCCAGGGAGGCAGCCCCAGCTGGCTCCTTGCAAACAGAAAGGGAGGGGGAAAAGGAGAAAAAAAAAAAAAAAAAAAAAAAAAAAATTATCCTTCCCAGGCCACCTTCATTTCCCTGCGCCACACGCTGTGGTTTTCCCCACAACCCCACTTTCCTATTTTTGAAAAAAAGTCTCTTTTAATAAGCAACGGGAGGGGAAAGTCCCCTACAAATTGAGGACAAATAGATGACTAAAAAGAAACTAAAGAGAAATAAGGTGGAAAAAATTCTCTAATCTCTCATTTCTTGTAAGAAATGACAGGTAAAGCATTTCAGATGAGACATAACAAAGCTGAAGATGTGCTTTAGTGATATGTGAGCACAGATATATATTTATAAACATAGGTTTTTATTTTTCTAAACATAGGTGGTTTCTGCATATTTATAAGCATGGGGGGTTTTTATATTTATAAGCATGGGGGGTTTTTATATTTATAAGCATGGGGGGTTTTTATATTTATAAGCATGGGGGGTTTTTATATTTATAAACATTATTTTCTTATATTTATATTTTTATACATGCATTTGTGTGTGTATACATACAAACCCGCCACATTCTAGAATTTCTTGTTCCCTCTTCTGTCCTTAAGCACTTTCAGGAGAGACGTTTTGCCAGGCTTTAGCTGACCCTCCCAGGCCTCCCGCTCTTTGAGGATGAGGTTGGGGTGACTCCCCCCTTGCCATCTCTCCCCGCAGAGTTCCCAGCACCGGCGGCCCTGGAGGTCAAGGCTGAGAACCAGAGCAGGGTCTCGGTGGCCTGGCAACCCCCCCGCCGCAGCGGGAGGTCCCCACTCTGGTTCATAGTGGAGTGGGTTTCCACCGCCCGGTATAGCCAGGAGGAGCAATATTTTTGGAAGAAAGTCCCGTACCAAGAAACACACACGTACATCCAAGGTAAGACACTCCAGGAGTCCTTGGTGGGGTTCATCAGGAAATTATAAAACCAAAATAGATCATAAAAAGCAAAGTTTCATTTGAAATTGAGCCCCTGCCCACTTGGTTTTTTTGGGGGAGTAGGCCCTGAAGAGCTCTTGGGGAGCAAGGAGTGAAGCAATGGGAGGCAGGAGGGCAGCTGGTGGGGTTTGGTCCCCCAGGTGAAGGTCACAGGGAAAGACAATGAAGTGGCAAGTGAGCTGGCAGGCAGAGAAGCCACGCTAGACCTGGGGAGGAGATGCACGGGGGCATTTATGGGCCTGGGGAGGAGATGCACGGGGGCATTTATGGGCCGGGGGAGGAGATGCACGGGGGCATTTAGAGGCTGCAGAGAGAGAAGGCTCACCACTTGATGCACCGAGGCTGTCGCTTTAGCACCTCTTCTCCCATGCCCAGAGACACAAGCCTGGCAGCATGAATATCTCAGGACTCATCCCACTCCGTTCCTGCTTCTCACATTAATTCTGGTGTTTATTGAGTTTGGGGTACTTCCTAGCAAGTTACCCAACCAGGCTTTTGCTCTTACACATGTGTTTTTAGGAACAGCTCATGCAGCAGCTTTCCCCAGGGGAGGGAAGGAGTGCAGCAGGCTCAGAGCTGGGGACCCCTCCTCACACCTCCATCTACATTCACCCCTCAGTAACAAGCCCTTAAGCAAGCCCAGAGCTTTCACAGAACTTACATTTTAAAGGCAAATCTTGCTTCTTTCTAGAAGAGGCAATAGCAGAAGGTCACATCAATGTGTCGGTATACGCAGTCTACGCCGATGGAGTCAGCAAACCAAGCTCTGGCCAAGGTAAGCCCCATCAGGGGAAAAGTTGCTCCAATGGAGCTGCAGAGCTCAGCTCGCTGTTTCAGTCTTAATGTGCCTCCAATCTGCCAGTTTTGTAGAATTACTTAGCTTTAGAAACAAAATGTAAAACCCTCCCACTGACCAGAAGAAGGTAAGGCTCTAGGTAGAAACCTCTTGACTGCAGGACATGGAAATGGAGATTTTTTTTATCAATATATCTGTCTGAAAGCCTTCTCTAGTTAATCTTTGCTCCTGTGCATGGTTCTAATGCACACGAGAAGCATATCTTGCTTCAGAAGAGACACCAGTGGAGCCATTCTCCCCTTTTTGCAATAGGAAAGATGAGGTTGCTTTGCACAGATGTAAACGTTATAGATAAACCAAAACTTAGAAAATTTTTAGAGACCAACTGGCCAAGCTGCAGCCTGCCCTTTCTTAGCTGGAACAGGAAGCAGGCAGGATTCAGTTCCCAAAAACATTTTGTATAAGATCATGGGCCAATTTACAAAAGAAATTAAGGACTCTCATCGCCTCCAGCCCTGCGTGCGTTGGCTTTGGCTGGGCTCCCTGAGCAGCTCCATCCCGCTGCTGGTCCTCACCCAGGCGAAGCAGGATCATCCCCACAAAACACTCAACACCCGAGGACACCTCCCAGCCCCACCATACCTGCTCACAGACACCACAGCACCCGCAAAAACCTCAGCGTTTTGGGGTACCACACACAGCGTCCATGGAGAACTGAGACCAAGGTTTAGGACCTCCAGAGCTCCCCCAGCACAGCCCAAATCAGGGCTGAGGGCCCAGGGCTGAGCTTAAATCGAGCCCCTGGGCAGGGGTGTGGGTGGAGGTCCCAGGTGAGGCTGGTCAGGGCCATTAAGAGCTGTTAGTGCCCTGACAGAGCTGGTTGTAGCTGCAGGCAACTGTAACGCCCGGGGATGTCATCTGCTCACCGGCCCACGCTGTGATGCGATTTTAGAGGGGTTATTTGAAGCTGCTCGGGTAATTTCCCTAAGACAGACTCTGTGTTTCTGGTTGGCACCTCTCATGGCTTTGAGAAGGGAAGTTATTCATTTTTTTCCCTCCCAAATTGGAAACAGATATCCCCGACCGGTTCATCCCGGGATGTTCGTGGCTGCTCGCCCTGGCTGTTCAGTGTTATCCTCACGGACACAGACAGCCTTCAGCTCTGGGCAGGTTGGGGTTTGGGCACCTCCAGCTCTGGCGACACAAATTTCCAATGTCCTGACTCTCCAGTGGGATTAAACCTCAGCAGCAGGTCTCCATCTGCGCGGAAGGGGGGAGAGCTGGGTGTCAGAAGGAGGATGCTCCAACCTTTGCATTAGCAAACGGCTTAGAAATGCGTTAAACGCTTAAAAACAGAGACTTCATCCCTGGGGGTTGCATAGACTCCTCTAACAAAGGTTGGGGGGTTTGTGTGGGGAAGTGCCAACGTGAAGCTCATGTCTGGGACAAGGTTTGTTTCCAACACACCAGCACAGCCCACAGCTGACACCCACAGAAAGTCCTCCAGCTTGACTCCACAGGTTGAACCCCATCCTTCACCTTCCTTATTCAGATTGAGCCTGTTCATCGTCAGCAAGGCACTACCGTAATCATATTAATTTTTTTTTTTTTTTTAATTTATACCCGCTCAATATGCCAGTGACACCTGCCACCCAAAACTTCTGAATTGCCAGGCTGCAGAATAATGTACTCCATCCCTTTCCTTCCGCAATCCCGTATTTTTGAGAGACACTTTGCAGCATCCACAGCAGCAGCTGAGTGGGTTTGTACTGCAAACACTCTACTGAGGGAACTGAAATACCTGAGCTACAGGAGCTCTGCTGGGAAACACATATGCTTCAAATGCTCAAAATCAGAGACAGCACATTTTGGGGGATCTTTTTGCCCTTTGGAGAGGAAGAAATTGCATTTGGCCTCGGGTTTGCATTGCAAAGCAAGTACGTACCAGAAGCAGAACGGGCTCCACCGGGCTTGGATAAGCTCTGTCCTTTGACAGCCACTGTTTCATTCACTAAAGGCTGTGATTTCCAAAAGGTTTTCACTCCTTGTCATCTGAACTAGTCTCAACTGACAGGTTACTGACTCTGTTGCAGAAATCGCTGGCTAAAATCAGGTGGCCCGTGTTGTTTAGGATATAAATATATTTTATATATATAGGCTACATTATGCTGGATATCCTTAATTATCTTGGCCAATTGAAGCCCTGTGACTGTAGATGAGGATGCTAGCTGCTTTTCTTATTAATGCTGATCCTCTGCTTAAATGCATTCAGCTTTCTGCTGCCCCGAGGGGATGTTTGGCTTGGGCCAGGCGATGGCCCCGCTCTGAGGAGGAGATGTCCTGGCCCTGCCGGGCTGGGGCAGCGGGTGCTCGGGGACAGAAAAGCAAACATGAGGAGCACCAGGATTTTTCCTAAAGCAGTCAGCCAGCCGAAGGGTACAGAGGAGTCTTCAGGCGTGCAAATGCAGGGTTTCATCAAGCACCTGGATCCTTGGGCTGCTAAAGATTGCTTATTTTAGCAGAAATACACTCCTTGCCATGGCTGGCTCTTTAGCTACAGATCTTCCCTCGCCGCCCAGCCCATCACACAAACAGACACTATCAGAAAATTCAGTCCCGTGGAGTTCAGACACTTCGGGACATAACCTGGAGGTGCCCCTGAGAAATGATGTGTAATTTCTCAGGAAGGCTGAATTCTTGTTTCAGGTGCTGAGGGGAGCGATGTGCGTGGGAAGATGCTTTGTAATTGATGCTATGTGTTCATCAACATCTTGTTTAACTGGATCTCTGAGAAACAGGAGATCGTGTAGAGTCCAGCCAGGGCTGGAGTTACTAATTACTTGAGGGGGCTTTATCTTTCTCATTATACCATTATTTATTTTTCTAAATAATATTAACAAAATTAAAATAAGCCATAGCGTCTGTGCTACCTGCTGTCCTCTAAATTAAGTTATGGACATTTTTTCCTCTCTCTCTGTTTAAGTGCCTTCAGAGGACCATCTCCTGGGCAGCACCTACAGCGAGATCCCCCATGGTAAGAAAATCGTAGCTTAGACTTGGTAAGCCAGACTTTCTCCTTAACCAGAAGTGGAAGTTTTAGCACAAGCAGCGCCTGCAGCATCTGGTGATGAAGAAGAGGAAGCACCCTTACGCCTTGGAGAGGTCAAGGCCAGAAAAGCAACTTTTCACTTGATGGGGAGATGAGCCACATGGCAGGGAAGGCTGCAGTGCCCTCACGGATGAATAGCACCCGCAAAACGCTTGCCTTCAGTTTTGCGTTCTTATGAGACTCATAATATAATGTACATTACAACGAGTAGGAGATAAGAAAACAAGGAAAATGTAAGATAATGCTGACATATATCCTAGCAGCGATAGACTGTTTCGATCTTGCAGTTTGAACCAGAGACTCATTTAAACATTTCCCATCCATTTTTCTAACTTTCGGTTACGCTCTGGTTTGTACATCTTCTGCTAAAGGTTACGTTATGATCTGTGGCAGTGCTTAAACCAAAAGCAAAACCAGCGTAAGCTGAAGAATTCACTTCAGCGTTTCTGGAAGGTAAGGCGGCGTAGGAAATGGTTAAACACGGCGACCACACCTCGTGGGCGAAGGGGCCGTGCACGCCCTGGTCACAGCACAAGGCGGATGGGCCACCACTTCGGGCACTTTTTGCTTTTGTTCTGGCTTTGCTTCCTTCACTGAGGAGCGAAAGGGCAAGTGAAATGCTGGTTTAGCAAAGATCCACCCTTTACATCAACGGCCGTCGTGGCAGCCGGGGCGGCGGAGCAGAGCCACCCGATTGACCTTCTTCTTCTCTCTCCTTTTCCAGACGATGACATCGGAGTTTTCCTGGGGCTGGGCGCCAGCGTGGTCATATTATCGGTGGTTTTTGTAATTCTGATGCTTAAAAAATCAGCCAGGAGAAGGTATTGCTTTCTCCTCCGCAATTTGTTTCCTTATTTCCAACTCATACTTTTCTTCCAGAATATTCTAAAATTAACTGCAGAAACCAGGCCTTTTCACTGCATTTACCAAGGGCAACCTCACCTATTAATCAGATTCCTATATGAAAAGACATTTGCGTGCTCTCCAGTAAGGCAGAGACCAGCAAAAAAAGTAAAAAATCTGTAAAGGCCAGCCTTAGAGATACATGGGATTATTACAGAGATACAAGGGCAGGGGTAGAAAAAGAGAGGAAAACCACAACCTCTGTAGGTAAGTTTTATCCTAGGGCTTGTTACTCCCCGTGTTGGCAGAGGGGGGGGATGCTGAAGCCCCTCACGCCTGCACCCTGAGGGACAGGCAGTGGAGCAGCTGGAAAACTCAACGGGGAGGATCTTAATACTGGTTTTCACACTGCTGTTCACTAGGCATCCTCCCAAACCAGTGCTCGTCTATCCCAGTTTGCCGCTTAGCTGGAATAGGGATGAGCAGGAGTCCGGGCACCGCTGTCCCCGCCCCAAATCCAGCAATGCTCAGCAAATTTAAAATCTCTCATAAATAATTTTAATTTCTGCAGCAGCTTCGGCTGTGGGAAGATCACCTTTCATTACTGCTGTGCGTTCGATTTCATCAGGTCAGGGCACACATGCCTCCTCTGGTTCGTACACATAGCTTGGTCCTCCCCCCGTGTCCCAGTTTAGCCACGTTTCCACACACAGGCAAGTTTTACATAAGGGATTTCTCAAGGGTAATTTAGCTTCCAGGCTTGCGCTGCCATGAATCAAATCTGGGGGAATAAGGTCGAAAGATGAAGAGCTAGAGTTCAGCTGGGGAAACACCCCCACAAGGAGTAAACCTGGGGCTCCCAAGCCATCCTTGGAGGATGGATGTACTTGGTGTGCCCCTCCTGCCAGGGGACACCTTCATCCCGCATGCAGAATAAGTGACTGATAAAACAGACTTATATCTTGGTGTTTGTTTTTGTTTTTTGTTTTTTTTTTTCCTTTTTGCTAAAGATTTAAGGCCACTGTTGTATCGCTCTTGCCAAAATGGCTGTTTGAAGACTTTCCCCACATGGAAAACAGCAACGTGGTAAAGTCACTCCAGGTAACTGCACCGCTATCTCCCGTATTATTATTCTGCCCTGTCTCCCCTTAGATTAAAGCTTGCTCCAGAGCTGTGAGAAACACGGATGGGAAGAGGATTCAGCCCTAAGGGACCAGGGACTGGTCAGGAATCATTTCCCAGGCATTTGCAAGGTGCACAGGAGCCCAGCTTAGCTGAGGTCTTTAAACCTTGCCTGAATATACTCTTTATTCCGTGGTCACAGCCGACTCAAGCTCCTCTCGAAATGCTTGCAGAAGCACGGAGACAGGCAGAGCTGCTCCCCATCTTCTCTCGTCCAGCTCGCTGCAGTCCCTCTCACAGGGGGGTTTGGATGAGAGAGGTGGGAAGGAAGACGAGGCAAAGACAAGTCATCGCCCCATTTCTTCCTTGGGATGCTCTAATGATACCTCTCCCGTGGGTAAAATTTGCCAATTTGTTACTACGCTCATCGGGTTTTTTTTTTTCCAGGAAAAGAGTGATTTCACGAGTAACAGTTTCCACGAGCCGTTCTTGGACACCAGTGACCCCACAGTTATGGAAATCGAGGAGGTGCCGGTGCACGAGGAGTGCAAGGACGTGGCCACCAAAAAGAAGCCCAGCAGAGAGGTCCCCGAGGACGGGGAGCGCCGGGGGAGCACATCCCCTGCCAGCATCGTGACCCCCGAGCAGATCAGTGACTACAAACCTCAGGTGTCCGACGGGAACCCGCTGGGGTACGTCGCTGCCAATATTTACCAAACACAGCCCCCAGCACCCCTCCCAGAACCGGAGATGAACGTCTTCTTCCGAGACTACACGAGCCCCATTCCCCACCTGTGGGACGGGGAGGGAGGGGGGGACCCCGTCTGCCTGCTGAAGAAGATCAACCTCATCCTAAACAACAGCCGGAGCGGGCAAAGCCACGCGTTCGGCTCAGCTCAGGGGGGGCACGGGTCCCCCCCGGAGAGCCAGTGGGGACACGCGCTGGGCAGCGATGCTCAAGAGCAAACGCTGGTCCCCGACGAGCTCGTCTCCTGCCTGAGAGCCACGAACGGGGAGTCGCTGGATATAAAGACCTGCTTCCCGCAAGGCATCGGGAGGTTATTTTGAGGGAAGTTGCAGCTGTGATTAAAAAAACCCGAAGCGACGACCGCGGCACAGATCAGCCTCTGAGATTGCAAACAGCAGAACTGGAGCAAAACCCCACATCTGACATTTGCCCTCTTTCTTGACTACAAATTCTTGTGGCTGCCTGGAACGCTTTGGCCAGTAAATCAAACTGTTAAACTTACCTCATACTGTCACAAGCATAAAAACCATAAAACTTGGATTCCTGTAAGAACTGAAATACAGAGCAGGTGATTTTTGCAGAATGTAATATGCTTCAATTATAATTCAAAGTCATTCTCTTGTTAAATGCTTGGAGTATCTCAACCCTGGAGCTGATTGCAGTTAAGATGGATAAAATGATCCCTGAGACATCCTGACTGAATTGTGTAAAATATCTTGGGATCATTCCTAATGAAAAGACACTACACCGGGGAGGATTTCTATATCGTACAGCAGACAGGGGTACCAGGACCAAGAAATCTTCTCTGTATGACAGAATAGCCCAATTTCACATTTTCCCTCCCATTCAATAATAAAAACTACATCAGGTAAGAGCAAGCCTTCGTCATCTTCCAGGCTGAATTAAAGTCTCTCTAAATTGGTCACAGGGCAGATTCTTTGTGTGTGTGAAGGATTTATCATCTCCTCACAGCAGCTTGCCGGCCTCAGCCTCACGAAGCAGAACATGGCACAGCGACAGAGCATTTGTCTGGCACATGACAGGGAATTTTGGATCTTATGAAATACAGAAAGTGAAATACAGGAGTCTCCTTCTTGCTGAACGGTTGTGAAATGATTGAAATTCTGCCTGGGACTGCAGAGGTGGTCTTGCAAAATGCCTCTAAAGCAACCCGAAACTCCCTGGAAATGCGAGAGGTTGGATTACAAGGCGATTTTTAAGGAAACGCTCCGGGTGTTTTTAAGGAATACAGCCACAAAAGGTGTTCACGATCCTCAATTGCGCTCAACGCTCTTCGCAGGCTTTGCTCTGCCCGTCCTTCTCTCCTACCTTCGAGCCTCTCTTTACAATAAGCAGCACGCAGAGCCCCTGAGCTCCATACCTGTAGGTGTGATTCCTGCTCACGGAGGAGCCTGCGTGGCTCACAGGGTGCTGGGGGGCTGAGCTGGCCGTGGGTAGGGCCGGGAATATTCGCAGGGAATGTGTCCTGTAAGAATGACGTTAACACCGGCGCATTAAAAGCCAAAAGGATCGTCTGGCTGGGCATTACCAAACCAAAACCTGTAAAAAAGAGCAAGGCTTGACAAATTTTGTAAGACTCAGAAGTTACAGAGTAAGTGCTCACCTACATACAATTACCTTTCTAGAGCTATCCGCTTTACTATTATGAAATCAGTCTGCAGTAGAACTGCTAAACCTGGAGATTATCATCCTTCTTTCCCTTTTTGCTAGGCACTCTGTGTGTTTTTCTCTAACAACTGTTGCACAAATGGCTCGATTTTGTTGTTTCCTGCTGGATACCTTCACACCAACACTGCTGTGCACTGTAATTGTTTCCTTTTAACCCAGGAGATCCGTCGCTTCATTTACGGAGTAGTAGCTACCTGGCAAGACAGGGTAGGAATCTTCTTTAGAAGCAGCAAACTATTTCCAAGCCAGAAATGCATCTTTCACATGTCAGCGAGTCTAAAATTGGTGCTTGCTGCCTGAGCAGGAAGGAAATTGTAAAAGAACAGCCACATACTACCAGCAGCCCTCATGTGAGATGGGGAAGGTATTTTTTTTTTTAATGTCCACATCCTGAGACTCGTGCTGCCTGTATTGCCTGAACGACCAAACCCCGGGGGGTGAAAATGCTCATCTTGTCCAAAAAAACCCCCAAGGCTGAAAGCCTCGTCTTGCATCCCAGGTACCTGCTGGCTGAATTTCCAGCCCCGCTAACTCACTCCAGGATGAATACCTGCAAATACAGCTGTGGCCAGAGGAGCCCAGCTCCTCTCCTGCTCAGCAGCTCTCCGCGCGCGGCGGTGCGGGGATGGAACGTCGCTCTCCCCGTGCACGTGTGCTTCCTCGGTGGAAAAAGCTCCCACAGATTTCTTGGGGGGGGGGGGGGGGGGGGGAGGAGCCGAAGGAAATATTTCTACTTTACATGGGTGCGTGGATGCATCTGGTAAACATGGGCTGGTTACTGGAGAAAACAGAAAAAGAAGGTGACAAACACATGCATGTGTGTGTGTATATATATATATATATATATATTTATGGGTGTATAAGCCAGCATCGAGATCCTCACAGCGAGTAACCCTTGAGGACATGGACGGCCTGGTGTTTTGAATCAAATCATGATGTCGCTCTCACTACATTTATTTCAACATCTCGGGGTTCACACCCTCCCTCAGCTATCACACGCTCCCTACTTCTTGATATTAGCATTTTCTAAACCTTTTTCTAAGTTTGATTACACTGTTGGGAGCCGTGTCTGGTGCCAGTGGATTCCACAGGTTATTCATCAGTTTGGCAATGAATTTCATGGGTTGTTCAGCTGCATTGCAGCGTGGGGTTATGCACCTTGGAGGTACGTAAAGGAAGTATTCGCTGAGTAATGTCTCTACCCGCAGACAGCGTGCTCCAAGGAGCGCTGATCTCTCGTGTAACTCTCACTCAGCCTGCGCGAGATTGCAAACTCATCTGTACATTAGCCCATGCAAGCGAAATCTGTCTGTAATTATTTTATGACAAGACGTTTTCTTTTCGTGCCGAATGAGTAACACGGAGAAAGCGGCTGCTGTCGAAGCACCGTGGGGGGCGAGCTTTGCACAGGGCAGGCTTTTTTGGCGTGCAGAAGTGATGACCCTACGTCCCTCGATGTAAAGGAGTGGTGGCCCCGTGTCCCTCGATCTTGGTGTCCCTGTCCCCCAGACAGAGACGTCCCTCCCCAGCCCGAGGAGGAGCGTTGGTGCAAGGCAGCAGCTGCCACTCATCGAAGCGTAACGTGATTAAAAACCAAAGCCGAATAGCTCACGGCCCACAGCGATGCACCAGGACACCGTGTCTCATTCACAGATCTAACACAACCTCAGTAAAAAGGCTCTTTTTACACAAAAGGAAGGAGAGAACAGATTAAAAAGAAATAAGAACTCAAGTGCAGTCTCTTCAAAGCTTGAGCAGGCTCAGAGAGCAGCAGAGCCATCCACCGCCTGCTCTTATCTCCAGCCCGAGCATGGGTGCAGGGTGTTTCAGGTGTGAGCTTGTGATCTTGCTCGGGGGAGTTACCAACAGCTCAGCCGGGGAGACGCTCTCCCTTTGGGACCTGTTGGTTACCACCCTTCTGCAGAAAGCCTGCCTGAAAAGGAATTCAACAAAATGCATAATAAAGAAATAACAGGCAAACTTAACAGGTAATAAACTACGCACTAAACATGGATCAATAGACACAGTTTTAAATCATCTGTGCTGCTGCTCTGCCAGCTTTACCACGCTTTCTGCAGGAGGACATCGCATTCATTCTGATTTAGTGTTTGAAGCGCGGGAGAGCTGGGTTTTACTCTCAGGTCAGTCACCAACTGGCTGCGTGACCTTCACCAAGTCACTTAAGTTTCTTACCCACAGTCTGGGTAGTAACAGTTACTACCTCTAGCAAAGCCTCAGTAAATACAGTCCAAAAGCCCCGTATGGCATTTGGTAACAGGAACAGTACAAGAACATGAAGGTAATAGAAACATTTTCTGAGTCATCCTGCACTGCTCGATTTTATTCTTCACATGCATTTGCCAGACTACTCCATGCTGAAAGGTCTGCAAGCATTTGGTTGTCAGTAAATTGTGGAAGAGATTTAGTGGCAAATAAATATGCTGCAGAGACTACAATCGGATTAAAAATGTTAACGTTTCACAAAGCTAAACAGCAACCGTAGACGCCTGGGGGTTTCTGAATGAACAGACAAAAGATCAAAGCCCAGATTGTGACCAACACTTGCGAGCGAAGCTGCAAATAAATGCCTGGATCAGCAAAGCCTCCTGAAAATGTGGCAACGGAAAAATGACAGCAGTTGAAACGGTTATGCAATGAAAGGAAGAATATTTACTGAAAATTATGTTATTTATTTGGTACAGCCTCTTAGATTCCTTAGCTTTCAGGAGGGTTAATTCTTGAAGAGGAAAAATGAGGATTTATTCGCAGGGTAGAAGGGCTGAGCACAGCAGCAGCCACCTGAAACCAAACCTGCAGTTCATAGAAGAGGATGTGAGAAGTGAGGCTGTGGTTTGTGTCTTGACTGGCTTCACCGAGTGTCAGCTTCACAGCACCAAATCCTGTGAAAATATCACTTGTAAAGCAATGGGAGCGGGGTTCAGATAAAAGATCAAAGCAAGCATTGAATGCAAGGAACGGAAAGCAAACTACAGAAGTGTTCTATTAAAGGAGATTTCAGGATAGCTGCTTACCGAACCAGCCAAAACTTTTCTTGGCAGAGAGGAGTTAATCATGCCAGAGGAATATTAGAGAAACCGATGATTCTTAACCTGTTAAAGGATGGAGGGTGATGCTGTGTCTCGCGCATCATCCCTTCGATTTTCTAGACTGGTCCTGTTGGACCCACGCTCTCCCCGGGCATTCAGCCGCCCTTGGCTCCGTTTTGCGTCCAAGAGGAGGCAGAGCACTCGCATTTCCCAGGCCGACCCACGTCATCCCGCCGGGTTAAGGCAAATTCAACGAGAATCACACAGCGGATGTAAAACCAAGGGATCCAGCGCACAGGCTGCCTGCAGTGTTGAAGACAGACAAACGGGCCGTGAATTCTTGCCTCTTCTATCGCCGCGGCAATAAATTCAGTACTACTGCAGTGCTGGGGACCTAAACTCCACCGCTCGGGCTGCGAGGGACTGAGAAAAGGCACAAGGAGGGTTTGAGAGCCTGGAAAGGAAAGGGCAAACCTCACCTTCAGCGGCATCACACTCTGTGCTGGTCATTAAATCCAAATAAGGTCACCTGCAATCTGATTTTCTTCACCCCCCCCCGTACGCAATGCTGAATCAGGCTTGCCTTTTTTCAGGTTCCCGAGCGTTGCGGTGGCTTTGGCGGGTGCTGCGCGGGCTCCGCACGTCCCTGCCCTTGGGAAGGCTCTTCCCTGCTGCCCTGCTGTGAAATCAGGAGCCAAAGCTCAGCACCGAAGAACCAGAGACCTTCTCGGCGGCGGCCGATGATGGAGGGATGGCAGCATCGCCGCCAAAAAAAAAAAAAAAAAAAAACCAAAACTCAAAAAAGCAGACTAAATATGAAATTGCAGCAAAACGCGACCGCAGTTTTGACAGTAAGATCAACGCAGGGCTCACGGCGTGGCCAGACACATCTCATTTCTTGCAGGGCTGCTGTACAACCTCGCCTGTGTGGTCCCTGGTACAATCAGATCTAGAAACTGTACTCTCTCTGTACTCTCTTCTGGAACCTCATCACCAAAACCAGCAAGAAACCAACAGATATTCAAAGAAATCTAAAAAAAAAAAAAAAAAAAAATTCAGGCTGGAAGGAGTTATCCTTCTACAGGGTCTGAAAGCAGTCTATGAACCAACCTCTGAGGTCTTCAAGCAAGCAGACAAAAATATTGTTGGTTTTTTTTTTTAATAACTGTGTTTGTTGACACAAGAAAATGACATTATGTTGAACACAAACTGAAGACAAATAACCATGGCAGACCTTTTAAAGAGCGGGGATGCACACACCGTCACAACAGCTCTTCCTAAGCTGGACAATGTGGTAAAATCAAGAACTCCAGAGAATATTATGGAGGAAATACATTAAATAAACAAACACTAGTCCTTCTTGACTGACCACTGATGACAATCACAGCAGGGGTTTTGGATATATACATGTTGTCTTGCATGGGGTTTTTAAGCACCCAATAATTAACTTCCAGTTCTCTGTCACTCTTAGCATTTCAGTGTTGATGACTCACCACCATTCCTTCACAATTCTTCTTTCTCAAGGTTATTTCCAGACCTACAACCTGACAAAACCAGAGAGTGTAAGGGCTGCACCTGCTGATTTCACTTTTGAGTTTGAATTCTGTTTTCCCTCAGTAATATTTTTAGCATTAACCTTTGCCATTTTTTTTCTGACTGGGCTCCAGCCTTCTACAGCCATCAGCTTTAACTTTCTCTGGTTTGCATTCAGATAGTTGGAAAAGAGGAGGCTTTGCACTATCTGAAACTTCTTACAGTTTTAGATAGCAGGTTTTTTTTCTCACAGGGCCAATGAACACAATGGCTGAAGAAGTCATTCCTGGTCGTTTCCTTTGGTTTGCTTTGCTTTAGAAGTCACCTTTTTATGTGCACTTTTGATCCCAGGTAAATTATTTTGTTGTTCACCTCCAGAAGCTGAACATGAATTGCCACGACAGTATACATTCAAATTTCGTGACTTCATCTACATCCACTTTATTTTCACTGTCTATAAGAAAAGTCCATATCCTCCATTCAACTCGTTTTTCCTTATTCCAGCATCCATCGTGTTACAGAGGGTGGCTGCAAGCAGAAAGCATCCTGACCTCGATCCATTGAGGGCGTCCACCAACGGAGACCCCTTCCAGACTTGGACCGCTGGAAGCTCTGCAGAAAGAAGGCGGTGAGGTAAGAGCAGGCACCGGTACCTCCCGCCCCGCGGGCGAGAGACGGGCTCCCTGCCTCCCTGGAGGTAACCACCATCGCCTGCTCTTGGCTGCTCCTCATCCTCCTCCTGCGAGCAAGCTCCTCCCGCGGCGGCCGGCCTCCCGCTCAACCCGCTGCCTTCAGTCTTGCATTTACAGCCATGCGTTGGCAAATGCTCGCTGACCCTATAGGCTTCACCCCATGAAGGCCAAGCTACTGGGACAGCCCGGGGGGGGGGGCTGCTGGGGGACCCTCAACTCCAACGGAGGTGTGGGGGCTTATGTTACCACCCCCAAAAGCCTCCTTCTCTGTCCTCTGCTTCGCTACGCGTGCTCCTCAGGAGCCGGCCCCCTGTCGCCACCGAACACCACACGCTCCCGGGTCAACTGTTGCCGGTGCTTTCCCCAGCTTCGTTTTCAGAGAACTGATGACTCCGTACTTTCCTTGACATCACCCCTGCCTGGCGGAGCAGGGAGGGTGGCCCAGTGTCCCGGCGGCTCCATCCGCAGCAGGACCTTGTGCTTCGGCTCGACCCTCACCGTCAAGCACGGGGCAGAGGGTCTGCTGCGACACCCGACTGCAGGGAAAACTCCGTTTTCTTTATGATTCCTGCGTACCCCGCGCTTCCTCCTGGAGCTTTGTGCTCAGCACAGGGCCGTGAAGTCAATGAAGAAAGTCAACGAGGAAAAGAATCATACGAAGAAGCAGGCTTTGGTGCTAAAAAATAAGCAAAGAGGAAAAAAAAAGAAAACAACCGAATTTTATAAAAGGTAACAGATTGGTGGTTTTTAGTTTAGCTTCCTGTCGCCAGGACACAAAACTCTGATCACTTGGGCCACCCGACGGGCATCTTCCCTTAACTGTGTCATCGACGAGTAAAATACTACTCAAGGTCTGCCAACTCCAGCTGAGCACATCGTGTAACGGCCACTGTCACGTTTTTTCCAAAGAGGAGAAGTAAATACACGCCGAGAGGGGTAGCGACAAACGAGGCCTTGCTAATTAAAACGAGATAAGATTCCATACAAACTCCTGATGGCGTCCTGCTTTAAACTGAAATGAATCCTGGTTTTTTTTTTTTTTTTGCAGTGCGTAGATCAAGCCTGAGCTGGGAAGCAGTACTGTGAAAAGTGAAAATGTTATGCAAACTAAAAGACAGAAGGGAAACAAGTTATATACGTAAAAAGAAACTGTTAATATTTGGCGTTTCATCAGGCACAGATTTGCACAGTTCGCACATGAAATTTTAATGAACTTTGTCAGCTCTCTAGAAAAAAGCACAAATGTTAAGCTGGGGTTTGGGAGAGAGATAAAGCGAACTGGAGGTTCAAAGTGTAAAACTCTGGGCTCGTGAAGGCTGCAAACTTTGTGCTTCCTCTACCCGTTTACTCAAATGTTTGCCCCCAAAGTACCTTTGCTACAATTTTCAAGCTCAAAAAAGTTAATCACCTCAGGGAGGTGCTGTCAGGGAAACCAAGTTTATGCTATCCATGTGCAGGAAAGAGAAGGAACAGTAGTAACAAGAGACCTTTTTTCATTAAAAGTTCTTTTAAATATGGCCGTAGTTTGTGGGCACACTGAAAAAAAAAAAAAAAAAAAAAAAAGAGAGAAAGCAAAAAACACATTAAAGAGAAGATAAAAATCAGAGTGGCTACACCTCAGGACAAGCCCTTCTCTCCTAGCAGGGCGGGGTGGGGGTTATTTTATTCTAATTCTCGGTCCTTCCCGTGTAAGAGGCTGCACGCAGGTAGTGAGAGTTACACTTGGGAGTTTCACCAACTTTTTCTGGTAATCTCCTCCTTTTCTCATACCCGGGCTTTCTGGCGGTGAAATTTCCTGTGCATTAACCTTCCCGGCGAGAAACCCCGGGGGCAGGGCCGGGGGGGGGGGGGGGGGGTTGGGTGTGTGGAAAGGGGGGGGGCTGCCAGCCCTGCCTCGCCTCTACCCCTTTTTTTTTTTCCTGCCTGCCACCAGCTGCCCGCCCGGAGCCGGATGAAAAACTGCGGGGGTACGGAAAAGCCCCCCCTCTCCATGCCCCCGCCCTCAGTGCCCTCACCAGGGGGTCCCGGGCTGCGGGGGGGCTGCGGGGCTCCAGGGTGAGTAACCCCGGCTCGGGGAGCGGGGAGGGGGGGGGGGGGCACCGCCCGGGCTGGTCCCTGCCTCTGGCTGGGGATGGGCAGGGCGGGGGGGGGGGGGGGGGGGGGGGGACGAGGGGGGGGAGCAGCTGGGGACAGGCATCATTTCCCGCCCCCCCCCCGCGGCTTTTCGGGCCTGAGGAGCGAGTCCCGGGGCGCTGGCGTCGTGGGGAGCAAGTGAGGAGGGTGCGGGGAAAGGCGGGTGGGCGCCCCGGGGTGCTGTTGTCCTGGGGTGCTGCATGCCTCGGGGTGCTCCCTGCCTGTCCTGGGGTGCTGTTGTCCTGGGGTGCTGCATGCCTCGGGGTGCTCCCTGCCTGTCCTGGGGTGCTGCCTGTCTTGGGGTGCTGCATGCCTCGGGGTGCTCCCTGCCTGTCCTGGGGTGCTGCCTGTCCTGGGGTGCTGCCTGCCTGTCCTGGGGTGCTGCCTGTCCTGGGGTGCTGCTGTCCTGGGGTGCTGCCTGTCTTGGGGTGCTGCATGCCTCGGGGTGCTCCCTGCCTGTCCTGGGGTGCTGCCCGCCCTGGGGTGCTGCCTGTCTTGGGGTGCTGCATGCCTTGGGGTGCTGCTTGCCCTGGGGTGCTCCCTGCCTGTCCCAAGGTGCTCCTGCCTGTCCCGGGGAAGCTGCTTATCTGTCTTGGGGTGCTGCTATCCTGGGGTGCTCCCTCCCTGTCCCAGGGTGCTGCTGTCCTGGGGTGCTCCCTGCTTGTCCCAGGGTGCTGCCTGCCTGTCCTGGGGTGCTGCCTGTCCTGGGGTGCTGCTGTCCTGGGGTGCTGCCTGTCTTGGGGTGCTGCATGCCTCGGGGTGCTCCCTGCCTGTCCTGGGATGCTGCTGTCCTGGGGTGCTGCATGCCTTGGGGTGCTGCTTGCCCTGGGGTGCTCCCTGCCTGTCCCAAGATGCTCCTGCCTGTCCCGGGGAAGCTGCTTATCTGTCTTGGGGTGCTGCTATCCTGGGGTGCTCCCTCCCTGTCCCAGGGTGCTGCTGTCCTGGGGTGCTGCCTGCCCTGGGGTGCTCCCTGCCTGTCCCAGGGTGTTCCTGCCTGTCCTGGGGTGCTGCCTGCCCTGGGGTGCTGCTCATCTGTCTTGGGGTGCTGCATGCCTCTGGGTGCTCCCTGCCTGTCCTGAGGTGCTGCTGCCCTGGGGTGCTGCCTGCCCTGGGGTGCTCCCTGCTTGCCTTGGGGTGTTGCCTGCCCTGGGGTGCTCCCTGCCTGTCCCAGGGTGCTGCTGTCCTGGGGTGCTCCCTGCTTGTCCCAGGGTGCTCCTGCCTGTCCTGGGGTGCTGCCTGCCCTGGGGTGCTGCTCATCTGTCTTGGGGTGCTGCATGCTTCGGGGTGCTCCCTGCCTGTCCCAGGGTGCTGCTGCCTGTCCCGGGGTGCTCCCAGGGTCGGAGCCCCGCACCACTGAAGGGCCATCCTCCAGAGATAACGCCCTCCCTTCCCTTCTACCTACCGTGAGGTCTCATCAGACACCCGGCAGCTCTGGCGAGGGGTCGCTGAGGCGATGACACCCAGGCTGGGGTCACCCAGCCCGCGAGCGGGGTGCCACCATCCCCGCTGGCCCTACGGCAGCCGGGGCACCCCGAGCAGCCCCCCGCCAGGGAGTTTCCCCTAAAAATGCGCTTAGTGCTATCACGGTGATATGTAAGCAACAGCGCAGTTTGGGCACAAATAGTGTGTGGGTTTGGTTTTGTTTTTTCTGGGCGAAATGCAACGGTGACAAATGTTCCTCTTCCCGCCGGCGGTCGGTCGGTTGTTCCTGCGGTTTCGGTGTAAGACCCTTAGAAGAAACTCTTGCTTTGCGTGGAGGTTTTGTAGGGAGGAAGCGAGGGCAAGGGCATAAAAAGTTGGCTCAAAGCGAACAAGAGAGCTTCTGTGCTTTACAAGCGATTTTGTTTAAGAACTTTAGCCGGGATTTTGTTTAAGAACATCAATTATGGGGAATCCATAGGTAAACAAAATGCACGGTCTGCAGCCTTTGCGTTTTCAGCTGAGATTTCATAGAGATAAATATGCACAAACAGGTATCCTCTCGTACCCTGTGAGCACCTTCTATACTTCTTCTACCTTGTACTTACCAGGACAATATCCTTTATATTTTCTTTAACCCATGCACAGCAATACCATTTTCCCTTATCAATGCTGAATCTGGCAATTTTTTCTTCTTAAAAGCTTTTTTTTTTCATACATCTTCAGTTTAAGCTGAAGGTTACTTCTCATTCTTTTCTCATATTTTACTCCGATCACAGTTTATATGCTCTGCTGCACTCATACGATGCTGCATAAATTGTCTAGCACTTACCTAAGTAAACCACTGATTAAAATTATCTGAAGCAAGACTATTTTTGTCTGTTGACTCAAGTATTTGGGTACAGTTTTGCTGTCAGAGAGCAAGCTGTCTGAAGGATGTTTACACAGTCACTGGGAAATTTCAGTTTATTGGAAGGCAGAGCATTTACTTGAAGAACCTTGGTGATGTGATTGCTCATCCTTGCAGTTACTAATCACCTACGGAAGGCACCACATGAAGTGTCTTTGTGTAAAACTGAGGCACTGCAGCAAGGCTTAACATTTCAGCCCGAAGAACATCTGGATTTAAATAAAGCAAGGTGTTCATAATGCATTTTGGCAAATCTTACATATTTCATATTCACCTGGCTTAAAAAAACATGGAATGGATCTCATCTTGTTTTGTAAAAACAACCTGAAATAACTTTTTTTTTGTTGCTTTTGTATTAAGATACATGTTGCAAAGACTATATTGTGTCATGCAGCCCCATGGAAGTGCCCCTCCAGCCAAGCTGGCATGAAAAGCAGTCAGGATTTAAAGTTTCACTTTACAGGAGTTTGTTTCCGCTATGGTACCAAGAAAATAGCTGCATCTCTGATGAGAGGTGGGGAGTTATAGAAAGTGCTTGCCGGCATATTTACTTCTGAAGTGTCCAATATTTTCTCACTGCTCCTGCAGTTCTGCAGGGAAAAGGTAAAAAAGGAAATGTTGTTAATGCCGGTTGTAAAATGTAGGGGAAAATACTGAGTTCAGTTCAGGCTGACACTGAATAATTTGTGCAAAACGCTTGTATTCATAACTTCCAGTAATGGAGTCTGGGTTCAATCCAGTAAGTCTAGACACGTCATAAGTTTGCATTCGGACAGAATTTTTGAGCAATCCAGTGGAGTTTAAAACATTTCGAAAGCTGTTCTGTTGGATTGTGTCATTATTAGTGTGCTTACTGCTTGTGGCTGCAGCTTTGTCCGTCAGGGTAGAGTTAAAGAGGCAGAAATAAGGTGTGTGGGAGGGTTTTCCTCTTGGAGAGCCATCGAAAGAAACTGTAAAATTGCTAGTTCCCAAGGTCTCATCCAAAATCTCACGTGTAATACTCAGGCCCGGGAATCTCGAGACCGTGTTAGTCATGGGGGATGAGATCAGCTCGTTTGGATTTGGGGTTATCCGTACAGAGTCCGAGCAGAGGAGGGTCCTCGTGGGGTGCAGAAACGGGGCTGCTCCACCCAAATCGGGGTGGGATTTCGGGCGAGTGTTGGGCTGTGCTGGAGCGGGGCTTGCAAACCATGTCCTGGGGTACCATGAGGGGTACGGATGGCTCGTTCTTGTCCTTCCCAGAAAGGAGCTGGGTTCTGGGCTTTAGGAGGGAAGGGAGCAAATATTCCTTTTTCTAAAGCACAGAGTTGCCTGGTTTTAAAGCACAGAGTTTTAAGGTACCCATAACTCTGCCGTTCCCCAGCTCTTGCGCCTGTCTCTAGGGACAGCCATCTGAAAATCAGCTGCTGCTCCAGTTAGGATCTTGAGAGCCACAACTCAGCAATGTTAACAGAGAATGTTAGTTAGAAAGGTCTCACGAAATAAGCATTTTGGATTTTCTGAAGCTGCAAAGTAGTAAAATACAAATACCTGTAAATTATTTTCCCACTTTGTAGGAACTCATAAAAGGTGTTCGCTTCTCTGTAGGGAGCAAAATGCTATTTGCATGGATTGTGCCTGCAGCAATTTGGTTGTTGGTGTGCTTCACGGCAGGTGAGATATTTTTTTTTTTTCCCCCCCCTACATAGCAATTATCACTTAAAAGAAGCGCTCGGGCTGATTAGGGGTTTTTCTTTCAGCTTCCGCGTGGTATGCTAGCAAAACATCTTTCTTACTGAAGAGAGCAAAATTGGATGCCTGATTAGGTTCCTCCTGTAATTTCTGTGAGAACTCCCCGACCCGCTGCTCCTGCTGGGTGTCCTCCCGTTCTCCATGGAAATGTCCCTCAGCCTGGGCTGTTGGCAGGGGCACGGCCTCGGCGCTCAGCAGGAGAGGCAAATATAGAATTATTTATGCTCAGGCACTGGCGGCGTGGGCACAGATTTGTGTCGCACTGGCGCCACGGATCCGTTTCTCTTGTAGCGTACAGCAAATTGTTGTTAATAAGTGATGCCAGGAGGTTATTCGGGTTGATTCAAGGGAGGGCTGTTGGTTACATGAGAGAGCAGCCCGACGGTTAGCTTCCACGGGGTCTGTCAGAACTCACAAGGAGGGAGAAACGGCTGTACCCTTATTTTCTGCCCGGCTGGTTTCCCCCCAGCGCAAGGGTCCGGGGCTCTGCCAGCTCTGAGTGCAGGGAACTTGTCCTCCCGCTCACCAAAAAAAAAAAAAATACAATTAACATGCCAGGGGAGGTCTCTGCAAGGCAGAGAAAACCTTGCTCCTCTCTCCAGTCGAAACACGCCTGCCACCGCTTCACCGAAACACAGGTATTTCCTTAAACAGAGTTCTGATAGATTTAGCCTGGATTGTGCTGCTTTTTTTTTTTTTTTTCATTTGTTTGTTTCGGCACGATGGCTGGTGGCTAGCCCTCTGTTTCTGATCCCGGTCTCTCCGATCGGTGAGGACTGGGCGCAGCGGTACCCCATGAGTTTACGGCGCAGGGGCAGGAATTCTGGCAATAGAAATCTGGGGAGACCCTCTTCCTCCAGCGCGTCGCCCGAGGTAAGCGGTGTGTCGGTGTTAAAAGCTTGTTTTTCCCATTCTGTTGCAGAAGCCTGCAGTAAAGGCAGCGTGCCTGCTAGCGGGCCCCCCCGCGGCGCCGCAGAAATATGTGACAAAGGGACCATGACTGCTGACACCGCTTCTCACGTCCAGCCTGGGACCAGCATCACCCTCTCGTGCCAGCTGAACCCCCGCCGTACACCGAGCAGTGCAGGATAGCCATTTTCTTTAACAGCTCTGAACTAATTAGCAATTACGGCAGTTCAGCAAGCACCAAATTCCTCGTCCATACATTCGGCAAGCACATGTTTACCTGCAAAATAGTTTGTGACTACAAGAAAAAACTCATTTGTGGAATCGATATCGAATCTGGAAGTAAGGAGAATTTAATTATTCCTTGTTCTTAAATGTTTCCAGTGGTACCTCTGAGACGTGTGTTAGAAACTAGCCTTTTCCAGAAAAGGTGTTGTTTTTTAGTGGCTCTTTGTATTTAAAATCTTCCTGGCTGGAACTGTGCAACTCTGTTATCCATAAAGGGAGAGATGCTAAAGAAAACTGCCTGCTCAGAGCAAATACCACACTCTCCTGTTCTACCCCTGGCACCCACCAGTCTCTCCAGGACACAGGGGACTTGCAAGAAAAATTCCAAGGAAATTGCAGTTTTTCTTCTAGCCTGATGAGCTGATGCTGCTGCAGCAGTCCTCTGCAGTACGAGTGCTGGTTTTTTGTTTGTTTGTTTGTTTTAAAATAAGAATAATGGTTGATTGTTTCAAGCAAAGCTTGTGGTGCCCAGTCTGGAGAGCTGTTACGCACTTGTATTCATGTGGCGCCCTTGTAAAGTCACTGGGGTTTTGCTCAAGTGTCAGAGCTCTCAAGAGGCTGCAGAGATCATAGACTGAGCTGTTCTCACATATAAAAAATATCAGCCTGATGTTTTGTCTACGAATTATTTTTAAACCCCCGAACAATCAAAAAAGCTAAAATCAGCATTTCTCAAAATATCTCCTATCAACATCTTTAAGGAAGAGACTGATAAGAATGTCTGTTTAAGATCCTCCAGATGAGCCAAGAAATGTGTCGTGTATCCAGTATGGGACAGAGGGCCATCCCACCTGCACCTGGGACAAAGGAAGGCTCACGTACATCAACACTACATATGCAATACAGTAAGTAACGCAGGCTCTTTAATACCTATAATCGTATCTCAGAGCTGTTGTTTGGTTGGTTTGGGGTTTTTTTTTTAATTATTTTTCCACCATTTATTGGTGATTTACCCTTACCAAAGCACACAAAAGGGTCGGTTTATGGATAAGTCAGTCCAAGGCTGCCATCATCACGAAGCCACCCTGAAGCAGCCAAAGCCCCTTTGCTGTTCACATCGGTGCGGGCCACTCCGCTTCTGGGGTGAGCAGGTAAAGGGGGGTGCTGAGACACGGCTCCCTTTTGGAAAGGGGATGGGGCCCGAAAACAGCTCCTCAAATCTGCTGCTTTCCCAGGGTGGGTCTCCTCTGTTTGGCGGTTCCGTGGCTAGCGGTGCCTGCACCAGAAATCCCCTGACCTGAGCTGCTCACTCTGTCTCGGGAGATGGAGAGGGACTTTGCTTGGAAATGCGTTATTTTTCCTTCCTGTTTTCAACCCAACCTGGATTTTTTTTTGCTCACTCTGGTTTGGCTGAGCCTTTGCTGAAAAAAATTGTGAAGCCTTCTACAGCAAACTTGGGGAAGGAGCGAAGGTTCCCTAGATCCTGTCGAGGCATGCTAGGACACCTTGGGATTTCAGGAATCGCTGTGCATAGGAGGAACCTTATTAAAATCCTCTATTCAAGCAAACATCTGGTTAGAATGAATTAATTCTGCTCTTTCCAAACCACTGGGTAGGTTGAACTAGTCCCCATTTGTTTCTGAGGTGCTGCATGTTGACCATCTCCTTGCCCTGCGAGGCTCATTCTTCTTCACCTGCTTCAGTAGCATTAACTTTCTTAGTAGATTGGAGCAACTTGTCGTTGCTCTTTAAGCAGAAGGAGAATGTTCAGGTAATTTGCAGAAGGGTAGGGAAGTGTGGGTAATGAGTCCTGCAAGTGTTGTAAGATAGAGGTATAGCAGTGCTTGCTAGTAAGTTATTAAATGTATTACAAAATACAAAAGGTCAGCCTGAAGCAACATGATCTAAACATCTCTGAGTCAGGTGGAAGAAAACACATGGAGAAGCTAAATGAGTAACTCAAGGCAATGGGTTGAGTGACAGATTGAGAATTAAAAGCTGTGTTTGAAATCCCGCCATCTGACGGTTAGGCTGCGGATAAATTGCATTTTTAATCACTAACTTATGTAAAAAAAACCCCAAAACACACTCCAAAATCCATCATCCCCCCCCCCCCCCCCCCCCCCCCCCCAATTCTGTCCCAACGCCTCTGCTCATTCAAAGAGAAACATTAGGTAACCATTATACTATTAACAGGAACCTACTCACACACTTGCAGCTCACTGGAAATCCAGAAGTATTTCCCCTGTCAGCAATTAAACCCCCAGAGCAGCGTAACAGCTTTACCACCGATGTAGCTAGAGGAGCATTTATGGTGTTTAGGTGGACGTTCCAAGGGGTGGATGCCCTGCCTGGCTCCGGTGGCAGTGGTCCCCCCCAAAGCCGACCCGCAGCCGCTCCTGCCCCGCCGCACCCAGGGGCTGCCCTTCACGGCGCACGGCAGAGCACTCACCAAGCATTTTCCTTCTGTCCCAGGCTATCGAATGGGACGGATGTCTTCTGCGTTCCAGAAGAAAGCCTGAATAAGAAGTTTGGCTCGCTGGCTCTGAGCAAGTTGAGTTTTGACTCGACTTACACCGTTGTGGTTGCCGCCTCCAATGAGCTAGGAAGTGCTTTTTCACAGCCGCTCGTCTTCATGTTAATAGACATAGGTAAACGCACCGCTCGCCGCCGTTCAGTTAGTCCCAGCCCTTTAAAAAGAGGTGAAAACAGTCTGAGCACTTGCTCATTTAAACCTCTCACAAAAAAAAGCATCCGTCCACTCTAAACCAGCAATTCTATTTACCCCAGTTCCGAGCTGCGATGCGTATCTGAGCGCTGTTTGCTTCTTACTGTTTTTTTTTTGTTTTGTTTTTTTGTTTTTTTGCTGCTAGTGAAACCACATCCTCCCAACTTTTTAGTGGAATTTGAAAATTCTTCTGTGACCAACTGCACCTTTTTACGGCACGACAAAGCACAAGCGCGGCACTGCAGGCTGAGATACCGTCCACTTACCAGGCACACCTGGAGCACGGTAAGCCTCTTCTGAATAAAGGAAGTCATGACCCTTGGAGGTTGCTTTAATTATTTTTTTCATTATTTCTTACTAGAATCTGTTTGTCCAAATTTGCCTCTCTCTGCTCTCTAACATCATATTTAAGAGAAACTATTGCCTACGGGTCAAAAACTATCGTTGGTCTAAAACTGAATGAAGGTAAAACGCTGATCCTGCACAAAACTGTGTGTGGGAATAGTTCCCTTCATGTCAGGTGTCTCTATGATGCACTGAAGAATCAGAGCTCATGTTTGACCCACCACTTCACTGGAATATGCTCCTATCTGCTCATTGCAGCTCACGGCTACAGCCTTACAATCTCCAAAGGTTTGCGCCTTCCCTCATGTCGACTGGGAGTCTTTTAAGTGGTGAAAGAAATTTATTGTTTGAGGTTGAGTAAAACAGGTGAACGGAGTATCTGTTATCTTCACATAATTAAATGAGGGATTTTTCAGGTGAAGAACTGCAAGCCTGATGATTCATTGCATCATTCTCTGAGTTATCAAAGGTGCCTCAGATCAAGGTTTTCCCCGTAGTTTTTTTTAAAGACATCTTTTGACTGGCTGGGCTTCCTCTGGCCATTAATAATTCGGCCTGTCACTGCCTTCAACCCTTATTTCCTTATGACTTTAACATGACACGTCCTTTATCTCCATTAAAGGTTGAAAGCTTAAACAGTGCAAAATGCTGTCTTTATGGTCTGGAGCCTCACACAGCCTACGAGTTTCAGGTCAGCTGTAAAATCCACCCCGAGCGAGGACTGTGGAGTGACTGGCGCACGTACCAAACCCGGACACCAGAAGCAGGTAACGCAGGATGGCATCTCCTGCCCTTGGCCGACGCTTGCAGACAAGGGGAAACTTTAGCTCATGAGAAGTCAAAACGCTGCTGGGTTTTTGCTGCTTGGTTTGCAGAGCCTCTGTAGGTCCCGAGCCAACGGGGAAAAGCAACTTCTGCAGGAGAGTTGCTTTTCTAATGAACCAAAAAAATGAGGTGGTTCGAGTTTCTTGCAAAACAGGAGTTTCAAGAGTTCACTGGGACGGTCTGGAGGCTACGCTTATTGAGGTTATGGAAGGTTGGGGGAGTTTTCCCAGTGCTGCACCGCGACACATCTGGAAAAGGCAGTTTGTGCAGCTTAGCTGGGGAAAGAAAAATATTTCGTATTGGTTCATAGCTAAGTGTTTTCCTGACTTCCTGCAACAAGCCCGTAACTGAAGCCGGGATGGCTGCTGTGTGTCCCCCCCCCAGTGCTAATAACCCACACGCTCTGGGATCTTGAGCTTGCTCGACCGTTTGCTGAGGAGTTGAATGAATTGGCCGAGAAACTGCCTGGACTCTCAGTTCTGCTGATGCTGGCAGCTTTTAGCAGAACAGTTTAATTTTATCAAGTCATCTCTGCCCGAGTAGAGAAGATATTTCACTTGGAGCCTCCCCCGGGTGACCCCTCCGCGCGCCGCGGAGTCACTGGAGACCTTCTGAGCTTCAGCAGAGCAGAACCTGGCCAGGCGCTGGGGAGAGATCCCACCAGGAATTAGATGAGCAAAGAGCGTTTCTGGCCCAGGGGACGGCAGGACAGACTCCGGGGAGGACACACAGCACCAACCTGAGGGCAATTCTACTGGTTTCTGCCAACTCTGATGCTGGCTGCCTCGGGCTGGCCCCACGCTCACGTTCCTGCCCGCCTGTCCTCACCCTGAGCTGCACAAACTCTCATGCTCCGAAACGTCCAGTTCTTCTAAAAGAAGAAAGCTTCTCAGAACTTTGTTTCAACAAAGATGTGTCGGCTGCTCTGGCATCCCCCTCCTTTCATCTACTACTCGGCTTTCATTGCTCGTTTTTATGAATTATACAAGCTCTCCAGGCTAGTGCCGTTATTACTCATGCTATTTACCACTATTGACAGCATCAGTTTCTGTAAGACGCCTTGACTGATGCAAAAGGCGTGAACTTTTCCTTCTCTCTCTCATCTTCCTCTCAGCAGTTTTCTCAACCTTCTTGATGTACCCTGGCTTGCTACGGCATTTGTGGTCATCACCCCTCTACCCAGCCGGTGCTATAAAATGAGAATCCTTTCAGCTAATCGAGGAGCGTTTTCTCTTCTCAGACTAGGTGACAGCAAGGGGAGGTTGCAGATGACAAGCGCTGGGTACGTCATGCTTGCCCCTCTTCGGAGGAGCTGAAGTTCCACACATCCGTTTGGCCGTCTGCAAATTCAGGAGTTTACTTCTGAAAGATGAGGTTTCTTTCCTGTTTCCCCTAAGCCTGACCTGCCACAAAACTCACTTTATGCAAACACTGTTCATAAGTGAACATACGTTTGGTTTTTTTCCCAGCTAATTCATGCGATTCACATGAAATGAACTTTAAAATCCGGGCTGGAGTCCAAAGGATGCAATCCTAAATTTTGTTTTTTCCTGCTTTGAGCTTGCCCCTTCCTCCCTCGCTCACGATGAGTGTGCTCTGGTTTTATTCCTTCTGCCAGTCCTGCTTCTCATTTCTATTCCAGTCACTATCTGCAGTTAATACTTGACAAATAGCTCTTAACATTGCTGGCACTGAGGATTTTTTCTGTCTTTGAATATAGGAAATAGCAGGCAGCCCCATTCTAGCTGGGGTTGTGCAACAGCTGCCTGCTGCTTAGGTTATTAGCAGCAATTATTATTTGAATTTGATGGTTTTATTTTGGTCAGGGACCTCGAGGAACCAAGCTTTGTTACCTTTTGTCACCTTGGCTTTCTCCACGTGTGGCTGATTCTGAACCGTTGGAGCATATTGTTCACCAGTTTCTGCAGCCAGAAGTTTGCTTTAGTGTTATTTTGGAAGGTTTGTTCCAAACATCCAGGGTTTCCAGTCACTTTGTGACTGTAAGGAGAGTCGTGGAAAGAACGGCGGGTTTAAGCTCCCTCTGATGAGGTCCTACCCAGCTGCCTGTTAAAGGCATTTATTGCCTAGAGCCAGGCAGCAAAATCCTACAGATCCTCCAGACCCTGTCGCCTGAGGCTGTCCGTTGTTTTAGGATTGATGTAGCCAACCCCAACTACCTTCAACTTTTATGCAAAGGTGAGAGCTAATACTGTCACTTTGATGCGTAGGCTTCCTCGGGAGCCACCCCTTGTTACTGAGGGCAGGATAAAGGCACCAGCAAAGCAAAACCCTCTCTTGGGTTTATGGCTTGTTCTCTTCATGGGCACCATCATCCGCGCGGCTGAACTCCAGCAGCAAATACGGCCTGTTACATGCTGCATCGTTTCAGGGACATTTTAAATCTGAAATTTTCATCGTCTCGGGATTTTTACCTCCTTTGCCCGTTCAACGTCTTGCCTGTTTGCTTCGAAACACAGCCGTTAATGCCGCTCACCCTTTTCCTTCCACGCCAGTGCCGACCGGGCTCCTGGATGTCTGGTACCGACAGCAGGACGTGGACCCTCAACAGCAGAACATCTCTCTTTTTTGGAAGGTAAACCAAGCGAAACCTCAGCAGGGGCAATAAGAATCAGCGAGGTTAGAGGGGCAACTCTGGTTTAGGTGTCGCAGGAAGGGCCAGCGCCCCGGGGGAGCACAGGGATTTTGCCAGCGTCCAGGGACACGGACCAGATCCGCCACCCGACGCTTCCTGCCCCGGGGCGGGGGGGGGGGGGGGGGCTTCGGCAGCTCTTTTCTAGCCAAAATCCCCCTCTTACAGTTCCCCCCAACTTTCTGTCGTGCTGGAAGTGGCACGCGCTCCTGGCACACCGCACCAGGGAGAGAAGGGGAGGAATCCCAGCTCAGCCACCACCTTTCGAGGATACACCTTCCCTCCCCCTTGCCCCAGGGCCGCCCGTGTCCCCAGTGGCACACCCAAAGGGACAGATGGCAACCTTGCAGACCTCCTCATTTGTTTTCTAGTTAACATAACCCTCTCCTCGTTTTCTGCCTCGTTGCTGGGGTTGCAATGCGCACCTTGTGTGTCTGCTTTTGGATGGGAGCTTCCTCCGGAGGTGTTTCTGCTCTGCTTGGCTTACCTGAAGAACAGAGCAGTGAAGAACGGGGGAGGCAGAAGAGGCAGTTTATTGTAACAGCCCTTTAAGGTGATCAAATTCTAAAAAAATTGAAGAGCTGGGGGTAGTTTGGGCAACCAAAGGGTCCCGTGGGTGTCACTGCTGTGTGGACGGACTGTCGGTCGTACAGCAGCAGCAGCAGGAAGAAATTGGTTTTCTCCGTAGGCGTGAAGCAGGTGATGGGGCAAACCACGTGCAAAAAAGGGTTTGCTAATAACGAAGCTGCAAATCTGAAACCGGGCAAACTCGGGGCCGAAAAAAGGCGGTTGGTTGGGTCTGCTGAGCAGAGCCTCCCGTGAGCTGAGGCCCCGGCAAGGGAAATCACAAAAAGAATCCAGATTAAAACCCAGCTTAAAATTCCACGTTACTACGCACTGCCATCCAGCTCAGGGGAAATACCTACACCAGGTCTGCTATACCAACATCCCCAGGGAAACCAGGCCCTGTTCCCAGGGCCGGGTGCTGACTTTCTCCAGTATCACCGAGCCAGCATTTAAAGCCAAGTCCTAGAGGAATTATTGGATTACGGAGCGTTTTGCCATGTGCTTTTATTTCAAAGCCAGTAAGATTATTTTTTTTAAGCATAAACCATCCTTGACTCCCAGTTTGCAATCTCTAGTTAACCTTCCAATTCACTCTACATCTTTTCCTCGCACCAACAAGCACTATGCTGTAAGTGAAGGCAGAATTTCCCATATAATTATGTGACTCCAACCATCGTGGCTTTAAGACATTTAACTCTAAGACCTTTAACTTGCACTAGCGAGCGGGTGACACTTTCTGTATCGAAGCAGACTTCCTGCAGCATCATTCATAAAATGGGCGCACTACATTGCTTTTATAGCTGTCACAGCAGCTACAAAGCAAGACTCGGACTCGGTGCAATGTGCTGCCATTATATGCTTTCATATTTTCACACAAATACCAAAGAAAGGTTCACCAGTTTAATTGCAGCAGGCTTTCAGAGTGATTTCAGTTTGTCCAATGCGATTGTTACACTGCAAACATTTTCCTATTTTTGAAAGTGGTTTTTTTTCCCCTTTTTTTTTTTTTTTTTCAAACGAGAAAACCCAGCCAAGTAAAATGAACTCACTTTGTAGAAACTGCAGGAAACTGTGAAACTGGTAGTACAACTGCAGACACCCGGCGTGGAAAAACCAGTGAGAGGTGTTACAGGGGACAGCACAGCCTGACTTTTCAGAAATGTGTATTCTAAGTAGTTGAATTTAAATAATTCTTTATCGTGGCTTTAACTAAAATTCTGGATTTCCCTAAAATCAAAAATTGCTCGTTTTTACAAATCCAGCTGTGCAGTTAATACTCTTTTTTTCCCCTTGTGAAAGGCAAGGTTTGAATTCAGACTCAAGGAAGGAGGAGGCTCTGTGCTGCGCTCTGCCTGGCTATAGCGCTGCTCGGAAAATGAGCAGCTCACAGCAAAAGGGCTTCACTAAGCCAGAATTAAGCAGAAAAAATAAGTAAAAAATAAAAAGAAATATATGTAACCTTAAGAGAGACTCTCAGGTAAATGGCCCTACCTCTCTTGGCCCTACCCTCTGGGAATTAACCCATTTTCAGGTAGCTGGATGCTGTGGGTTGCCAAGAGCAGAGCAGTGAGGGAGCTGGGATAAGGCTTGGGAAAGGAGAGTACCAGTCACAGGGCTGGGCAGCAGCAAAATCAAAGGGAAAAATCAGAATAAGCTGTTACGTGGCATAGGTTTTACACAGCTGTGCAAAATCACGGAGGAAAAGGGAAGTTTTGCAGCGAGGACACTAGCTTTCTTTGGAACAAAACGTGGTATTTTTAGCAATAAAAAGGCTAACGTGTATTCTTAGGCTGGTACTGACAGGGAAACTGTGCGACCTTTGAGGCGCACTAGCTATACTTCAGGCCAACAGATCTTAAGTCAATTTAAAAAGACCACCCAAAAATCAACAACAAAAAAACCCCAAGCAAAACAAAACACTACAAACACCGCCCCCCCCCAACTACTACGGAAGAAAGCAGGCTCTGCAAGTGAGGGAGCAATCTCTGTAGCACTGCTTGCTTCCGCCAGCTTTTGGAAGAGGAGAAAATAAAACCTGATAATTGGTTAATTGGCTAATAAGAAGGTTAGGCGGTACGTGCCGGCGCCCAGCGAGTACCGCTGTCACAAACCTCCTTGCTGTTAGAACGGAAAAGGAAGAGGAGAAATTACCTTTGGGTGGCAGTTCCTCACTTCAGCGGGGCAGCTCGAGCTGCTGGGCTGGGGGGATGCTTTGAGGCCAGCCCCCAGTGCCGGGGGGCTGCTCACAAACCCCCACCCCTCCACCCCGCGTGGGCGGGCTCGCGAAAACCTCCTTTGCGGCGGAGGGTTCATTGAAAAAGCCGGTGAAATATTTGGGTTGCAAACAGCCAACCACATCGGAAACCCTCCCGGGCAGCCTGCGGCTCGGTCCCGTCCCCTTCCTGCAGGTTTTGCTCATCATCATCATCAGAAGAAAAAAAAAAAAAAAAAAAAAGAGAGTAATAAAGGTGCTTTCCCCGCAGGCTTTGAGCGGGTCGGAGGCGAGGGGCAGAATCCTGCGGTACACGGTGACTTTTGAAGCCCGGGGCCCGCGGAGCCCCCCAGCAGGAGAATCCCACGTTACCACCCAAACCAACCTCGCCAGGGTCATGCCGAGGGTGGGCTACAAGATAACGGTCACCGCCGAGAACTCAAGGGGCAGGTCCCCCCCCGCAGCCGTCGTGACCGGCGTGGGCACCCAGGGTAAGGGCTTGTGCCGGGTCGGGACCGCTGGGAACACCTCACCAGGGCTCTGCGTTGGGAGAGAAACACCCAGGACCCACCAGCTCATTCCTCAAGGAATGGGAGGGGATCTGCAGGTCCAGCCTTCAGCGTCAGGCTTCACGACGCGTTAAGTTGCCCTGCGTTAATTAATAGCGCCGTAAGTTCACCTCGACCCCCTCCTGCCAACACAGGGGTAAGCCGCGCCGGCAGCCAGCCAGGCATCTGATAAGGCAGAAAAGTAACCGTGCCTAAAAAAAGAAACAAAAAAAAAAAAACAAAAAAAAAAAAAAAAAGAAAGAGGGTGTTTTCTTGCATGAGAGAGATGGCAGGACCGAAGGGAAGGTGACAGGCTTTATCACCTGTGAAATTGCACTCCGTTGTACGCGCACAGCAAAGTCACCGAGTGCTCCCTGAACCCACCCAGCCCCAAACTCCCCGTGCCCGTACCGAGCACGGCTGAGCCTCACCATCTCGGGGGGGGTTTTGTTCAAAGAGGCCGTTCTCTATTTGCACTTGTCCTCCTGGCGTAATGTCTTTCAAACGGTGACAAAGCCACTGCCAAGGATTTCGCCTTTTCCCAATGACGCCGCGAATGCCAGCGGGATGCTCTCCTCCTCCCGGGATGGATGCACAGCTCCTCCGCTCCCAGGCTGCGCCGATTACACGAGCCCTTTGTTAAGTAGATAGAAGCTTGGTGCAGAAATATCACTGAGATCTGATTATTTGGAGGCCGTAGGGCAAGAACTGCTTTGTGGGGTCAGTTCAATTGTAAGAAAAAACATTCAGAAAAGATGCTGGGTTTACGCTGGATTAAAAAAAAAAAAAAAATTAAATGACTTTCCCAACATCTTTTCCTGCAGGAAAAAGTAACCTGGCCCTGGCTGTGAAAGCAGGAGCTTTGGTCTTGTGGGGACGATGTGTTTGTGGCTCTGTCACGGGAGCAGGGTGTTAGCACGCGCTGCGGCCGCGTTTTCTCAGGGTTTGGGTTTGGGGATGGGAGAAAGAAGCAGCCCTGCCCGTGTTCAAGCGCCACGAGGCAAGACGAGAGCACGGCTCTGCTTCTGTCAGCCTCGACATCGCCCCTCTTTCAACCTCATTCCTTGCGCTTCACGCAGCGCCCCAAGAACCGCACGTCGAACTTGCCGAGTCCGCGCGAGGTCAGGGCAGGCTCGCGCTGACGGCGCCTTCTCTCCCCCCTGCAAGATCTTCCCCCTCCCCGGAGCGTCTCTGCCGTAGCCATGGGAAACAGCAGCATCTTCGTGAGCTGGCGGGCGCCCGTCGCATCCAGCGGGTCGGTCAGCGGTTACGTGGTGGAGTGGGCAGAGCCCCAGCGGGGTCCGCGCCCCCAGCCCCGTCCCGCCTGGGTGAAGCTGCCGGCGTCCAGCCTGTCCACGCTGCTCGCAGGTAACCACCCCGGGGCAGGGCACGCCGCAGCTGCCCCTTTACTTGGAAAGCTTTTTAAGCAGCAAGGCAAATTCTAATTTGTACTAATTCAGCGTGAGAAATTAGGGCATTTAAATCTTTCTGTATGGGGCGGGGGGGGGGGGGGGGGCGGAATAATCCGCAGCTGCACTGGGCTCGGCCGTCAGTCAGCTGAGCTTTATATCTGATAAGTAAAATATCTCAGAACAAAAACAAGCCCTCCAAAATGAAACAAGCCAGCTAGAGGTACAACAGACCAAAGGCTTAAGAAAAGACTAGTTCCTTTCTACTAATCGTTAAATTATTAATCCCGACCAATACAACACACACACTACACAGTTCCGCACACGGGACAGCTATGAAGTTACAATGGGGTGACGGCGAGTATTATCCTCCTGAGTCTTTCCCATCCCCTGTCCTGGTGCTGTGCCCCCAAGGCGTTTACATCCCCCCACTCTCAAATGAGCTGGAAAAAGCAGCGTATTCACGCCGTGGCTCCGTGTTCCGCTTCGGAAAAGAGCAAACCCGAGTTCGTCCCGTTCCGGAGCAGGATGCTCACAGGAAACCACGGGGAAGAAAAAGGGAGTGAGATTCTCGTGCCCCTCTAAGTGACCTCCCGCACGGCCAAACCCTGGGCCGCAGATCTTAGGGCAAAAACCCGGGTAATGCCCGCTCACCTCCGCCCTTTACCTGGAGCACAAAATGCGGCCCAAGCTTTCCTTGGGAGGGTTGGGGTCTGCCGGCCGCTGCTGCTTCACGAGGAAACAAAGAACTTTGCCCTTCAGGAGCGCAACCACCACTTGCGTCGTGCACGGTGAGCTCCTGCCAAGCTCAACAGGAGATCCCAGGGAAGATTCCCCCCCCCTGCTTTGTGAAAGACGCATTAATAACCAGAAGATTCATCTCAGATTGAAGCAGCTGCTGTAAATGCTTTAGCTGTGACTGTGAATACTTTAACTGGTAACCATCTGCTTTTTAATTTCTTTATTTAGAGCACATAAAAGATAACGTGTGCTATCAGATCGGCGTGTCTGCACTCTATCGGGACAGAGCCGGAGAAGTGGCATCAGTTAGGGGGTACTCGAGAGCAAAAGGTAAATCACGTTAATGCTCTTCCAGGTGTATTTTAAGCTAGCTTAAGGCCAGCTTTGAAAGTCAGTCGTATGTTTTGCAGCACCATCAGCTGGGCCCCAGATGTATGCAACACCGTGGGCAAACGGCATCCTGGTTTCATGGGAAGCGATCCCCGCCCAGCACCAAAGGGGCTGCATCACCGGGTACCGCGTGTACCTGCAGAGGAAGGACAGGCAGGTAGCCCCGGCTGTCTATGGTAGGGATCTGCCGAGGGCCAGGGCGCCGTGCACGTGCCTGGGGGGCAGAGGGAGGGACGGGAGGTGCTTTCGGGGAGCTGGGTGCAGCGAGGTTCAGCCCGTTCCCTCCGCTACAGCCGCCCATCAGCAGGACCCCCCGTCCTCGGGGCTCCCCGCCTTGAGCTGCACCGCTCTTCAGCGCAGAACTAGCAGATATCCACCCTGCCTTTTTTTTTTTTTTTTTTTTTTTTTTTTTATTTTTTTATTATTATTTTCTTAAATCATAACCAACACGAGCCCTTGTAATTAGCGGCAGGGTAAAAGAACAGACTTTCTCAAAGTCTTACCCAACAAATCCACACTCGACGCGAGATGCGCTCGGCAGGCAGCACCCCCTGCATCCCCACCCCCCTGTGCTTCTCCCACCCAAGCCCTCTCCCACTCTGCCTCACTCCCACGCTTCCACCCAATCAATTTTTTTTTTTTTTTCTTAACTTCATTCGGAAGCTGCACGACAGTTTTTAATGGACATTTCACAGTCCCACCAGACAAACCTCATTTTAGATGGAGACATTAACTCACCAAGCAACAGCAGAGGACAGGATGTGAAGTCCTGGGTGTCCAGTCTACATAATGGCACAGGTCACACCTACAACCTTCCAAAAAAGATCTTTTCCAGCCCTCCCAAGGATTCAGTAGCATAGAAAAGGAAATTAATTAAAGTAACAGATACCTCTCCATGCGCCGAGGCCACGGAAACCCAGTTCGTCGGCGTTAAACTCAGTAAAAAGGCACGCTGGGTGCTTGATTTGCTTCTCCCTGTTTCCCCCCCCCCAGCCATTCCCAACGCGAGTGCCCAGCGCTCGCTGCACATCCTGGCCCTGCAGCCCGGCGAGCACTATGCCCTGTGGATGACGGCATCGACGGCCGCCGGAGAGGGGCCCTGGGGCAACACCGAGCTCTTCTGCTTGGAAGGTACGAGCCTGCCAGGGCAGGGGGCTGGGAGAGCTCCTAGCCCTTGGCCCCTTCTTTTCCACAGGCTGGGAGTGATTTTCCCACTACTCAACCACCCAAGAGCTCTGGTTTTGGCTGGTTTTCAAACGTAGCATCTCTTTCGTCTTCATAACTCCCAGTTTGATGCCAAAGCTGTATCGTTTAACGGTAGCTGAAGGCCACCAGGATGGTTTATTGCAAAGGGGGAAAAGAGGGGACGAGTCCCTTCGAGGCGCTGGCCCAGATGTCTGTGTGCTCCAAGCTCCGGCCCAGCTATCCACGCGGAAAGTCCCGTGAGCTCCACGTGGGTCGGTGGCTCTCTGAGGACCCGTGACCTCAGCGCCTTCTCCTCGGCATCGTGTGCGCGGCCCCGGCTCCTCCGCCACCTCGGGGGGGGTGCAAAAGCAAAAGCTTTCTCCCAAAGCCTCCTGCCCACAGAGATGGGCAGTGATGGGGGTTTCGGTCCTGCGAGACAGATCGTTTCAATCAAATTTGCTGTGAGCCCCCATCAAGGCAAATAACTGCTGAACCCCGAGAAGGGAGATGATAAAATTTGTGCTTGAGTGTTGCCAGAACGTTTGTTTTGCTGCACTTCCTCCCCAGCAACGTGCCAAAGATTTAAACTCCCGAGTTGAGTCCGTTGGGAAAATCGTCTCTGCGGCACGGGAGCAGGGCTCCTCTGGAGACAGGTTTCTCCCACGGACTGAAGGAGAAATCCAGGGTGGTGAGCAGGAGAGGAAATTAAAGCAATCCAGACAAATTAAAAGCTCTCCTGGTATAAAATCTGGATTTGCAGCAGTTACAGTTTAAGCAGAGAGTACAAGCGCAGTAAAGCCAAGGTGTTTCACGGAGAAACAGCTCAGTCATTGGCAGTTTCATTAAAGATGCACCGAATTTTCCAAGATCTTTCCCACTTAACACCTCTCTGCTGCGTGCACCATCCCAAATTTACATCCTCTGTCAACGTTTGGCTCAGTAGTGGAAGAGAGGTCAGCAATTGCACGTTTTGGGTTGCGGACTGCGTATCTCGAGAGGCATGAGTAGACATCTTTATGGTACAAAGCGCTGTGGTTCTCAGCAGTCCACAGAGATTCTTGATTTTGGACCAAAAAAAAAAAAAAAAATCGGTATGTTTTAGGAGTGCAAACACTAGTCAGACCATGGCTGTTGTCCAGCTTGAACTAGTATATTTAAAACTTGTCACTTTTTAAATAAAAAGGAATGATGGGTGTCCTGCATTTCAGGTGCTGGGGACTGGTTGGCTGTTGTGCTTACCTGCAGCTTCTTCGTCATCTCCGCCTGCATGTGTTCCGTCCCTCCGGCAAGAAAACTGTGAGTGGATCCATCTGTTGCATTCCCATAAAACGCACAACTGCTAGAAGGGATGGTCCTGTCCTTTCAGGACAACGTGGGGAACGGCAAAGATTGCTCTGAATAAAGCTTTCGGAGTACATGAATAGTAAGAACATACGCTAAGCTTAAAATATAGCCTTATTATTAATTTTAATCTAGATTAAGGTCTGCTTCCAGTAAGGAAAAAAAAAAAAAAGGGTACGATCCTCTGCAATTAACCTGGGAGAGAAGCTAAACCCTGAGATTAAAACCGTTTTCCTTTAGAGCAACACACGCTCGCCTACCCCAGCCAGATTTTCCAGGCCTGGGGCTCACAGCTGGACCCAGCGAGTTCTACCGCTGGCAAACATCTGGCGGGGGCTGGCAGGAGATGCCGGGCCTCTGCCCAAGGGCTGCCCTGTCCCCATGTCCCCCACCCCCCCCGGGCTAAGGCAGAGTCACGGTTCCACCGAGCTGCCGGGGACCTTTTCATTGCACTTATTCAACCTGCAGATTGCACGGGCTGCTCTCCGCCCTTGTGCCGCGGTGGCAGAGCAAAGCCATTCCAGACCCAGCGAACGCGACGTGGGCTAAGGACTACCTGGCCAGGAAGGTAAATTATACTTGATTTTTTTTCCACTAATCCCACCACCTTCAGAAGAAAAAAAATAGATTGGAGCCGTGCAAGTCCCCAATCTTTCAATGCAACCCATCCGCAGCGGACAAGCTCTTGTTCTCCCATCACAAGGGACTGCAGGATGTGTCCAACGCTGGAAGGGCTCAAGGCTGGGTTGGACGGGGCTTGGAGCACCCTGGGCTGGGGGAAAAGTGTCCTGGGGGGTGGGCTTTGAGGCCCTTTCCGACCCGAACCACGCTATGTATCAGGCCAATTAAACGCAAGAAGAACGCGGAGATCATTCCTGAGCTGCTGTGTGGAGGGATGCTTGCAGCGGGCGGGGCAGGAGGTCACGGGCTCTCCATCACTTAATTAATTAGCCCTCCACAGGCCCAGCTGAGCTCGCCCTCCAGCCTGTTCCTGCACAGCCCCGCCGGCTTCGAAGAGCCTGAAATAACCCAAGTAGAGGAAGCCTTGCTGAAGCCCGACCCCCCGGCCCCGCGGGCCAAGCTCTGGGGGGGCAGCGGGGACCAGGAGCAGCCCGAGTACCCGGCTCCCCCCAGCCCGGCAGACGGGGAGCGGTACCAGCAGCAGCTCCCCGACCTCTACAAGAGGATAACGGCGGAGCAGACGCAGAGCCTCCCCGAGTACCTCACCAACCCCGTCACCCCCAGAGCCACCCTGTACCTCCCCCCGGCTGCGGGCCCCACCGGAGACCTCCCCGAAATCGCGCGCGACCCGCTCTCCATCCTCCCAACGATTCTGACACCCGTACTTTCCTACGAAGGGAATCTTACTTTGGACAAGGTGAAAATAAACTGCAGCTCTTCCACAGGGTAGGCGGGTCGGGGGGGACGCGAGCCTGGCCTGGTTTGGTTTATTTTTTTTTTTTTTTTTTTTTTTGCACTGGACTGGAATCACATTGTCCCCAGTGACACGGGGGCTCCAGAGGGACAGGGCTGGCAGCTCAGGGCCAGCCTGCCCGCGCGGCTCGGCTCGGGGAAAGAGAAATCCTCACCAGAAATAAAAGCAACAGGCAGCGCGTGTACGCAGGAAGGCGAATGGACTGGTGAGAAGAATTTAAATCATTTATTGAAGTATTCTAATTACAGCCTTGGAAGTCTGTGTTACACATTTAATGGCTTTGTTTACTGTATGTGTATTATATATATATATAAATAAAGTGTTGGAAACCCAGAATGTGTTTCCTGTTGGTTCTCTCTGGTCAAGCTCAAGTGCTACGCTGCAGCTACACACAGAATAGTCTTTAAAAATAAAAGCTGAAGCTTTGCTGCTAGAAATGAGGTAGTCCAGATTCAGAACTTACCTGGAGCATCCTCCTCCCGCCCGGGATCAGGCAGCTGCTGTCCAAGCTACACAAGCTTCTGGTTAGCAGCATAAGCTGGTGAGGAAACCCCCCCACCCCGTGATACCACCACGAAGGTGGCGATGCCTCCACGAGGCTACGTGACCTGGCGAGGAAACATCCCCCCCAAGTGTCTCCTTCCACAGCACCCCGGGAGGCACCCGCACGCCACGGCCACGGCTTTCCCCTCCGCCTTCCGCTCCCAGTGAGGAGCAAACCCGAAGCGCTGCATTAGTGAGCTGTTGATTTTTTTTCCCCCCTCCACTCCTGGTTTTTGTCCCAAACGTGGCCGGTTTATCCTCTGGAGGCCCACGCAATCCCACGCTCCCACACTCAAAGGTGCTGCAGGACGAGCCCTGTAACGACCGGGCACACACAGGCGGGCGGCAGGCAGGCTGGGCTCACCCACATTACCCCCCCGCCTCGCCACGCTCTTCACTTCCACCCACACTGCAAAAACACCTCTGCAACAGGCACGAGTACACGAAGGGAGCTGTGTGCACCTTACGTTTTAAGCTTCTTTTTTTTTTTTTTTAGGAATGTGAAATTCAAGCCCTGGCACCAGCTCTCCTCGTGTTCAGCTTCCAGGTGACTCCTCCCTGCACTTCCCGCAAGCGATGGCAAGCACCCTGGCTGTTCTCAAAGACCAACCTCTCCCGTCTTGTGTTTCTGTGTATTGCCACCACGCCACCACCCTCAGCAATGATTTAGCTGTTAGCCCCCAGCCGCAGGCGTTCCCAGGAAGGAGACGTGTCCTGGTAAAGGCAGAGCAGCTCAGCTGAGCAGCCCGCGGGATCCAGCACGCCGCTTGCTGCCAACTCCCCCCAAAAACCCCTCCAAAAAAACCCCCCCCGGGCTATCTCCAGCAAGTGAAGCTGGGGCCATGACAGCACGCGGCCTTCCTCCTGCAAACAGCTTCTTGGGGATACGGAAAATGAGGAACAGAAAGAGGCAGAAGGCAGCTACTGCCCAGGAGACTGTTTTCCCGAAGCGGAGAGCAAGGCGCCGAGGGGAAACGCTGCGGGAGGAGCTGGGGGAGCAGGGCCCCGGGGAGCAGCTCGGGTGTGCTGCAGGTTGGGAGCGCTCCACAGCCGTTCCCCCAGCGCCCCGGCACCCAGCCCGCCGCAGGACACTGCCCACAGCCTCGCCCAGGGGATCCTTCACATAAAATCCCCGCTGCGGCAAAGCTCATTCTTCCCGCCAGCGAACTCGGCGGTCACGGGGGGGGGGGAACGAGAATACTCACCCATACCGCCCAACCACGGGGGCAAGAGCCCACCACATCCACAACCGCTGAAGGAAAAGGATCCCCAGGCACTCCAGGCAAACCACACGACAGCCTCGAGAGAGGTGCACGTACTCGGGAAGACACGGCACCGTCTGCCCCACCACGGTGCCAACTCAAGCGCCGGCCGCTCCCCCCCCCCCTTCAAGAGGCGTGTCAAAGCTGGCAGCATTTTTGATCTGCAGGCTCCCAGATAAAACCGCCTGCAAGGTGCTCCGCGGTGCAGCCCTACTTACGTAGTGACCACAAATTTAGTTTGGGAGTTGTGCTTTGGGGTGAATTTCAACCCTGGGGTTTGTTCGCGTCCTCGCTGCCACCTCCAAACCGGCTCAGGACCTCCACGCTCGAGGTCACAGCTCGGACACGGACGTGCTCCGAGGGAAGGTGCACCTCCACGTGAAAGCAGCTTTAAACAGCAGCCACCCCCCTTTAGCATCTTCGAGCCTGACCGAGGTAACCAGCGGCCCGCTGTTAAAAGGAACTGCTGCGCAAAAAAAAAGCACTTAAGGAGCAACGGCCACCCCATCCCGACGCGTTTCCCTCCTGCTCCGCACCGCTGCCCTGCAAGAGCCACACAATCCCAGCCAGCCCGACCTCTAGGCGCTTCCTTAGGCCAGAAGCAAGTCTTCTCCTCGCCCTCCATACAACAGGAATCCTGCAGTTTGTTGAGGACAAACCCCCAACACAACCGGGCAGGCGCTAGTTCAAACTGCTGAACTGAAGGGCTGCAGCGATCCCGTACCCGATTCACCTCCGCGCCGCTCAGGGGAGAATGAGCAAGTACAATAAAGCCCCCTCACCTCTCGGTGTTCCGAGGACCTTCGTAGCAACATCTCACGGGTGAAGACCAAACAGGTGAGTAGGGTCCCCAAACGAGTGCCGGCACCGGGCCGGCTCACCCCCTCACCCCGACGGGTTTTACGGCTGAAGACGCATCAAGAGCCGCACGACTACCCAGAGCCCAGCCGCTGCGCGCAAGCGGCAGGAGCACCCCTCAACTCCTCACTGATCTGAAGCTGGAATCGGTGCTGAAATATGGGGAAGAACAACCCCCCCCAAAAAAAAAAAAAAACAAACCAAACCAAATCCTGTAAGCCACTACTTGCTTTCTCTCTTCCAGAAAACGAAGTGACAGCATGCTCCAACTCATCTGTCCAACACCCGACCGCGGAGCTCGGGGAGCTCCAGTCCCAGAGAAGCCACACAGCCAGCCACAGCCCAGCTGCTAGGGAAACCCAAAGCTACCTTCCTTAGCGAGAGCTACGGCCTCCTCCTGCACCGCCCTTTTTCGTTGCTGTTATTTCACCTGGGAAAACAACGCACGTAAGGCAGACAAACCTGGCACGGTGCCTGGGCGCTCCCCGCCTCCCAACGCGGCCACTCACGCTGCCAGCTACATGGAAAACGCACCAGATTTTCCTCTGCCAAAAACCACCTCTGGCATTTTGCTTTTTGGGTCCAGCAGCTGGTTCCAAGGTTTGGTCTCCAGGCTGGTACACAAGACATCTTCCCTCTGTGAGGACTGGTTTGGTGTCACTCAAAGGCAAACGTTCTGCTCCGGCTTGGGTCAGACATCCGAGACAAGGGAACTCCATTTTCGTGCTCTCCACACCCAATCAGCAAATCACCCTGGCAAGAGGATTCTGGCTGGGAATCACAGACAAACTGGTGCCTCAAGCTGGCTGCAGACAACCAAATTAGATACCTATTATCAAAGAAAGGTATTTAAAAGAAAAAAAAAAAAAAAAAAGCAGCAGAGTGCACTATTTTGTCATTCATCTATTTCAGCATATTGACCTTCAACACACGGGACGACAGAACACCGGGGTGCCTTTTCTCCTCGCTCTTCAATTCTCTAAATTCCCCCATGGGGCTTCCCAGAAAACCTGACTCCAAAAGAAACACCAGTAGGACAACCACCCAGGTTACACACACACACACACACACACACAGAAAGATTTTCACACTTGGCTTTTCCAGCAGCGCAGCGGGGACTCACTGACCGGTGTCGGGGCATCGGCGCTTGCTCAGGCTGTCACCTGGCACAGGCAGAGCAGGAGTACGAAATGGAGGTGGCACGGCCCCTCGTAACCATTTTAGAAAAGAAGCAGGTTAGCAAATGCTGGAAGTGTCAGCTTTAGGCATGTGTCCTGCGTTTATTAAAACACGAGGCGTGGCTATGCAAACCGATCTCCACGGGCAGAGAGTCATTACAGGTTAGGAGTGGTCTCAACTCCTCCAACTGCAAACACCACAGGTTCACACTGACTTCCAACGTTTCAGAAGAATTTATGTCCTTTCCCACACAGCTAACACTTGCATTTATTAATCAGGCTTGTTTCCTCCCAGCATCAGTGGCATTCAATCTGTAAGATGAACTTTCATGCTCAAACCTTGCCATCGTTCCGTTCAAAAGCCAATTTGCACCACGTGCTTCTCTGTTTCTCTCCAACTTTTACTGCTGACCATCTTTTTCAAATTGTTCAGATTTTAAAAGGTCTCGTCCTCTGGATTTGGCGTGACAGCAAAAGTAGCAAGCAAGAGGACAGAAAATGTTACTGAAGAGCAAGCTCATCAATCGTGAATAAGCTACTCTGGAGCCATTTTCCCAAGGCAGAGCCCGTTCCTGGCGATGGAAATGCCTGGGCACCATCCCCACAGCCAGACTGGACCTCCTGGGGCACAACCTACACGAGACGCTATTAACCTAAGCGGTTCCATCTCCGTGTGTTTTCATGACATTTTTAAAAGAGCATGAAAATAAACCTTTATTTCAGTTAACACCCACCAATATTAAAGATATATGTTCACAGTTTTAGTTCTTGACACAAATGGACTGAAAGAGGCAAATTTACATCTATCAGAATAGCAGACGGACCAATTGCGAGTACAAGCTGTCTTGAAAATCGTACGTGACATGCCATTTGGGAAACTGCTCTATGCTCTAAAGCAGGAGAAGGGAAAGCTTCTGACCAAGTCCGGCTAGCAGGGCCCCAAACGACTGCCTGGCTGGCCCAGAAGTCATCTGGAAAAAAAAAAAAAAAGCTGAGTGGCAACCGAGACAGCAAATACACAGTTTGGATAAGGGGAGGAAGGTTTATGTTACAGAGAAAGCTCTTCCATAAGTGTGTTTTTTCTGCATATCGAGGCGTTTGTTGAGTTGTTATTATCCAAGGAGTCCCTAACGCTGGAACTGCAACACGTTCTACCAAACCACAAAGGGGGAGGGAAGAGGAACAACTCGGTGCTGGACCGGCAAGAGCCCCCACGCCCAGCACCTGTGTAAGATCAGCTCAGAGTCAGGAGAAGCGAACCAAGAGATCTTCCCATCCACTGTTTGAAAACTTGCCTCCTTCTCACAGCCTGGTACTTTAAACTATAGGCGAGTGCACTAAAAAGTGGAATCCAATGATATTAACAGTGGTTTGCAACAAAAACTTTTGTAGAAAATAGTTCAGATAAAGCAAGCCAGCTAAACACCGCAACTAAGGAGTCTGATATTTCATATTCAAAGGTCTCCAATACTTTTTGCCTGTCCTGTACAGCTTTTAAAAAAATAGGGCGTTACCTTTTGTTTTCTATCTACCTAGTTACGAAACTACAAATATGTTATAAGCTGTCCAACATGTAAAACATTAAATAAAATGAGAAACCTGTTTCTAGTCTCCTAACAAATGCTGCAGATAAAAACCCAAAGAAACCCTCTTTATTACTCATTCTCTCCACTCCTTTTGTGTACTGAAGGGGGGGGGGTAATGTTCCTGTTCACAGGGATTAAATTAAACCTACAGCGAATTTCTACCGGGGTAGAAAGGGTTTCTTGCAATCGCTCTCTGAAAAAAGCATTTTGTTTGTCAGCTAGCACTCAGATCTCAGAACACCGCCCAAATCCAGAGCGAAACTTGGACTGGGGTTTCGCTCTCGCATCTTTTTTTGTTGTGTCGCGCAGAGATTGCACCGTCCCCCATGGGGAGCTGCGAGCCAGAGCTCCCTCCCTCCTGCAGGTTGTGGGTATCTCCCGTACCGGCGTACTCGTGGCAAGAGACTGAGCTGCTGAATTCCACGTCCCGGCCGGAGCCCGGCCAGAGCAACAGCTACCACCTTCCCCCACCTCCCAGCTCCGACAGCAGGAACGGTCACGCCAATCTACAGGGTACCCTCTCAAAGCAAAAGCATAGGGAATTTAAAAACTCTTCTTTTTTTTTTTTTTTTTTTTTTTTTTACCAACAAAGCATCTTGTTTTGTTGGAAGGGACAAGGAGGGAATAAAGGTAAAAAGGGTGAGCGAAAGGCGTAACACATTAATTTTAAAAAACTGTTTCGACCAATTATCCACACATCATTGCTGGATCGATACACAGGTATTTAACTATAAACCAATGTGCTTTGAATCTTTTTCAAGTATCTGGTATCAATTTTGTATAAAGATTTTGTGTAAACAAACTACCAAACATAGATGAAAAATGACTGTTTTCCCAAGTGTGAAATTAAGCATTAAAACTAAAGTACTCCAGGAGTTAGTATCCCATACAGCACTAACAGTCTGCCAAATTAAAACTTCACGTATTCCAAAAGACCGTGGGCTGATAAAATCTGCCAAAGAGGAATTAAGGAAATGGAAATAGTGTGCAATAATTAAAACCCACTTTGTAGTTCAGGGAAAAGGTCTAAAGTCCTGAATTAAAAAAAAACAAAACCAAAAACAAAACCAAAAAAACACAAATGAAGTGAAAGCTTTTAACTGGTACACACTGTTCACACCTATATTTCAAGTTTGGAAACGCATATTTTCAAGCAGCAATACAAAAAAGTATCCATGAAGAATGCATAATCTCTGAAAAAATTATGAAAACATCCCTGCTACCATTACATTTCTAAATACAAAACTGACTACCATATTGTTGCTTCTGTGTAGCGAGAGAAGTTCATTTTCAAAACAGATAAAATTCAGTCTTTAGGTGTGAATGGTATGAATGACAGTCTCCTCTTTTTTTTTTTTTTTTTCCTTTTTTTTTTTTTTTTTTAAATTTCTTAGTTGTTTAGGATCCTTAAGCATGCAAGCCTCGGAGAGGAAGGCCCGATGAGGGCAGGGTTGGCTTATGACATCCAGTTTAGGACAGAGCTGGGAAAGCCTCTGGGTCATCTACATCAGGAGCAGAAGCACTTGACTGAAAGAGAAACATCAGAAAGTTATTACGTTCAGCTGCATCAAGCCCTACCGCGTTTCTTAATTCTTCTGACATTATCCAGTCCTTCCACTTGCCAGGCAAACACGTGCTCAGCGCTGAGCTGGGCAGCAGCTGCGGGCGCAGCCTGGGCCAGGGGGACAAGGTCAAGGCTCTGGGTCTGTGCGGACAGACTGGGTGACGCTTGCACGGGGCTGCCACGGGCACGGGGACCCCCTGCACCCCAAACGAACCGCGGTGGGAATTCCTCCTCCTCACTTTAAAACTGCTCTAACCCGAACCCTACTCAACAGGGGAATACTGGGCTTCAAAGAGCTACACTGTACAGCAGAGGAAGCAGTCAGGCGCTGGATAAATTACTACAAGAGCAACTTTCCCCCCCCCCGTGATAAGCAACACTTTTTTTTTTTTTAATTCCAAGGACTAAAGTCTCTTGTATTACTTTTTGAATCAAAGCTATCTGAGGAGACGTTACAGGCAAACAAACCCTGTTTGCACATGATTATCACACAAGGTTACAAGTACGTCTCGTTTTCCATTCCTGAAGAGATCCCTACATGTGGGCTTATGCTATTCTACTAGCACATAACCATCAATTCTTGCCGAGGGACACAACTCAAGTGTTAGAGAAAAGGCCTACTGGTAGCACAAATCAAGATTCACACGTTTAGTTCTTCCCCAGCCACACACTAGCTGCTGATCCAGAGAATTTTTGTGCCAACCTAGCCCTAGAAATTCAAACATTAACCAAACATCTCCTTAGCACTCCCCAAGAGTTTTTTTAAAAGGCTCTCTGTACCACAGTGCTGGCTGCAATGAAATGCAGAAATTAAGTATTTTAGAATACTCTTCACGTTGTCCAGGAGGGATATGGAAGAGAAGAAGAGTAGGAAGAGCCAGGATAGCGGAATTTCCTGTAAACATACTCATTTATCAAGAGATATATTTAAATCATTCCAACAAAAGTTGTATCAACACCTATCGGCAAGACTAAGACACTGCAGAAGCACCCAGCCCACAAACTAGATTTAAAAATAGCAGGGTCTTAAGCCTGTAGGCTTTAGTATCTCTGGTTGTGCATTACACAAAAGCAGAAAGCAAGCCAAAAAGAGCCAATCCACTGCAGGAGGGGAGTTACAGCCCTGCAAGAGGAGGGCCCTGTGCACCGGTAACGCAAGTGCCAGCAGAGATCACCAACCTGGTTGGGTGTGTGGATCACGTCAAACTCCTTAACCAACTGGAAGAAAATAAACAAAGTCAACATCAAACAAGCTGCAGAGAAGTTTAACTACTTTATGACAGCATTCTTGAAGAAGCAAGATGTCTTTTTAGTGACACAACTCAGAGCAAACACCACCACCATTTAACTTCCACTCCTTCAAATTTTCTTACATTGCTATCAGGAGAGAGCTGTTCAACTAATAAGCCTAAAACTAAAAGAGAATGATTTCTCTTTAAGAGAACTGGCCTCAGTGAGAAGAGAAACTTCTCTTTAAATTAACCAAAAAGAACTAATAAGCCTAAAACTAAAAGAGAAAACAGAGTCAGTGTCCTAGAGGAGATAAAAATGAGCAAGTCTGGTCTATGTGAAGAAAGCCACACCACACAGACTGAACTCATTTTTTAGTAAGGAACAATTTAATTAGATGCATTTTAGCCAAGTAATTGATCTATAGTAAATAAAATCTTTACTGTAGCTATACTACAGTACTTCAACTTTACATGTTCGCTCCCCAGCCCCATTCAGTACTCTTCCTGACTATTTCCTTAGGGCTTTAGGAGTAGAGTAAGAAAACAATTACTGCAAATTAGGGGGAAAAAAAAAAACAACCCGCCCCCCCCGCCACCCACCCCACCCCCACCCCCCCCCAAAAAAAAAAAAAAAGAAAAAAACAAACAACAAACCAACCAAACAGTAAGAGTCCTACTTCTACACGAAATCTCTAAATTCCTTAAATTCGAGATATGACATGCAGCCGTAAAACCAGTCTTTCGTCCCCAACAGGTCACAATGCAGATAAACCGCTCCTGATTGTGTCTGGAAATAACCACTCTGGCACAAACAGAAGCGTCTCACAGCACATTCAGATCTGTCCACACTGAAGAGTCATTTTTTGGGTTCAGATACAAAGATGGGACGCTTTTTTTTTTTTTTTTTAAATCCAACCTACTTCCCACCCTCCCTTTTTTGTGTTTAATAAGAACACTGCTAAAACATTCATCCTTTTGTCCTAACAGACATCTAGTTTAAAGTAAACTTGTAAGAATAGACACTTCACTTGGTTTTAAAACGCAGTGTTTGTCGTCAGAGCAACTCCCCTGGAAATAAGGAAGACACCTAAAACTATCTGTATGACAATCCTAACACCAGCTGAAACTCAACTCCTTTGCAGACGAGAAGCTGTAGCTACCCACCTTGTCAGTTCTGCCTCCACGGCTGGCCCTGCCACCGCGTCCTCGGCCGCCCCGTCCCCCTCTGCCACCACGTCCGGGGCGGCCGAGGTCTCCAAAGTTGATCTCCAGCTGGGATGTAATATCATTTGCTGGCTTGCGGAAGTGATGATCCATTACAGAGTCCTCGGCGTGAGCCTGAAATGAGCGTTTCTTCATCAGTAAGAAAAATCACCAAAGGAACCTTTCCATCTGTAGTTGCACTCTTACCACCACAGCACATGTTCACCTCCAAGTGCGCTCCCGAACTGATGACTGATTTACCTTGATTGATTCAAGTTCAAAGATCGTGCAGGAATTGTTAGGAATCGAGTTATACCGCTTGTGCAGGCAACAGAACCACATACAGGTAATCAAAACAGCGCTTGAGCAAACAAAGGTATTTTGTATTTTCAAGATAATTCAGGGAAGCTCTGGAGTTCCTTCAGGGGAACACGTTTAGGCTTATCTGAGACTATCACCAAGCCAGTACAGCACCTCGTTTTCTAGCATTTCTCTTCTCACTTTGCATCCTGAGAAATCTTCCAGTGCTATCAATTCATTTCGTTCTTTTTAAATACTTACTTGGTAACCCATCTTTATTTTGCTCAATGAGTACTTTACACTTTCTCATTTGCTTAGCCCTGGTTAAATATTTAAAACAAGGGAGATGGGAAGAACCCCTCATCGGTTTAAGTTAGCCGTAACAAACAGCAACCGAGGCATAAACAGTTCCAACACAACGTAACTGAAGAAGCTAAACCAGAGTCCCATTCTCCCTGATTACACTGAAAAATAGGACTATCCCCACCTTTGCCACGATACAACCTTCTCTTACAGCCCGTGGCTCCCAGTGCCCTCACAGGGAGAAACCTGAGCCTTGAGGAACAAGGAATGCACCGAAGAGTTACATCTAACACCATAATTGCTACTATTCAGCACATTTGAACATTTTACATTATTGCACACTGAACAGAAAACGAACCGAGGGTTTTAAAAGTAATTCTTTTTCCTATTTTTGCACAAATAATTTTTCCATGAGGTTAAGTCAGTTTTTGGCACCTAGGATGATACACGTAAAACTGGCCACACTGGATCAGACCGAGGGTTTAGCTAGCCCAGAACTCTGCCTCTTACAAGGCCCAATCATCGTGTTTTGGAAACGTGACAACGTGCAATGCTTTTTCCCAAAGGCCCCTAACTTCTGGCACAGCAATTATCAGTTTGTTTGATTTTTATCCTACAGCGGTGCCATGTGCAAGGTTAGGCCTCCTGACTCTAACTTGCTTTTCTTGTGGTGTAATTACACAACATGCTGACTTTCAAAGGCAACAGATTGTGCAATTAAGCCCTATACCCTTTAATTACCTTTTGTGGATCCTTCATAAGGCAGCCAATGGATACACAGAGGTCTACAGTCAAAAGGCCGAAAACTGTTTTCAGGGCTTGAGTCAGTCACAAGCACCACAACGTAGAGAGCCATAAAGAGCCTTCTCCCCCACCAATTAGTTACCCCTTTCCACGCCCAGCTGTACATTTGGCCTCCACAACATTCTGCAGCACAGGGCACTGCAAAATGAGAAATACCTCTCGATGCTGCTTTATTTCAAACATATTTTCCTGGGATGTGTTCCATGTAACAACTGGTCCCCAGCCCATTCCTGATTTTGTAGATTTGAACTGTACACCCTTCCCTCAGAGATCTCTCTTCCAACTTAGGAAGTTAGCTTAACCAGCTGTTTTTCAGAGAAAAGTCATTCCACATCTCAGCCTGACATGGCACTACTCAAACATAAGTACACCAACAATTTGTAAGACGGTACACAATACCTTTTGTTATGGCTTTGATTCCTTTCTTATTACTTAATATTTTATCTGTAGTTTTGATCACTGCAGGGTACTGAGACAAAGTTTTCAACTTACTGGTAGTCACAGGACATTCTCTTTTGTGAGAGGTAGTATCAGTGGATTTGTACAATAATTCTGTGCGTTTCCTCCCCTGCACTGTTACTGCTTGAAAAAGAAACACTACAGTCTACAAAAACCGTTGTATTTTCACAACTTAACTTTGGCTTAGCCACTAAAGCAACAACTGGCAAATTCTGTATGTAACCCAATGATTCCTTTTTGCAAAGTAACTAAAGCTAATTTAAAACACCAGTAAAAGACTTGGCATATGCTCCACATCCTCTTCTATCCCTTCAGTGACACGTGTCACAGACATACCGTACAAATCGCTTATTCTGAATAGTCTTTGGAAGCGTTTAATTCATATGTATTGGCAAGTCTCATTAGCGCTCTGATCTAATAACCGAAAGCTTCGTGAAGGCATTGCTGCACTTATGGGTCTTGGGGAAGGCTGTCAAAAATTAAGAACAAGCTACTAACAGAAAGGGGGCCAAAGCAGACAGCGAGGTATGGAAAAACAACAGCAACAACAAACAAAAATAAAAGAAGACTCATGACAGAAGCATTTATGATAAGGGGTTTGAATTCAGCTCAATTAGGAGCAAGGGTACTAATTATGAAGGGTCCTATATGGTGCACAGTTAGACAACAGGCATGGACAGAAGAGCTTCATATTGTATCTACCTGTATTTGCTATTTTGGTGACTTCGTAATATCCAGACCTTCCTTGCAGAAGGGGCTCATATTAAAACACAGGTATTACCAGTTAGATATAAAGGATCAGTACCTCATTTGACTCCAGCAGACTCCCCTGCATTTCTGTCATCGCCTTTGTCTGATGAAAGTTGCGTGTCCACGCCAAAGTGACAAAAGGAACAAAGGGAGAAAACAAAAGGAAGAAATGAGACTCAAACTACATACAGGAACAACAGGTAATAAGGTCACATGAACTTGCTGGATACAGATGTCACTGAGCACATGAAGCAGCAAAAGGATGAGATCAACAGCCGTGCAAGCATCCAGAAAGACCAGAGGATGGACTGGGCCACAGGCGCGGAGACAAGAGAAATCTCAGATCAATTCCAAAAAAGTTTAACGCAAGCTGCTGGGAACTCCAGTAGAGACCACGCAGGCAGGCTCATCTCTAGCACCTCAATACATCAGGCACACTGCGTACGGAACCAGACGGGTAAGAGGGGGGGATGCTCAAAATGAAAGAGGAAAGGTTTCTGCACAGTCTCGATTCAAGAGTCCTTCCTCCAAATTTTGAGAAGATGAACTATTCTTTTCCAAAACATATTTCTCAGTCTCCCATTACAATCTCCTCTAAGGAAGTGTTTAGATTAGCAAGAAAGTTTGAAGGCACTGGGAAGAGGCCCGGCACAGCAGAAACATAGCATAGGAACTGATCTACTAGTGTATCCATCTTTCCAGGAGACTTGCATCCAACTTTCTGAACAGATTTTAAGATCTCTCCACAATGCAACTCCTTCGCATTTTTTGTTCAGCTGCACCAGCAGAAGTTAAAAGACCCGAGCCACTAAACCTGCTGCAGAGAAGGAAAAAAGAGGATCTCTTTTATAGCAGAACCCAATCTCCTGGAAAGTCTCATTAGATCAGGGCTGCCAATACACATGGATTTCCCATTAAACCAGCAAGAATCTGAGACAGTATTAAGAGTTCATTTTATACAAAGTATCACTTTCCAGTAATTGCATAGCAAACATGAAAAAGAGGAAAGACCTCAGATAGGCCAAGCATTTCACCCCTCAGTGAAGAGCGTAAGTAGGAGGAGGAGGACAGCTCTTTCACAAGACTAAGGCAGATGAACAGCAGGAGATGCTCATACTCCTTTTTCCCACCAACTCCTAGGGAATTCTCCCCATAGTTCTCAAGCTACAGGAACGAGGGTGGCCATCACAACTCTTCAATCCAAATTTCTGAGAACATCTACTGGGGCACGTTGTGATTTTTTGGCCATAAGAGTACAGAAGATCTGGGGCTGCAACCCAGAACTTACCTAAAACCAAGTCACCTCCCCACATCAACTCCCTTCCTATCACTAAGAATCACAGAAACCTTACATGAGCCTTCATTTCATGACTCATAAGTATGCCCAAGAGAGCAAACAGAAAAAGAACAGCAGGTGATTGGTAGGTTTTGTTCACAACTTCTAAATATGCCACCTTCTAAACCTGCTCACTGCAGCGAAGGCTTTCCTAACACCTGTATTATAGAGCTGTTCTGCTGGAATACTTAGCAAAAAAACCCCATGCTGCTTCCCAAGGGATCAGTGAACAATGAGTAAGTGAAATGGGGAGAGACATCTGCTGGAGATACAATAAAAGCAGGCTAAAAGCATCTAGATTTAAAAGGCAGTTAATATGTCACTTCTGTGCTTACACAGCAAGGTGCTGTTATTTTTAACTCTATCACGTAAGAAGTTATCAGACTCATTTTCTGGAGAAGTTAACTGAATACACCTCTCAAACAGGACAATCTACTAATCATTTCAGTTCTTCCACAAAAGGAATTTGGTTTGTTACTCTCATTGGGTTTGGTTGGTTGTTTTTTTGGGTTTTTTTTTTTTTTTTTGAGTTAACTACTGATTCATTTTTTGAATGGAAAATTCAGCATGGAACTTTCTAGCTTCTAAGTTACTCAAGAGTATCACCACCTTATTATAGTATCATACATGTACATATGTTAAAAAAGACTGTCTTTAGCTGACTAAATGTCAAATAAATCTGCTTTGGAGGGATTGGGGCTGGGGGAACTTGAGGGACTACAAGTTCAGTAAACCTTGGTAAAGTACATAAACACTTGTTTAAATATACTCTTTTAATACACAGCAACACAAAGCCTAACTCAGTTTCCCTTTTCTATAGAAGCCAGAGAAAGCAGTATTTAATGAACACTCCAAACACCGAGCAGCATAAGCTCAGCAAAGACATATGCCATCATTTAAAGAACCAAACTACCTTACACAGCAAGAAAATAGCATGATTGTCACAAAGTCAAACTCACTCCGAGTTCAATGAGATCAGAAATGGAGTTTCCATTGCAAAGTACTGAATAGTGCCTCCCCAAAATGTATTATGCCCCACACTGACAAGAAAAAACTGACAAGGTGTAAAAAAGCAGAAATACATGAGAAGACCAAACAGCCTATTACATACTATTTAATTACTTCAAAAGGAGTCAGAACCGTCTGCTATACAAAGCTGCAGGTCACCAATTAACAGTAGGCCACTTCAGATACTACAGTGTTAAAACCAAAGATAAAACCCAAAGATTAATTAATGCAGGCTTGCATGAGAAAACAGAGCTCTCGACACCTCCCTCCCCTTCTGAAGTATAAGAGTATTTTCTCCTTGCCACTCTCACTAGCTTCGAACTGAATAATTAAAACTTTGCAGAGGCTGAAATGAGTATGCTTGAGGAACTACAATTTTAAAATAATTCCGCAGCAACTATGTTGAATATCACTGAAGCATACAAATGTATTTCACCTAGTTTCCCAAAAGCTTCAAGGAGGCTCATCTATATAATATTACAAAATGATAAGATACCAACGTTACAACCTTAAGATATACAGTTTTGCTATTAAGGTGTCTGGCGCATGACCAGTATATCTTTAATCTTACATCATGTTCAGCACGCACCATAAATCTGCGTAAAGCATAAGACTAACAGAGACGCTAAATAACACAAGCTTCCTTTAAAAAAAATAAAACAAAAACAGAGGAATAAATTTGGTCTTGAATTTTTTTCTGAAATGCTCACCAAGAGACAGTCCTTACAAAGCTACCTGCCCAGATGCAGCAGTACTGCAGCCTTATCTCTAGATTATATCACAGTACACACCAACCTAATGGTACAGATCATCTGCTAAATCTAACCACAGCAAGAATGGCTACTTATGCTACTGCATCACTTCAGCTTGATTATGAAAAATGTTGTTTCCACTTTATAAACTCTTAGCTACAGGTCAGCCACTCAAAGACATCTCAAAGAAAGGAGCTTCCACTCTAAGAAGTGCGTATCAATAGAAAAACCTATACAGTCTGGATACCAGTAAATACTGAAAATCACTTTACCTCCTCGCTCTTCGACTTGTGAAGAACAAATCCTTTTTTCCATTGCCCGTCGGCACCCTCATTTGGTTTACGGATGTTGAACTCAACTTTTGCACGATCCTTACTTTGAATAGCTTTCCACTCATCCAGGGTCATTTCCTTAGGACCTTCTTCCTTAACTTCTTCAACCTCATTCTCTCTGTAGTGAATTCATGGATATTATGATCATGACTTAGAACCCACATTCTAGATACAACAAATTCAAAACCAGTTGTTAATCAGCATCAGATTTTTTAAAAAAAACGTCAAATATTTAGCAGTTGAGGTGTATATAAAAAACCCTCCACTCAGAGAGCACATATGAAGAGTCATCTCCAGAGTGCCACAAAAAAAAAAAAAAACAAACCCACAGCCAGACACCTTTAAGCAACTAAATGGCAAGCACAGTGCAGCAAAATGTTACAACTGACCCTGATCCATGCTGTCTATCCTCCACATCAGTGACAATTTTCTTTACAGATATGAAAGCCTAACTTCTGCAATGGACTTGTTTGGAGCTCCCCACACTCCTCATTTTTGAGATACTTCTCTCTCAAAGATTCAAGTTAAGGCAGTGAGAGAGCGGTTGTTCTTACCACAATTTTCAAGCTTGTTAGTTTTTTTTAAAACAAAAAATAAAAATCCAACAGAACTCAATCAGCTTTGGATGGTCTGCTTCCTTTATTGAGCCAAAGACAATTATTAATTTCCCAGCTAACTGAAATTATTTTTACTTTCAGCTAACTTGAAAAAACAACAGCATACAACTTAGTCACTTGTGCAATATATCATCACCTCATTCTAAACCTTTGGTGACTCTACCTTCTGCCAAAAAGCTATTTTTAAGTAAAACAACCACTATGCTCAATAACAGATCGCATTCCAACTATACAGGCAGTAATCCCCTTGTCTTGTCATTCTTCAGTGTGTTTATGCAACTAAATTTCCAATTTATAGAAAACTAGTGCCACATCTGTGCAGCAAAAAGATCGTGAAAGCCTCAACTTAAGAGAAATGGTCTTCAATTTGTAGCCATTAATTTTGATGTAATAATGCAAAGATTTTATATCCAAATTACTGTACTTCAATTTTTTTCTCATTCTGTAGGACAGAATGATTTTTGACATGGCATATATTCAGAAACACTTTTTTGGCTCAAGGCAAAGATATTAGCCCCTGGCATTCTGCACATTTCACTGCAGTAAAACATCCTACAGTTCTGCTGAAACGCTTATGTTAGGGATCCATACCAAACTAGGCACGCTGAAAACTAACCCATATAAAGATGCTTTTCCATAAAGGTAACTGATGGATTACAACAGATGTGTGATGCTTGAAACTGAGAAGAGTACACATTTGCTGCAGATTTAAGGAAGAAGAAAAACCATACATATAGCCTGCAGAATCTTGCAGATAACTGATCTGCGCCTGGATGGGTCAGTATCTGGTCAAGCACCAGGACACTGCTACTAGTAAAGGTCCAGGAAATACTGCAGACACAGCAAAACTTAATATATCCAAATTTCCAATACAGGTAATTTTTTTTAAGGACTAGCTAGCTTGCATTTTCTGACCAATGCCCAAGCTGTAATTCCTTAGAAATTCTCATACTACTTCTGTATACAAGATGACCTTAATCTTGGACCACCACAGCCTTGGAGAAGTAGTAGCATTTAGTCTTCTTTTAGTCAAGCTAAATCCATTCCTTAGTCTCTGTGCAGTAACTGGATCCTCTTTACCACTAACTAAAGCTTTTAATGAGGAAATCAAGCTATAGCAAATTCCACATTAGAAATTTTGTGCAAACAAGTATTTCAAAAGTCTATCTCATCTGTTTGCCATTTCCATCTGAATCCACCATAAAGCACATTCCTCATTAAAATACAACATTTGATTTTGCTACGCTACTGTAAAAGTTTCTATCATGCTTTTACATCAACTGTAAGTATCTCTACTGCTCATTCTGCTTCTCCAGTTACGCTCTCTCATTCACCTGCCACTGGTTTCCTCTTTAACAGTGTCCAAGTGGAATGAGAAGCAACTGAGTTAACTGCTTTGAAAATTGCCTGCATACACAGAAGCTGGAGAGCAAGAGATACAACCTTTCTTCTACAAGCTAGTCACACAGGCTCAACAGTTGTTTTGAAAAAAACTAAGGTTAAAAAGTTGTCCTCCACTGGCAGGACAACATTTTGCTCCTTTTGCTTGGTGGTTCTACTTAATTATGAGCACAGATGCTTTTGGATTTGGTACTTAACAGTTGCAATCCCGAGATCCTAAGCATATTAGAACTGATTATTAATAACAATCTGAAAGTGACTTAGGAGCCTGCATGACGCTAATGAACAGTTTCAAGATAACAATTTCTAGACATGCAGATTTTAAAGAGACAGTCTTTCAGCAGCACTGTGAATAATTTCGTATCTACAGAAGAAAACATAATCTCAGTTTGGCAAAACAGAAGTAGGAATAAACATCAGTGGTTAAAGGCAAAATAATACTACCTCTGAAGCAGTCAGAGAGCATTAAGAGGGGTGATACTCACTTATTTTCAGAATCAGCAGGCGGATGTTCCTCTCCCTCTGGCGTTTCCTCAGTTACAGCTGACTGATCCAATTCACTGCAATTACATAATGTTCGGAGTTTTGTTTTTTAAAAGTTCGTCCCTATTTAGAGCTACATAAAATTAATGACTGAGTTCTACAGTGGATTTACACAACCCACTTCTAAGAACTATTTCATTAAGGATTAGTGCTCTCTGTGCCTTTTAAATTCCATGCTTTCCACCTTCCTAATGGTTTTCCCCAACACTTACTAGTACCCATTCTGAAAGCCTCCTGCTGTACCTTGAGACACAAAATGGATTCGGGTATTAAAAATACTGTTTTCAATGTAATACTTGTAAAAAAGCACGCTTAACCCGATCAAAATTTTTAAAATTAAACTGCTCCATTTTTAGTAAAAAAAAAAAAAAAAACAGCACAAAATTCTCCATTCCAAACTTCCTCAAAATTCTGTTTTTAACAGTGAAGTCATCTCTTATGTGACAAGAAATTGCTAATTTTCTAAATTCTGCAAAAGCCGCTTTCATAGCGTAGCAAAAGCTATCAAAATCAAAGGCAAAAAAGGCAGCTACATCTTTACATTTTGCAAGCTGTAAGAATTAGGATTTAACACGCTGATAATAGTTTTTAGAGCAATTATAGATTACTAACGTTAGCTCGTCTTTGACGGTTCCCCAGTTGTGTGATCCGCTGCCACCACGCTTGTCCTCATGCTTTAGGCCGCTGAAATGTGAATGTGAAACAGAACTAACAAAACTGAGTTAACATTATAGTGTTCAGATACAGAAATTCAAAAGCAACTTTAAAAATGTCTATTAATTGTAAAGAAGAGCCAAAAAAGCAACAGAAAAAGTTAAAGACTTACGATCTATCGCTGCCACTATGTCTGTCAAATTCACGCTTGCCACGAGAGTCAAACCCATCTCCCCTGCCCATTCCACGGCCACGGCCACGGCCTCGTCCAAGTCCGCCACGTCCACGCATAGGTCGGTCAAGAATGGGTCTAGCATGGAACAGCCAAATGTAAAGAATCTTTCACCTCCAAAAACTTACAGCATGGTTTTTAATACTTTCTCTTTTGAGAATTTTCTTTACTTACTTTTCCTCTGACAGTTTGTAACCGTGTTGAGGCTCTAATTTCAATGCCAAATTATTACACTGAAAAAACCCACACATATAATGCCTGCATTCTAGAATCTGGAAACAAATGCTTGGAAGGATTACTGTTCCTTTGCACCTTCTGGCACTACATTCCAAAATTTAGTGTTTCTATTGTGTTACATAACTAGCTGATACAACAATTTCCATTTAACTCACGTTCATCCAACCTACTTTTAAGAGGATTTTAACTTCGGCTACTCAAATTTTAAAAATTTAACATTACTTTCAGAACACTTGAATTCTGGGTCCCTCATGATACTCAAGACACTTTAAACCTTGCCTAGATATAAGATGGCTTCACCACTTCCAGATTTGAAGCCACTGCAGCCAAGGTGTAAGCACCTATGTGGACAAACTCTTATTGCCTGGAAGTCAGCTGTATGGATTTAAACAACAGCTGGAACAGCAAACAAATCTCATCCTGCAGGCAACAGCTATACTCGAGTTCCTTTCCCAAGCATTCTGCTACAGATTTAGACAGATATGGTGGCTATCTTACTGATTTAAACTGTGTTTTCAGTGACACCAATGGAACTGCTCATGCTAGATCACTCCCAATCTAAAACTTGAGTTGAGTTTGTAAACAAAATCATGGAAAAGGAAAGAAAAGCCTGCAAGACACATGCTCTTCCTGTGACTGACAAAAATTTAATTCTGATTCAATCTGCTGTTTGTTTTTTAACCTAGTAGCAGAAGGCAGGGCAGCCCCTTCCCATCAAAAAGAAGAAAGTTGTCAGGCAAGACAAAATTCTTACTTATCAACAGAAAATTCTCCTCCTTCGCCTTTCTCATCAGCAGGTTTATCAAAGCGGCGCTCACGAGGGGGTCGTCTCTCCGGTCTCCTGTCAATAGGTTTGCCTTCACCCTGCTGTTGCTGCTGCTGCTGCTGATCAGGCCTCCTGCCAATACGTCTTATCCCTGAAACATCAGGCGAAACACATCAACGGAATGCAGAGCTGCTCCGGGAGAGATACCGACTCTTAACAATGTAAAAACAGGATCAAAGGTAAGCTGGAATTGAAGTTTTTCTTCTAGCTTTGCCACAGATAATCTGAGAAACTGTATCTTTATAGAAAAGTCACTGTAGATCATTTGACTCTTCTCGTTCACATTTTTTACAGAGCGTTTCAATCAAATTGTATTTTGTACAGGCCTACATTCTTAGAATACTGTAGGAAGCCAAACCTGTCAGAGCACAAAATACATTAGTAATCCGTGTTACAAATAATGGGTCAACTTTCAAAGAAGGATCAAGCTAAACAAGATTATTTTTTGTTTATGCTGAAAGGTGCTTTTCAGGTAAAGCAAGTGGTTTTTATTTTGATGTGCACCAAAATGAAGTCAGCATCACCACGCTGGACCCAAGTCCTTGTGACAGCCACCCTGCTTCATCCCACTGCTCTCTTCTTGGAAATATTTTTGGCCAGCAGTACGAGCCGATGAAGGGCCACCCTTACCCAGCCAGGGGTCACTTGCACCCCAGTACAGTAGATACTGGTCAGTGAGTAAACGGGGTGTTCACCCACACCAATCCTCACAGTCCAACACACGCTCCCTGACAAAGACTCACCTCGTTGTGCACGCACTTAAAATAGCTTAAGAATACACAGTGCCACCGAACCGGCTGGTGTTCCTTCTTCCCTCCCTCTCTACGCCTTCTGAAAGTTTTTTTAAAATAATCACTTCCCATGCCATTATTTTCTTCACTAAGACATCTGAAGGATCTTACATACAGTTTTCATTTCCACTCATCTGACATGCCTGTTTACTCTTCTTCAGAAACATCTCAACAAACACATTCCTCCTTTGTTATACTATTTTCTTGCCAAAATGTTTAGGGAAAAAAAAAAAATCACTAAGCAAACCACCAAGGCTGGCTCAAGAAACGTGAACTATCTTTTAAATTTTAAAACTGCCAAATTTTAGATATATTTAAAAAAAAAAAAAAAAAACAGGTTTCTGCCTAACAAGCAATGTCATTTTTGGGTGGGGCTAAAGAAGTTACAGTTGTAATGATATCCAAGCCAACACACCCAAATGAACAATGTCTTCCTTACCTTACAAGCTGTACTTAACATGAAGTTTGCATTATATACATTGCTTGCTAAGTAGTCCTTACTCCCCGAGGAACCACAGGGGTTAAACTCACTAACATTTACTTTGAAAAGTATTCTCACACTAAGGACGACCATTTTATTTTAAGAGGTAAAGCTCAGCAAGGAAAGCCAACAGGCCAGTGTCACATAGGAGGTATGCTGCAGAACTGGAACAAATAATCCACGTCTTTTGAATTTCAAGTTCAACACCCTGTGCTCAGAAAAACCTGGTTACTGCTGAAGCTCAACCAAAAACACAAGTTACTTCTTTTTTGTAGTATCACAAAACTACGGACGGGTAATTTGCCAGTCAAATAATCTGCACCTTTACAGAGCAGTGGAATAGTTTTAAACTGTAATACATTCACACAGGAAACAAACCCTGTCCATACCATGGCATCAAAACACCTTTGTAATATTAGAACCACTGTCCCACACAAAAAATAGACATTTTCAAACTGGAAAGTGACTTTGTTTACTACAGTGCTCCATACACACTGCCACCAAAACAGGCCTTTCTCAGTTTCACTACTATAATAAGCCAGGAAATACTTCTTCACAGAGCAGCAGTGCCTGTTCTTGAAAACAAATGTGAAAATCTGGAGGTAAACATGGACTGCTAGCCCTGCCAAAACCCCTCTGCCTTCTCTTGTTGGCCAAAGGCCCTGCCCATGTTTCAGGCTTACTTCGTGAGGGACACCACCGTAACTCTGTACCTGACTACTGTTTCCAGGGGACAGTGGCTTAGCAAATTGTCACCCGGGCCAAATTGTTGCATTCCTCACACAGATAAAACTCTCCGAGCGTTAAAGTACAAAAGAGCCATAAGCAAAGAGAAGCATAACACAGTTCCCAACTTCTGCTTGTCACAGGGTGTCCTCAAATTAAGATTCGGGAGGCCCACTTTCTAAAACAACTAGCACACTAAAACTTTTTCTCTCTCAGAGGGCATGAAAGGTGGTGGAGAACCATTTTGCAAGACGCACTGCAGTAAATGCTAAAGCATCAAGATGCTTTCACATGGCCCTGTGCTCTTCTGAACTAGCCGCGTTTCTGAGATCACGTAGTTAAAAACTGCAGTTGGCAAGCGATTTCCTCACCTGCGCACGCCAAGCGCTGTCACCACACTTTGATGCATTTCAAGGATTCCAATTTAATCAGAGCTCCGACCAATTTGACGTGCACTGAAGTCTGTGCGCAGTACAACTGCCTGACACGCGTGCACAACATCTATCCCTCTCCACGCAGAGCCGTGTCCTACTAATTACTTTGCCCATAGCATATTAATTTCACCTATTTTTACTTCCTTTTTTTTTTTTCCCCTCAACAAAAAGAAGCTTCCCGTGCGGGACTGTCCTATGGGTTTACACAAACAGTGCTGAGAATTCACGCAACCTATTATTAAAACACATACGTGATTCCTATCAACACCCGTCCCTGGAAAAACGACCCAAGCCAATTTGGAAAAGCCCCGGCGCTGCCAGATAACCTGTCAGATACGCCAGGCCGCCCGAAACACAATTCATTCAAGTCGAAGTTGCCTTGCTGGGATTTTCTACTTCGCGTTACCCCTTCCCGCCCGCCCTCCCACCCGGCACACAGAGGCAGCCCCCCGGAGCACCCCACGCCCGCCCGCCTCCATTTTGAGCGGGCGGGGACACCCCACCCGCGGCCGGGCAGCGCGGCGTGGGTCAACCCGCTTCTCTCCCGCGGCTCCGGCTGCACCACCCCCCCCCCCCACGCCCACACACCCCCCACCCCCCCCCACACGCCGTTAACGGGCCTCACGGACGGGCGTGAGGCCTCCCCGTTCCACGCAGGACCCGCGGGCGGCCTCCCGCCGCCCCGCCATGCGCTCCCACACGTGGGTGCGAGGCCGCCGCCGCGGAGCTCCCGCCTCGGCCCTCCCCGGTGCGTGTGTCCGTGTGTGTGTCCCCCCCCCCCCCCCGCTCCCCGCCGCCTTCCCGCCGCCTCCCTCCCTTTGTGCGCGACCGGGCCGAGGCCCCCGCGGGGGCGAGGGGCGGCCCCTCGGCTCCCTCCCGCCCTCCGCCGCCCCGCTCACCCTCCTTCCGCAGCGGCACGCCGGGCTGGCCGCTCCCCTCCTCCCGGCGGTCCCCGGCACCCCCGGCGGAGGCGGCGAAGGGGGGCAGCGGGTTCTTGCGCTCTTTTTGGGATTCCCTGCGCAGCTGCTTGGCCGCGCTCCCGGCGCCGGCGCCCGCCTGGCCCGGGCCGCCGCCGCCGGCCCCGCCGGAGGAGTTGGTCTGAGCGCCCGCCGGGCCGCCGCGGGCCCCGCCGCCCCCTTGGCTCCCGCCGCCGCCGCCGCTCTCTTTCCTCCGGGTCTCGGCCGCCCGCAGCACCTCGAAGGGGTCGGACTCGTCATCAAAGAGCTGGTCGAAGCGGTTGGTGACGACGCAGCCGAAGCCCTCCTGCAGGTGTCCGGGCATGATGGGCCCCCGTCGGCGGGATCCTCCTCCGATGCTGCCGGGCCCCCCCCTGCACCCTGCTCGCTGCCGCACAAGATGGCCGGCCCCGAAGAGACCCGCTTCTCTTCCGGCGCCGGGCACATCCGGGCACCTCACCCCGCGCGGGGCACGACGGGAACACGGGTGTCCCTACACACCCCGCCGCTGCACTACAACTCCCGGCAGCCCCCGCGAGGGCGGCCGCCATTGCGCGGGCCCCCGCCGCCATCCCCTTACAACGCACCCCGGCCGCCTTCCACCTGGAAGGGGTTTGCCGTTGCGGTGACATCAGCCATGACGCCATCAGCCCCCTTTTTTTTTTTTTTTTTTTTTTTTTTTTTTTTTTTTTTTTTCCCCCAAGCGTCTCTGTAAACTCCGAGAGCGTGTGTGTCCGGCGGCAAGGGCGCCATTCGCCCCCGCTGCTCCCCTCAGCAGCCGGGCGCCTTGCGTGTGGCGCAGCTCCTGCCAGGGCGCGGGGTCGCGGTCTGCTCCCCTCCGGTGGAGAAACCGGCCATCCCAAGTTATAGATCAGGGGAATAAAAAGGTGGAAAACAACCAACAGACTTACTAAATTCCACTCTTAAAGTGCAACAAAACACTGGGCTGTATATAGGGCTTGTTTACCCACTGAGCTGTACGTCGGGCTTGTTTAAGGATTAAATAACGCAGGCAGGCTGCAGCAAACTACGGTTTTTAATTAGCTGTTAAGACAGTTTAAGAGCATACTGATACGCCTGAGTGAAAGCATGACCCGGTCATGGATTTATCCTGTCGTACTTGCACGTGTCTGGGTAAGCGCACTAATACACAAAACTACCAGTATCTATCTCCCTCTCTCCTTCTCCATCTCGTTGCCTCGGAGGTTAGAAAGGTGACAGTGGTGAAGATAATCGCCGTGAGTGCTCGAAGTCTCCCGCGCACGGAGGCCGGGCCAGCGTGGACACGATCCTTCTGTCCAGAGATGGGGTTAGCGCAGGGACACGTCGCTCTGCTGAAGGTACAGAGCGGTTCTCCGTTCAAAAACTGAACCCTGCAGTTCTCACGATCGTTAAATTGCTTTGTAAAGCGTGACGCCGAGATAAATGTGCGTGTCACTGAAGGCAACTTCAATAACAGCAGTTACAGAGATTTGCTGCTGTAACCAACTACTGTTTCAAAACCTGGCAGATTTACCTTGATCTTAGTTGTATAATAGTTTCCTACTTTCATTAACATTCCTACCCATCTAATTAGCACATATACACAGAAGACAATATCAAGTGAAGGTGGTAAATATTTGTGGTATTAATTAGTCTTTCCAATTATTTTTATAGCCAGTGGGAATTATATCGAGAGAATAAAACATTTAACTGGCACAGATCTGACATGTCTTTCTAAAACACTATTTCCAGTGCTCACAGTTTATATCTTTAAAGAAGTTGTCAGAACCTTTTGGTACCTGTTAGCATAATTAAGTTTATCCTCAGCAAGGATATTTCTAATACCTGACTTGCCTACCCCGAGAAGTTAGGCCACTTTAAATAATTGCTTTAGAAATGCATTTCATTAAGTTTGCTCAGCTCTTGAATGTGCATTACCCATAAGCTTGACACTCCGCAAACCAACTGGTTTTGAAAAGTAAGTCCAACTTTAGTTTCTTCTACATTAGCTGAAAGTTATTTTGGTGGCACTTATTGTTCTCCATCAGCTTTCCCTGTGGTACCACGGTCACATCTGTTCTGCTGTTCTGTAATCACCATAAATGATATCCTCAGACCTCAAAATATTTTCTTCAAGCAAGCCTTTTGCTTTTGGGTTGAATCAAATGCCACCAAGCAGCACGTAATTAAAACTCTTAGTATTCATGTGGCAGATGTTTTCAGGAAAAGCCTTGAACCCATTTCAGCCGCCCGTCCTGTCACACACACTGAGGCTACATTGCATCACATACATTTTATGAACAAAATGCAGATGTTTTTCACTCAGAGCCGTGACGTGCTGCTTGCCAGATGGCACGGATGGCTTCTTGTTTGTAAGAGGACTTTTGCTCACAGAAACGGAGTTTTCGGTTGCCTATCTTTGGGGCTTGGGATTTTTCACTCGAAGGGAAGTCAGAGCATCTCTCTTTTGCTGCTTTTGCAATGATTGTGCATGTTCAACTTCCCTGTGCAATACTGGAAGCTGACCTATCTTTCATATTCCAAAATTTCCCAACTGCAAATAAGGCATAATAAATATTAGGTCACACCTTGAATTAAACCCACACAAAACAGATTCAAAGTATTCGAATACAAACTGGGAAACTGATCGTTGGGTGAATGCAACTACCAACAACCGGACTCACTCATTCTGTGCAGCAAGAAGCGGGCGTTGCAGGGTGCGCGGTAGGAAGCGCCGGCTCCTCTCGGGGACCATCGTCGCTTTGGCACGCAACCGCCTGCTTGCACGTTGGCGTTTGCAATAAAGAGGCCTGACAGTTAGCCACACGGGTCAAAAGTCCAAACGACAAACGTTGTCCGCTTAATAGGATTCACAGTTTTCAGGGGCTTCTGGCCCTAAGACAACACTTCGGTTCAGCAGAGCCGAAAAGCCTGGCTTCCTGCACCTGGGGAGCTCCAGCGCCGGCTTCACTGGCACCTTGCACTGTGGAGGAGCACTGCTCCTCCCAGGAGCTTGCTTTCCTCCTGGAGCAGTGCTCCTCCAGATCCCTCGCTGGCTTTCTGGAGGAGCATTAGCAGGTGCCTGCCCTGCACCCAGCTGCCTCCTTTCGCAGGGCTTACAAGAAGATAAGGCTTTTCTACTCTGACGGCTTTGCTCGCGCGTTGCTTCCGCGGGAAGCTTGGCCGAAACGCGTCTTCCTAGCGGAACCGCGTTTGTGGACAGAGCCACGGGTAGGAAGGGCCAGGTCAAAACGGGCTCGGCGAGGAAAATCTCTCTCCCAGTTTGGCTTGGGCTGAGGTGCTGCAGGCAAGCGAGGCTGGTGCCCGCTCTCCAGCGCGGCTGGCAGGGGCAGCATCCCGGCCGTGGTGCGGCTTGGGAGAACCGCAGCCGGGCCCTCCCGTGCCCGGCGTCACGGAGAAACGGCCCCGACTCCTGCCCCACTCCTGGGGTTTGCTGACAAACTCTCCGTTGTGCTGGGACGGCGTGTGCCCCAGCTCCTGGCAAGCGTGGCTGCTGCGCGGGGGCATCACACCTCCTCACGTCCCCGGCCAGGCTGGATAAGGACAGAGCCCGAGGGAAGGGCAGACGGCAACGTCTGGGGCTTTGCTACTCCCCGAATGTCAGCAAAATTCCCTGCCAGAGAAACATTCATGCACGCTCAGTGATGCTGAACTGCAATCGATCCTGAGGCCCTGAAACGCAGACAACCGTTGCCTGGGAATTAAATAGCCAAGGACTATTAACTTGGCACTTCTGCTTCTAATCAAGGATGTAACTTTTATATTACGGCTTCCAAATCACTGCAACCCCACAGATGGGTCTCAGGACACTCATCTCGTTAACGCTGCTTGCTGATGCAGTCATTAGACGCTAGCAGACAGCACGGGGCAGGGGGGGGTCATTCAGACACGCGCAGAAGACTTCCAGGAGCTGGCATCAAAGACCGGGCAGGCTGATGCAGTTCTCCTGATTAACAGAGGCTTTCACTGCCGTTTCACGCCGGAGGAAAACCAACATTTCCACCACCCAAAAAGAAGTGGATTGCTGGTGCTATTTGTGGCTGGGACGTGCAGCGCGCCGTGGCCGAAGCCGGCCTATAGATAACCTACCTAAGGAGCCACTCCCGCACTGCTTACCAAAAGAGGCAGGGAGTGCTTTCTGACACGCTACACTCTTATGCTATTTTCAAGCTTTGCCACCAGCTGTCGGCTGCCTGCTTATTAAGCAAGAGTAGGAAATGCAGCAAGTTCAGGGCAGGGGGAGAAGAATTCGTCTGGGTCCTTGCTCCATTCCCAAGATGTGTTTTTTTCCTAATTTTTAACTTAAGAACCTTTATAAATCTGTTTTGTCGGTTTTCTCCAGATGCACGTGTTACTTTGCTGTCAGAATGTACAAGATACGAAGAAGGAGGAGGTTGCTTGGGTTCTCCTGAGACAGATCTTTTCCTAGGCTGTACAAAACACAGTGATTTCTTGTACAGAAGAACATTAGGTTTGCTTCTGAATAAGGGCAAGTACAGCCACGACTTCTGACCAGTAAGAAAAACTTCAGGTATCTCACAGCCATTGTGTGCCACAGAGAAACAGCAACTTCTTACTCAGTTTGTTCTGGCAATTGTTTTCATTGGATTTTCAATTTGCTGCGTGAAGGTACCAACCATCCAAACCACGATGCCCTACAGCCATCACACAGCTTCAGCAGGGGCAGCTTGGAGCGGCGCGTGGCAGATGACCTACTCCTGGCACTTTTTATTAGCAAAACCACCTCAGAGCTGGGGAGTCTGAAGTAGCAGACAGTCAGTGGAAGATAGCAAGCAGACAACCTAAAACTAATTTTTGCGATTACTTTGCATCACGTTGCATTACTAATATAGGTTTTGCATTAATAATTATTACGGCATTACTAATATAATACTAAAGTACTTTGCATTAGCTGAGCGGTACCTAATGCTTGCCGGTGCTTGCTGATCGCAGTGAATACAGCAGGTAGCAAGAGCACAGAGCACTTGTTACCAAGCTGTTCCCATCAGCGCATTCGTGGCACACGGATCCCACGTGAGAAGAGCCAGAATTAAGCAGCCCTGGGCAGGAGGACAGCAGGAATGACCAGTAGAAGCCAGGCAGAGCTCACGAAAAGATACATGATCCGGACCACGCATCTTTATCCTCCCACATATTCTTGCTCATTTCGGCACAGCACTAAATTTTATTTATTTTTTTTTTTTCATGGCAGAAAACCCAGCAGTTTCATTATGAGGCGGGTTGTAAACATGTGAATAACAACAGTGCTTCTACATTAAGTACGTGCATTGAAAAATAAAAAAGCCCAGTACTGCTCTGTGCATTAAAATGTGCAAAAGACGAGTGAAGCAAATCATGCAGACGCAGAACTTTGCTTGTAAATTAAGCCAGACTAATTGAGCCCTGCCTGTCCTTTCTTCCTCTGAATCCTAAGCAACCTGCCAAGCAAGTGTTCTTCCCTAGCAGCAGTCAAGGTAAAAGGTATTTTTAGCCTAGAAAACCAGCACTGGAACTTTACAAACAGGAGGTCAGGTACACCAAACACTGCTTTTATCGCCTCTGTGGGGCTTATTTCTATGAGCTCCTCTCTACCCTCCCCTTGCCCGCGGCTCCGAGGCCCTGGTGCTGTGGAAGGGGGGTGCCGGGAGGAGCTGGGGTGCACGGGAGCCACCTCGGCCGCCGGGACCAAACAGCCCCCTTGGGCCCGACCCCGGAGGAGAGGGGGCTTGGCTGCCTTCCTAATCTGAAAAGATAGAAACGTGAAGCTGCCTTAGCGAAACAGCCAACCGCCAACGTGCAGCGGCGCTGGGGAGACTGGGACGTGCCAAAGGGAAACCCGTTGGGCCAGCCGGTAACTGTCGGGGCAGAAAACTGCTCCTCCCTGCTAACTCAAACTGCCTCCCGCTTCCAGGGGCAGGCTCCCGCCTCGGCTGCCGCTGACACGGCCGCTTTCTGCCTGCTGCCGCCTCCCACGCGCTGCCACCGGCAGCTGGATCAGGGCCCCGAGCTGGCTGGGAAAAAAAAAAAAGCAAAGATGCTAGGTTTTTGTTTGTTTTGTTTTTTTTTTTCTTCCCCCTCCCCGCTTCGTTAATTTTTTTTTTTTTTTTTTTGGGGTTCGCGCCACAGCCCTGTGGCTGGTGGAAAGGGGAATACGTTAAACCACGATTGCAGCTGAGTGCGGGGCGGCCCGTGGTTGCATGTCCCGGTGCTTTCAGCAGCAGTTCCAGTGTCGGGAGTTGTGTTTCCTCCACACCTTCTCCTCCACCTTCAACGGGGCAGCTCAGGCCTCCTGCACCGGGCTCGCTGCTGACGCTGACCCACAGCCACGGTCTGTGGTGCTGGGGGGGGGGGGGTTAGCTGCCCGTGGGGTTACACCACCCCGAGAGGGATTTGGGGACACCCACGGCACATCGAAGGCGCCCGGGAGCCCGGATACCTGCGATCACCCACCCCTGTCCCTGGTCGCAGGGGCTGGGCTGGATGCCGGGTGCTTTAGCTCTGCGCCGCTCCTGCAATCATCCCCTAGAAAACAAAACCAAAGCCTCCTGCAACCCACGGCGTTTCAGAGAAAAGCCGTCGGCGTGGATTTCCGTGCCAGCGAGCAAAACCTGGGGCTGCGTCCCGCCTGGAAGCGTGGGCAGCTGGGGCCGGGCTTGGGCCTCTGTGGTCAAGCATCCCGGTGTTATGTGTTTGCCCAAAGTCCGAGTCCAGAGCCACGCTGTGCAAACGGGACGTGTCTTTGCGGCAAGCTGACTTGCCGCCCCGTATCCAGAATGGACGGACAGTCAAAATCTGGACTGACACCCTCCGTAGGGTGCTGAAAACCCCTGGGGTACAACGGCTAGCCTGCCCCTTGCTGCTGAGGCTGGCCGGGAGAGCTGCGGCCGCCCCCGGTCCCGCGGGGGACGAAGCCGCGTTCGGCAGCGTTCCCTCCAAACCCCGCCAGCACCAAGCCCGACTCCGCGCCGAAAACCAGCCCGTCCTGTTTGCGCACTGGGCTCCGAGGCTGGGCCGGGCTGCTGAGCCGGCGGCTTCGTGCGAGACCGCTCTGAGTCACCGTCTCCGCTCGGGCGCTGGGGCTGGCGGAGAGGAAGCCCTCGCCCTCAGCATCCTCGGCCGGCCCGCTCGCCTTGCTCCCCGGCCAGCGGCTCGGCCTCTCCTTCCCCTCCGCCGGCTGCAGGCTGGCTACCGCCGCTCCGCGGAGCCCCGATTTCAGCCGTCGCACAAATAAAAAGGGCTTTTTTTTTTTTTGTACGACGGAGCGCAACGCAGGGCAGGGACCGAGCGTAGGTTTATTTCGGGGCACGGCCAAAGCAGGGCTAAGTTAAGGAAGACGGCGGCTTCCCGCCCGGCAGCTGCAGGAGAGCAAGGAGCAGGAATGAAATCCGCAAGCCGGCAGCTCGGGCAAGCTCCCCGCCGTGCCAGCAGCTCCCCAGGCTGGTGTCACGGCAGCGTGGGACTGGGCTGGTCTGTCCCGACACACGGGATGGTCCTTCCCGGGGCCCCAAGGGAACCCTCGAGCCTCCAGGCATTCCTGCAACCAAGGAGGACTTCTGGGCTGACGCGGAAACACAGCAATCCAGAAAATTTCTACTGTGACGGGGTGTTATTAAAAAGAAAGCGCGTTTTGTTGCATCCTTGGCTAGAACGATATTGCAGCTGGCTCCCTCCCGGTCTCTCCGAGAGCGCTGCAAAACCCCAGCCCCCAAGAAATCACCAACTTAAGGGGTTAGAAAAGATTCGCTGCCCTAAACCCAGCTCTCCCTCCCTCCGCCAGCAATTTCTAACCGAGACCAGTATAAACCAACCCAGGACCTCTGTCCCGCCGCCCCGTGTGCCCGTTTGCTGGGGGTGCAGAGGCTCCACCGCCCGCAGCTTTCCCGTCCCAGCGACCTGTCCTAAACACGACCCAGCCCTTCTCCTTGGTTTTTCTTACTTGTGCCTGCAGATGCATTTAAAATAAACCCGACCCGGGCTCGGTGCCCGAGCCAAGCCCTCCCTGCCAGCAGCCCAGCCCGGGAGCACCCTGCGTGGCTGTTTGCAAATGGGGCAGGGCCCCCAGCTCCCCTCGCCCTGCCTGGTTCTCCCTGCCTGCTTTTCCTTGCCTGCTTCAATTCCGGGAGGAGCGGAGCCTTGCAGGACCCCCGGAGAAGGAGGACAGGTCCATGGGGGGGGTCCGTGGCACACGGGGTGACTTTATCGCTGGCTCCCCGGCGCACCACCGTCAGCTGAAGCTCTTATTTACTCTGCTGTTTGATTCAAGCTCTGCTCACGCTGCCACGAGGCCAAGAAAAAAAGCTTTGGCAAGAGGCCCCGTGCACTCTGCACCCCCAAATCCTCCTCTCGTGGGTGCCCTTGCCCGGTGCTGGCCCCCACCCCACAGCAATGAGCACCCAGGGACCGGCTGCTGCTCCTCCGTGGTCCACGCTGCCCCCGTCCCCTGGGCATGGCCTGAAGCAGGCAGGGGGTCTGCAGGGTGCTGACCCCCCCCCTTCCCCCCCGACGTGTCCCCCCGGAGCAGCCTGTTGCACCCAGGGTCTTGCACCCCAGGGTGGCTTTGCAGCGAGGCGGGGGGGTGGTGCAGCCTCCGGGCTCCTGGCAGGGGACAGAGGCCGTGGGCCCAGCCGTGGGGCTGGGGCTCCCAGCTGTGGGGGCTGGGACAGAGTGGGGGATGAGCCTCCGTGGGACCCCCCACGCACACCGGCCTGTCTCATCCCCACAGACCGCTCCTGGCGAGACGCCATTGCTTCGCTTTTTGCATTTCTGGGCATTTCACTGATTTTTTTTTTTTTTTTTTTTTTTTTTTCCATGGGCAGAGCTGGGTTTTGGGGTCACCCTGCCCTCCCACCCAGAGGAGGGTAAAGGGGAGAGTAATTTAATGCTTTCAGAGACCCACAGTCCTTATGCAAAGCAAGCACCAGCAATGCCTGAGGGGGTTAATTAGCACCAATTTTAGCTCTTCCTTGAGAGGCAGAAATACCCCTGTAAGGAAACACAACTCCCCTGTATCGGGCAGGGAGAAGCGGAGCCATCCCTCATCCGCAACGCCAGGTTTGCTGCACGGGCATTGCTGCATCCCCCTCTGCCCAAAAAATCCACGGCAATGCCGGCGTGGTGTAAGCGCGTGGAAGGCATCGCCTCCTCCACCAGCTCCATGTCAGGCTGGGGCAATTAGCCGGAGCCATTAATGCTGATGCTGTCAGTCGCTAATGAGGTAGGTGTTCCCAGAAGGCGAGCAGGACGGGTGCGGGGAGTCTCTGGGTGCTGGCAGCGAGCCGCGGAGGACGTCGGCACCGGTCAACGTGCAGGTCCTGGGCGCTCTCGGACCACGCTTGGCCCTACCTGCTGCGGCTGCAGGCTCACCCGGGTGGGGAAATACAGGGAAAGCAAGATCAAACGCACCAAAAGCAGGTCACAGAACTGCCTCTGCTGCAGCCGGGCAAAACAACTACTCATTAGGGTGATTACAGGCAGAGGAACTACCCCAGCTCCCTGCTAACGAGCACCTGACCCGAGCAGGTCTCTGCAGCCCAAACAAGCCCCCGGGGCTGTTGTTCCATGTTCAGCTCTGTGGCAGCTTTGGAGGTTTCCCCAGTGCTCAGGCTTGGCCCAGTTCCTCACCCCACGAAGGGTCTTATGAGCCCACCAGTGTCGGGGCCCCCAGTCCCCTCTGTGCCTCCTCAGGCTTCGGTTCTCCATCGCACACGATCGTTAGAGGCATCGGCCTCGGAAACACCTAAGGAGGATGCGCGCTTGCTCAGGATGCGATCCGAGAGGTCCTGAGCACCCTCAGCTCCTGCCAGGGCAGTGCAACCCTTCCTGGGCACCCATCCTGCCTGGCTCCTGTGGCAGGAGTCCCCTCGGCCACCAGCAACGTGTGGGCATGTCCCACCACCTTGGGCAAAAGATGTAGCAAGACCCCCGGCACCTCCCCACGGCGCTGGGCTTAACCCGGCGCGCTCGGTTGTCCGCATCGCATCGCTCACTGCCTCTCCCAGCTTCACGCTCCGAGGAGGCCCTTCCTGAGGTGAAGGGGCTGTTCATGGAGGAGGTCCAGTCTGCAGTGGAGGTCCTGACGTGGCAGAGGTCCTACTTGTGACGGAGGTCCCGTTCATGGTGGAGGCCCTGTTTGCGATGGAGGTCCCGTTCGTGGTGGAGGTCCTACTTGTGGCAGAGGTTCTGTTCATGGTGGAGGTCCCATTCATGGTGGAGGTCCCACTTGTGGCAGAAGCTCTGCTCATGGTGGAGGTCCCGTTCGTGGTGGAGGTCCCGTTCACGATGGAGGTCCTACTTGTGGCAGAGGTTCTGTTCATGGTGGAGGTCCCATTCATGGTGGAGGTCCCATTCATGGTGGAGGTCCCACTTGTGGCAGAAGCTCTGCTCATGGTGGAGCTCTTGTTCATGGCAGAGGTCCCACTTGTGGCAGAAACTGCTCGTGGTGGAGGTCCCGTTCACGGCGGAGGTCCTGTTTGCAATGGAGGTCCCACTTGTGGCAGAGGTTCTGTTCATGGTGGAGGTCCCATTCATGGTGGAGGTCCCACCTGTGGCAGAAGCTCTGCTTGTGGTGGCGGTCCCGTTCGTGGTGGAGGTCCTGTTCATGATGGAGGTCCTACTTGTGGCAGAGGTTCTGTTCATGGTGGAGGTCCCACTTGTGGCAGAAGCTCTGCTTGTGGTGGCGGTCCCGTTCGTGGTGGAGGTCCCATTCACGAGGGAGGTCCTACTTGTGGTAGAGGTTCTGTTCATGGTGGAGGTCCCATCTGTGGCAGAAGCTCTGCTCGTGGTGGAGGTCCCGTTCGTGGCAGAGGTCCTGTTTGCAATGGAGGTGGAGGTCCCACTTGTGGCAGAGGTTCTGTTCATGGTGGAGGTCCCATTCATGGTGGAGGTCCCACCTGTGGCAGAAGCTCTACTCGTGGTGGAGGTCCCGTTCGTGGTGGAGGTCCCATTCACGATGGAGGTCCTACTTGTGGCAGAGGTTCTGTTCATGGTGGAGGTCCCACTTATGACAGAAGCTCTGCTCGTGGTGGAGGTCCCGTTCATGGCGGAGGCCCTGTTTGCAATGGAGGTCCTACTTGTGGCAGAGGTTCTGTTCATGGTGGAGGTCCCACTTGTGGCAGAAACTGCTCGTGGCAGAGGTCCCATTCACAGTGGAGGTCCTGTTTGCAATGGAGGTCCCACTTGTGGCAGAATCTCTGTTCATGGTGGAGGTCCCATTCATGGTGGAGGTCCCACCTGTGGCAGAAGCTCTGCTCGTGGTGGCGGTCCCGTTCGTGGTGGAGGTCCCACTTGTGGCAGAGGTTCTGTTCACAGCAGCATGGGGCAGGTCCCCAGCACAGAGGGGACACCCCACCATGACACAGCTTGTGGAACCACAGACATCACTAAGACTCTGGAGGACTGTAGAAAGAATCAGACCAAGACACTATTTCCCTGGTTGGAAAAAAACAAAACAAAACAAAACAACGGAATAAAAATAGTCCCAAAATAGTGGTAGTTTTGTGCAGCTTGCAGCAAGGGGCCAGACTCTGGTGATGAAGGGCCGTGGAGCCACCCTGCTTGCTCCAGCCACCAGCCCTCCCCACACAGCCGGGACTTGGCTGGACCGAGCGTGGCCGCATCCCCGCCGCACCCGCCTGGGAAAACAGAAGGGAGAAAAAGAAAAAAAAAAAAGGGGGGGGGATTTGTGTGCACCGTGGGCAAGTGCCGCCTCGCCAATCGCTCCGAGCGCCTGTGAGGAAAGCGCCGAAGAACAAAGTGTTGTTGCCGTGCTGCCTGCAACGCGGGCGGCTGCGTGGGGAGCAGCACCCCCCCAGCCCTGGCAACCCCCCCTCTGCCGCCTCCGTCAGCCCTGACCCCCCTAAGGCAGGGATCCCGCCCACCGGGGCTCCTCACAGTCGTGCAACCTCTTCCCGGAGGAAATTCGGTGGTCAGGGGGGCCCTTTGGGTCACAGCTCCCCTTTTTCCAGCAGTTTAGACCCAAGCCCCCTCCCCATCCCCTGAGCAGCCGCCCAGAGCATCCCCCTTCACCCCCCGGGGACGCCGTCCCGCGGCCGCTCCGCGCTGCCAGCCCCCCCCCCCAGCATCCTGGGAACCAGCTGGGAGACAGAAAGGGCCAGACCCAAAATGGGTAAACTGGGATGCACACCCCAAGCTGCCCCCCCCCCCCCCCCCCCCGGAGCCCCCGGGGTGCCTCAGCTGCAGAGACGCCGCATTTCCTCCATCCGGCTCTTCTCCAAGCCACGCACACCCAGCGACGTTGCTGCAGCCCCTGGAAAAGCCCAGGCTCAAAAAAGAAATCAAAAATTGTGAAAACTCAGTGTTTGCCCAGCTGCAAAGGAGGAGGGAGCCGCACAGTGCAAACAGTAACACCAACACTAAAAAGGGCTTTACCTGAATGTGTGCAGGAGGGGTGATCACGACACGAGGAACTGCAAATCAGTCTGAGAAAAACGTCTCCTGCCTGGAGACTGCTCCTGAGCAGAAATCGAAGCAAAAAAATCCTCAAGTTAATTAAAAAGTGCTATCAGCTCCCATAATACATGAAAATAAAACCAGCACGGCTTGCTGCTACCGCTCTGGACTGGCCTCTGTAAGCGTCGCTGGCTCTGCCAGTGGCTGCAGAACGGGGCTGATCTGCTAGCAGACTGCTTCAGGACGAGGGGATCCTCCAGCACCAGGGACCTGTGGCAGGAATACTGGATTTCTTTAAAAGCGTATTAAAAAAAAATAAAGGGTGTAAAAGTGTATTAAAAAAAAAAAAAAGTGTATATATAATATATATATATATATAAAAACAAACGTACACCATTCATTAGAAAAGTATGCATATTAAAAAAAAATAATGTATATTTTCTTTAAAAAAATTACCTTTTTTTGTTCAATGTTAAAGGGTTGGCCTGAAAGTTGCTGTTCCAGGCCCTCTGCCCCATCCCTGCCGCAGCCCCGGGCGTTCCTGGCTGCCCGCGCTTTTCCCCGGGACAGGCTCACGAGTTTGGGGCTATTTAATGTTTTTTGTTTTTTTTTTTTCTTACAACCCCAGCTCCTGGCTTGACGTGATGGTATGAAGATGGGCTCCGGGGGCGGGGGGGGGGGGTCCCCCACTGCTCCCAAAATACCACCGGCGGGCTGAGCCCTCACCACCAGCTCTCCCAGCAGCAGCGCAGGGTTTGCTGGTGGGAAAGAAACGACTCCTCGGTGTCCTTATAACGCAGCTGGCTGAGACTGGCAGGACTCAAAACTCCCTTAACGAGTGCTAATTAGCTGTCAGCTCTGCAGCCGCCCTGTTCGAAAGCGCTGCGCGGAGTTTTTCGGGGGTGGGACGGGCGAGCATCCTCCACGGCAGCAGCCGGGGGCTCTCGGTGCGCTCCCCAGCTCCGCGAAACGTTCCGCTTCCATCGCCGGGCAGGGTCCGTGGGGACAGACCCCCCGCCCCGTGTCCCCTGTGTGTGTGTGTGTGTGTCCCCCCCAGAACCTCTGCAGGAAGCGCGGGCAGCTCCTGGTCCCCTTTGCCGGCTGGGACGCGGGCGCCGCGGTGGTACCACGTATCCCCGGTGACACCAAAAAAGTGGGGATCCCCCCCCCCCCCCAACCCTGCTCCTGCCCCCCAGGACATTGCTGCTCCATGAAGCAGCTCCCTGCAGATCCCCCCTCGGGGAATTGGGGGATCCCAGCCTGCGGCCCCCTCCCCCCGGGGAGGGGGTTCAGCACAGGGCAGTGGGGTGCAGGCAGCACCCGCAGGGACCCGGGCTGGGGTCACCGGCCTCACCCCCCCCCCCCCCCCCCCCGCCCAAAATGCAGGTCAGCCCCAGGACAGAGACAACAGGCTGGATTTTTCTGTCGCGACATGTCGCACCGCCGGCTTTTTTGTTTGTTTTGGTTTTGTTTTGTTTTGTTTTTTTTTTTTACTGCAAAATTGCTTTTTTAAAAAATTATGCTTTTTAAATTTTTTTTTTTTTTTTTTTTTCCCCGACGGGGGCGGCCGCCAGGCGGGGCTGGAGAGGCGGCGGCCGCCCGCGCCCGCGCAGGGACCCGCACCCACTCGGGAACCCGCGTCTGCATCCACACCCACGCAGGGACCCGCACCCACCCAGGGACACATGTCTGCATCCGGACCCACTCCCTCAATCCCACCCACTCAGGAACCCACTCCCTCATCCTCACCCATGCATCGTCCCGCACCCACTCAGGGACCCGTGTCCGCATCCCCACCCACTCAGGGACCTGCTCCCTCATCCCCACCCACTCAGGGACCTGTATCTTCATCCCCACCCGCGCAGGGACCGGCAGGATCAGGCCGGGTTTCGGCAGCAGACCCGTCTCGCCGCTTTGCAAAGAAACAGCTATTTTTATTTTATTTTTTATTTTTATTTTTATTTTTATTTTTATTTTTATTTTTATTTTTATTTTTATTTTTATTTTTATTTTTATTTTTAATTATTCTTTTTTTTTTTTTTTTTTCCCCGGGGGCCTCTGCTGCCGCAGGGACTGGGATGCTGCCGCGATGCAAATCAGCTAATTGGCAGCCACAGGCACCATTAATTACCGGAGCAGTTTTTTGGCACCGCCGCTGGCAGAAGCGCTTTGCTGCCCTGCGAGGCGCCGGGCGCTGCCTGGGCGAAGGGGCTCCCTGCCAGCACAGGGCAAAACTGTCCTTCAAAACTTTGCCAGAGTCCTTGAAAAGAAGATTCCTGTGTTTCTAACCTTTGTGTACCTTTTTAAAATCTGCTTTTAAATAAACCCCGTGCTTCGGTTAGATATTTATTTAGATCTACCGCGACAGTCGTTTCTGCAGTGACCATCTGCGCTTCGAGACCCCTTTTTATTTCTAAACGCCGCCCGGCGCTTTACAGGAGACAAAATGAAACGAAATGAATGTAAACTCCTACCCTGTCCCCAAATGACCTCCCGGGGAAGGTGACTGCGGCTAACGGGGTGAACAAAACCAGTTCTCTGCTGCCCTGTAACTGGGAAAGAGGGGGGGGGTGGTGTTTGGCACCGGGGGCTTTCCTGCAGGTACGTGAAGCATCCCCACGGGGAGCAGGACTGGGGGGGCTCCCGCAGCGATTTGACACGACCCCCCCACCACCACCACCATTTCCCTGCGGGGAAAACGCGCGGGGCCGGAGCGTGTTGGCTCAGACAAATGCCACTCGTGTGCTATTTTAGGCTTCCCGGGCGGTTATTCAACGGGATAAAGTTTGGGTTTGCCTTTTAGTGCGGGTTTATCTGGGGAGCGGCGAGGGGGGGGTCCCAGCTCCCGGACTTTGCCCGGCGCTGCCCGGGCTCCGGCTCGGGGCCAGGCAGGAAAACTCACGCTGCACCGAGTGAGAAAAACTCCTTCCTCACCCAGCTCGTGTTCCCCACTTGCAAAATTCCTGCTGTCCCCAAATCCCTGGGTCCCTACAATGAAAATTCAACCCCCAGGGGAGCAAAAACACCCCCCAAGTTGAGGGGCACGGCCGGCAGCACCCCGCCGGGCCTCAGCGTTTTCTCCAGCGCCCCAGCCCCACGCAACCTTCCCCACAGCTCCAGCTAAAAGCTTTTTCTTTTTCCTCGCACCACCCAAAAGCTGCCCAAAGCACACGCAGCACCCGGCCCCCTCACCGGTCCCTGCGCACCCCTAAACATCATTTTCTTAGTGTGTGGGGGGGTGCAGCTGGGACGCGGCCGCCGATGGGGCGGGTGAAAACATCTGCTGCTGGGAAACGGGTCCTTTATTTCGTGCCAAACCCCAGCGTGCCGCAGCCCGTGGGACCCGAATCCCTCGCAGCGAGGCCTCGGCACCGCAGGGGGACAGCAGGGATGTGCTGAGCGCCCCCAAACCGGGCTGGGATAAATGCACCCCAGACCCCCCTGCACCCCCAGATCCCTGCCTTTGGGTCACACCACACACACCCCCCCCCCAGCTCAGGAGCCCGCAGCCAGGCCCTGCTGTGCAAAGCGACAGCATTATCTTGAACGGGGGGGTGGGGGGTGTGGGGTGTGTCCTGCACCCCAACTTTTTGTCCTCGCTCGCCGTTTCCACCTCGGCCGATGGAAGCCGGGGCTGTGAGGATGATCTGATTTCGCTGGCGCTGCATGAAACGCCCCGTTTGGCTTAAATATCAAATCCCCAGCACCCCTTTCTTCCTGAGCCCGCACCCGCTCTTCCGGGGCCGGGATTTGGGATTTGGGGGGACCGTCGGCCCCCAGCCACCTACATCTGCACAACCCGAGCGCCCTGCGCGCTCCCGGGCACCGGCCAGAGTCGCACCCCGAATGCCCGCAGGGATTGCTTCAGCTGAACCCCACTTTTATTTCCATCAGGATGGAGAAACTCCTCCGAAGAAAACAGGGGGAAAACAGTTTTTTGGACGCCCTGTGCCCACGTTGGGAGGTGTGCCTGCTTGCTCTTCCCTAAACTCCAATTGCTGTCTTTGCTTTTTTTGCCGATTTTGGTGCCTTTAGAGCCCCTAGCCCTGCCACAGCCAGGCTCAGCCCGGAGTGGGGTGCAGGATGTGTCCGTGGCTCCATCCCACGTCCCCCCCACACCTCTGCCCTTGCTTTGCTGCCGGTGCTCTCCGGGGACACGTTGCTCCGTGCCCGAGCAAGGAGCGTGCACCGATGGTGCACGGGGAAACGGGGTCCTGCAGACCTGGGGCAAGGCCGGGCTCCTGCTCCCGTTCTGCTCTGCAAGGAGGCAAAGCCGAGCACGCTGAGGTTTGCTGAGTGTCAGAGGCTGGGGGGGGGCTGCTCCCGCAGGGGTCAGGGCAGAGCAGGCAGGGGTAGAATCATCAGACTCAGAATCACAGAACCACAGGCTGGTTTGGGTTGGAGGGACCTCAAAGCCCCCCCAGTGCCCCTCCCTGCCCCGGGCAGGGCCCCCTTCCCCCAGCCCAGGGGGCTCCCAGCCCCGTCCAACCTGGCCTTGAACCCTTCCAGGGAGGGGGCACCCACAGCTGCTCTGGGCACCCGGGGCCAGCGCCTCACCCCCCGCACAGGGAACAATTTCTGCCTTAGATCTCATCTAAATCTGCCCTTTTTCAGTGCAAAACCATCCCCCCTCGTCCTACCCCCACCCCCTGACCCAGAGTCCCTCCCCCCCTTTCCTGTCCCCCCTTTAAGCCCTGGGAGGCCGCTCGAAGGGCTCCCCGGAGCCTTCTCTTCTCCAGGCTGAACCCCCCAACTCTCTCAGCCCGGCCCCCCAGGGGAGCTGCTCCAGCCCCCCCAGCATCTCCGTGGCCTCCTCTGGCCCCGCTCGAGCAGCTCCGTGTCCTTCTGCTGTTGGGGGCCCCCGAGCTGGCCCCAGCACTGCAGGGGGGTCTCCCCAGAGCGGAGCAGAGGGGGAGAATCCCCTCCCTGGCCCTGCTGCCCCCCCTGCTCTGGCTGCAGCCCAGGGCACGGGGGGGTTCTGGGCTGCCAGCGCACGGGGCTGCCTCACGGGCAGTTTTCCCCCCACCAAAACCCCCCAGTCCCTCTCCTTGGGGCTGCTCTCCAGCCCCTCCCTGCCCAGCCTGGGTCTGTGCTGGGGATTGCCCCGACCCACGGGCAGGCTCTTGCACTTGGCCTTGTTACACTCCATGATGTTCACACGGTCCCCCCTCCCCAGCCTGCCCAGGTCCCCCTGGATGCCACCCCTGCCCTCCCCCGTGTCCCCCACCACACAGCTCGGTGTTGTGGGTGAATGTGCATCGATCCCACTCCCTGCATCCCAACAAAGATATTAAACTTCCCAGCCCAGGCAGGTGAAACGTGGGTGCTGCTGGGGACAGCGGGACCAGGCGGGGCACTGGGGTGGGCTCAGCACCACGGGACTGGGTCCCGCCGGGAAAACGCAGTGACTGTTGGATGAGAGGCCCCCCCGGGGAATGTGCAAGCTGGCGTCTGCTTTGCAAACGCGATCTGTGCCCTTGTCATCCAGCAGATTGAAGGGGGGGGGGGGACGGGGAGTGAAAATGCTCGCCCGGAGCGCGCGGCCCCGCTGCGGGAGCAGGGCTGGGGGTGCCGCGCTGCTCCGCCGCGAGCTGCTGCAACGTCACGGCCCGGGGGTCAGCGGAGCTGCCGAAAAGTCCCACGTGGGACAGCGACAAGGCAGGGGACCGAGGGAGAGGATGGGGACACCGCTGAAAACGGGGCCACACCAGCATGGGGACGGCACGGAGCCCAGCGAAAAGGGGGCTGAAAGGCCCCCCGGCACTGCGCTGCGGGGGTCACGGGGCACCAGCAGTAGCCAAGCCCACCCAGTGGGTAGCCCACCCGGGAAGGGGCTTGGCTGGCTGCCGGCCCCTTTGGCAGGGCCGGGGCTTAGTCACCTCTCGCCGACACCGTTTGATGTTTGATCTCAGTCCCAAAAACTTCAACAACTTGGCCCCCTTAGGTGCAGGAAACATGTCTCTGGCTGGCTGAGAACGTCCTCCCGCAGCGGCAGCTCCCACCGAACCGCGGGCAGGACTCGAGTGGGCATCTCCTATATCCCTGCTCCAGTGCTCTCCAAGCTGCCTCGAACCACCAAGCAGTAAAATCCCCCAGCCCCCGAGAACATTCGGGGCCGAGGGTCTGCCAGTGTGGGAGGGGGGAAGAGCTGAACCCCCTTGGCTGAGCCCCACACAGCTCCTGGGTCCCGTCCCCCCCCCGCCCCATCTCCGTGATGCTGAGCGCGGAGGGGATTGCAGGCATCAGCCTGGTGAATTATGAAAGTCAGGATTAAAGGGGGAAGGGAGGGGGACAAAACACCCCAACCGCTTTTTGGCAGGCGATGAAAGAAAGGTTCAGCAGCAGCTGCCGGCCGGGAGCCGGCGGAGGGACAACTGCGGGTCCAGCTCCATCCCGGGCTCCCCAGGACAGCAGCCACGGCGCATCCCCCAGCAAAGCCACTTTCTTTCTCCTTGCTGCAAAGCAGGAGGGATCCGTGTGCCTCCTGGGCATCCTTGCTGCTTTTCTGGGCAAAGGGAGGGAAGGAAAGCTGCCCCCAGCCAGGAAACCTGCGGGGAAAATGAAGTTTTAGAGCACTGCCTGCCGTCATAACCAGCACGGGTCAGGGAGCTGCTGCTACCGAGCAGAGAAAAAAGAGGCTTCAGCTGCTTTTCAGTTGCCTTCGAGACAGATTTAGCCCGGTGGCCGGCCACAGATGGGGCTGCGTGGCCAGCCCGCCTGTGAGATACAATCTGAGATCTCACAGTGAAGCCGGAGATTTTAGTTGCTAATAGAGATACGGCAAATTAACCGAACTTAATTCGGAGGGTCACCGCACAATGCTTCCACCTGTTTGGCTGCGGTCCTGCCATCTGCCACCCCTCTACCTGATGCAAAAGAGGCTTTTTTCCCCTTTCTCCCGATGCCGTGGGCTTCGTTAAGCCGTGTCGTGTCTCATCAGGGCTGCAGTGGCAGGACAATGGGCAGCGAGAGCCGAGCTGAGGGAACATATGCAAACTTTTGGAAGCTTTCCTTGCCGTAGCCAACGCAATCGAGGAGCTACTTAAATGGCTCTCTCTATGTTCTGCTGCAGAAAATGGTTTCATATCCAGATCTTCTTTTCCAAATGGCTAATTAAGTGATTCTGCTCTGCATCGCTCAGCCGCACTCACCGGCACGCCGCACCACGCTTCAGCAAACACCGCCTTGGGAAACGGCTGCTGCTGTTTACGAGCCGAAGGAAAACACCAGCGCGAGCAAACTTTTAAAAGCACGGGCTGCCAAAAGCTCCGCGAGGGACCACCAAGGGTCCTGTCTGCAGCCCCAGTCCACCCGAGCCAGTGGGACCCTGCCAGCCTGGGTTGGGCAAGCGTTTTGGCACCCGCCGCGGGAGGACGGGGGGTTTTTTCGGGGGGGACAGCTGAGAAAGGGTGATCTTTGACACAGCTCCCATTCGAAGAAATCCTCCCCGGAGGTCTCCCAGGCTGAGCCGGGCCATATGGCAGCGAAAGTAAGTTCCCGGAGAAACCCCCAAGTTCAACCCCGCACTTGGAAACCCCGCAGAGGGGCCGGCGAGGGCGAGATGCTGCCCCTGGCAGCCAGCTGGCCCCGGGGGGGGGGGGGAGCTGGGGGAGCAGGACTCCTCCACTGGGCTCGAACACCCGCGGTTTAGCTAAGTCAGCATCAGAAGAGCAAGCTCGAGGGTTGCTTCACCGTCGAGGCGGCGGAGGAGAGGCCGGCACGGGATCGGGGATATTTGCAGGGGGGGGAAGCGCTGGGAGCGTGGTTTGCAATGCAAATGCCACCAGCCAAGGCACTGTGTCTGCTGAGGCCAGCGTGCCGGGGCTCCGGGGCAGGAGATGCCCCCCCCACCCCCCCCCCCGAAACGCCACTGTCCCCACCAGCTCCCCCAAAATGACACCGTCCCTGCCAGCTCCCATGTAATGCCACCATCCCCGCCAGCCCCCTTGAAATGCCACTGTCCCCGCCAGCTCCCCTAAAATGCCACCAGCCCCACCAGCCCCCCCGCCACTGTCCTTGCCAGCTCCTCCAAAATATCAGCACATCCACCAGCTCCCCCGAAATGCCACCGTCCCCACCAACTCCCCCAAAAATGCCACCGTCCCTGCCAGCCCCCTTGAAATGTCACCCTCCCTACCAGCTCCCCCAAAAATGCCAGCGTCCCTGCCAGCCCTCTTGAAATGCCACTGTCCCCACCAGCTCCCCCAAAAATGCCACTGCCCCCACCAGCTCCCCCAAAAATGCCACTGTCCCCACCAGCCCCCTTGAAATATTACCGTCCTCGCCAGCTCCCCCAAAAATGCCACTGTCCCCACCAGCTCCCCCAAAAACGCCACTGCCTCTGCCAGCTCCCCCCAAAATGCCACCATTCCCACCAGCCCCCCTACCAGCATACCGGAGGAGGCCAGAGCTGCTGGTGCTGCCTCCAAATTTTGGGGTTTCTCCACAGGACACCTTACCTCTCCCAGCCAGCGAGGCTGGAAGGGAAACTCATCGTTTGCTACATGCAGAGAATGTGTTTTAAGACTCTGCTGCCTCATTTTCCCCCTCTGGGTCCAACACCAGCATCCTGAATACTACGAGAGGTGGTGGAGCAGCCTCTAAAGCCAGGCGTGGGGTAACCCCCCACCGTGCAGGGCGAGGAGCCAAATCAAACCCAACGAATGGCAAGAAAAAAAGAAACCACGTCCCAGGAGACGCGAAAACCGGCGAAGGAAACGGAGGGGACGGCGGCAGGCGATGCCGGCCGCTGGTGGGCAAACGCCACATCACAGGGCTCCGCCAGCACCCAGCCTAGGAAAAGAAATTAAGGAAGCCATTTAAACTGAAAGAGGGGAGATTTAGGTGAGATCTAAGGCAGAAATTGTTCCCTGTGGGGGGGGTGAGGCGCTGGCCCCGGGTGCCCAGAGCAGCTGTGGCTGCCCCCTCCCTGGAAGGGTTCAAGGCCAGGTTGGACGGGGCTGGGAGCCCCCTGGGCTGGGGGAAGGGGGCCCTGCCTGGGGGGGGCACTGGGGAGGCTTTGAGGTCCCTTCCCCCCTCCCCTCCCCCCCCCCCAAACTTTTCTACGGGTTTACGAGGATTTAAAACGACGCGTTGGCTGCGCGCAGGCGCTGCCCGCCCCGCCCCTCTCCCAGGCCACGCCCCTCCCCGCCCTCCATCCAATCAGCGGCCGCCGGCCCGTCCGTTCCCGCGGCCGGTAACCGAGGCGCGGAGAGGGGGAAGAGCAGGGCGACGGCGGGGAGAGGACGGGGGGGGGCGTGCCCTCATTTGCATGAACCAATGGGGCGGCGGGGATGCAAATGAGGGCGGCGCGGGTTGGCCGGGCGCGGGTGGGATAACGCCCGCGGGGCGCCTTTGTCCGGGCAGAGGCGGCGGCGCGGAGCGATCGTGAGCGGGTTCGGCTCGAATCGGCTCGGTTCGGCTGGGCTCGGCTCGAATCGGCTCGGTTCGGCTGGGCTCGGCTCGGCTCGGCCCGGCCCGGCCCCACTATGACTTTTGCGGAGCTGCCTGGGGACCACGGCACGGCCGGGAGGTAAGGTACGGGGGTACGGGGGGGTACGGGGGGGTACGGGGGGTGCCGGCCCCCGGGGCGCGGCGGGGTGGGGGGGGGATGTGTTGGCGGCGGCACGTCTGTCCTTCTCCCGGCCGCAGGATGGAGCAGGCGGGGGACGCGCTGGAAGAGGTGCTGAGCAAGGCGCTGAGCCAGCGGAGCCTCACCCTCGGTGTCTACGAGGCCGCCAAGCTGCTCAATGTGTGAGTGACACCCCCAAAAAAAAAAAAAATAATCTCGGTGCGTGTGTGTGTGCGCCCCTAAACGGGGTCCGTGGTGTCCCCCCACGCAGGGACCCGGACAACGTGGTGCTGTGCTTGCTGGCGGCTGACGAGGAGGAGGCGGGGGACGCGGCGCTGCAGATCCACTTCACCTTAATCCAGGCTTTTTGCTGCGAAAACGACATCAACATCCTGCGGGTCAGTAACCCGGCCCGGCTGGCCCAGCTCCTGCTCCCGGCCACCGGCCCCGAGCCACCCACCGACCTCCACTGCGTCCTCGTCACGGTGAGCCGGGGCTAGGGGGGTGGGGGGGGGCACCCACGACACCCACGACACCCACGACACCCCACCCCGGGGCTCCCCGCAGCGTCACGCCGGGATTCCACGCCCCTTTGCACCCCGGTGAGGATGAGGAGCCCCCCCCCAGCTCCCGAGGGGTCGGGGTGCTGCTGCGGGGCGGGGGGGGGGGGGCACCCCCCGGGAGCAGGCGGGGGCCTGGCAGGGCGCAACTCGCCTCGCCAGTAAAGCGATGATGAGGACGCGGAGCGCGTCTTTTATCCGGCAAAGCCTGGAATTGAGCGTAATTGCCAAATGTCACTCGGTAAAACCGGAACTGCCATCGCTCGGGGCGCGCGCCCGCGGCCGGCGAGCCGCACACGGGACCTCCCAAGGCCCTGTGAAACTTTTCTCCCTTTATTTTGAATTTTTTGAATTTATTTTCCCATTTTTTTTCCTGGAGTCCAAAGCTGCAAAACTCCTCGCACAGCTCTCTAGTTGCTTTGTTTGTTTGCCTTAGTGGCAATTTAAGATGATTCACTCCCCTGGCTTTTCTGCTGTGCTTTTTTTTTTTTTCTTTCTTTTTTTTTTTTTTTGCTGCTGTGTGGGGGTTGTTTTTGCTTTGTTAAAGCACTCCCCCCTCCCCTCTCTTTCCAGAACCCCCATGCCTCGCAGTGGAAGGATCCAGCGCTGAGTCAGCTCATGTGCTTTTGCCGGGAGAGTCGCTACATGGATCAGTGGGTGCCAGTGATTAACCTCCCCGAGCGGTGACCGCGCCGGGCGCCGAACGAACTGAACCCAATTGCACTGAAGTTTTGCAATACTTTAGCAGTTGCTCAGGAAGTAACTCCCTGCCCTGGATTACGGGAGGGGGAGGGAAAAAAATAATACTAATAATAAATTTAAAAAAAAAAAAAAAATTTAAAAAAAAAAAAAATCTCAACCTGATGTCAAGGGGGGTAGGCTGGAGTTGAGCCACACGCCATGTGGGACTGAAGAACAGCGACTGGGAAGCGCTGGGGCTGAGCGGGGCGGCGAAGGGGAGCGCAGCGCCCGCCCTGCCGCAGGAGCGAGCCTTGCCCGGCGTGCCGGGGTGCTGCCTCGCGCCGACACCCTTGGCCGTGGCTTGGTTTTCTTCTTGTCAAAGTGCCACTTAACAGTTTCTGGTTTAAATACCTTTTAAAGAGCAGGAAAAAAAAAAAAAAAAAAAAAAGGTTAATCGAAGCATTTTACAAACCGTTTTATTGTATTTTTGGGATGTTAATTCTCAAGTTTTTATGCTAAGATATATAATAAGTTATTTTATGATATGATATTGATGAAAAAATTATTTATAGGCGGAGGTTTGAGAACCAGGACGCCCTTAAGCAGTTGGTCTGCAACCACACATCTTGTAACAGTTGGCTGTTAAAAGCAGCTGCATTAATATAATTGTTTGAAATTGGATAGTGTTTTGTTTTTTGGGTTTTTGGGTTTGTGTCTTTTTTTTTTTTCTTTTTTTTGAAATAAAGGTTTAAAGTCAAACCCTTGGTCCTGGCTTTTATTTTCTTAACCCGTTCATTAGTGTACAGTCAAAAGGGCTCATTTGGCAGCTGCTTCCTTGTCCTGGCCACGGGCAAGGTCCTGTTGCGCTGGTCTGGTGTGGGTTTATTCCTAGCCCCTCCCAAGCCATTAAATGAAAGAGCAGCTGATGTGCTGCAGGAAATGTTGGAAATATTTTTATTTTTTTGAACGCTACCACTTAATAGAGTTTAAAAAAAAAAAAAAAAGAAGAGGAAGTATTATTTTAGAGGCTCCAACATTCCTGTAGAGCCTGAGTTGGCGTGGAAGGTGGGGAAACCTGATTCCTCGTAGGAGGAAAACTTGACCTGCTGTTTCCTTTCCCAGGACAGCGTCTGCCCGAGTGCTGCACCGGTGCAAAACCTCCTGGGTTTGTTCCTTGTGCCCCCCTGGGCTTAGGGGGCTTCTATCCTGGGGGGCTCCTCTTTTAATTCCGTAGCTAGGAAAGCCAGACTCCCCGAGGCAGAAACCTCACCCAGGCCCTGAGAGAGCAGGAAAACAGCCTCCCACCCACCCAAGGATGCGGGACGAGGCCACCCGTCCCCATCCCGTGTTGGGGGGGGTGCAGGGACACGTCACCCACCCCACAGCACCCTCCCCGGGGCCATGCGGCGGGAGCCCACGGATGGCATGCACCCGGGGGAAAACCGTGGGGCTTCCAGCAAGGAGGTTGGGCTCACGAGAGCTGCAGAAAAAGGGGATTTTTTTTTTTTTTTTTCTGTTATTTTTAGCTTCATTATTAGGCCAATACAAAAGCAAACACACCCCGAGTTGATCCGCTGGCTGTTGCCCCTGTGCACACGTATTTAAAAATCCTCTTTCTGTCGCATGTTACTTTAGCAGCACGAATGCCAGATATTGAGGAGAAAGTTGAACCACGCCTGACCATAAACACACACAAATCCAGCTCTGGGGATCTCTTACCCTCCTCTGCCGTCGGACACCAGACACGCTGTGGCTCTTTCCTAAACCCGTAACAGAGGGCACGTGGATCGATCGCCGTTTCGGAATCACAATTCATTACAAATATTTGCAATTTCACCCAGTTCTACCTTGAGCAGAACCCCCAGTTCCTCCCAGTGCCTCCCCCCAGCTCCTGTCCCCACTCTACAAACTGCCTGGGGGTCACCCTGGAGGGACATGGCCCAGCGTCTGCCCACGCACCCAAACACTCTTTTTTTTTTTTTCCCCCCCCAAAACACACAGCAACAGGGAAGGGCTGGTCCCCACATGGCCACGTGCCAAGATCTCCCAAAACCACCCAGAAACGGGTCCCAGGGGGCAAAGCTGGACTGGTGCCCAGCAGCACCCACCCACTGAGGAAGCACCGGAGCTGGGAAAGGTGGGAAGGGCGAACAACACGTACCGGGAAGGACGTTAATTCCGATAACGAGCCAAAAAGGAGGAGAAAGTGGCAGATGTCTTCAGGTTGCAGAGCGGGGCCTGGAGAGCTGGAGTTGAGATCCTGGCTCTGCCCTCCCGTCGCTGCACCCCCATTTAATCAGGCACTGGTTTGGGGTTTAATTGCACTGGAGCCTCAAAATAGAAAAGCGGTGAGAGCGACAAGTTTCAACAAATCTGATCATTTTTTGGCAATGTGCGGCGTGAGGAGGGGCCTGGCCGGGATGGCCCCGGGGAGGGACCCTGGATGGAGCTTTGGGGAGGGGGATGATGGCCCCAGGGAGGGACCCTGGATGGAGTTTTGGGGAGGGGGATGATGGCCCCGGGGAGGGACCCTGGATGGAGTTTTGGGGAGGGGGATGATGGCCCCGCGCCTGGCATGCTGAGGGAAGCTGAAAGAGGGATGGGTCAGGATTGCCTGGAGACAAAGGGTGGGGGGAAAAGTAATTTAAAAAAAAAAAAAAAAATAAATTTACCCACAACAGAGCCAAGGCTTTACCAAGGGTCTTTAATAAATCTAAAATTTCATTATTTTTTTAACTGAAGAACACCCAGTCTGTGTCACTGCTCCGGGGCCGAGATGCCCGGCAGCTCCCGGCCCTGCCGCAGTGCTCAACCCGACATCCCCCCACGCGCAGCAGAGCTGTGAGCAGATGGTGTGAAATCTCCTTTTTCTTCCCCCCTTTTAGCCCCGTCGTTTGACACGAACAGGTCCTACCCGAGGCGAGATTTAAAACGCGACCAGCAAACGCGTTTGGGGGGCTGGGTGGGCGCACGCGGTCAGGGGGTACCGACCCCCCCACCCCCTTCCCACGGAGGAAACACCCAGCGAGTCCAACCCTCGCAGCTCACCAGCTCCTGGAGGCCAAGGAAAACGCACATTGAGCAGAAAAAAGCAGAAATATTTTAACAAGAGGCTGTTTTAGCAGCAGTCGGGCCTCCGAGCCACCAAGCAGCCCTTCTCCCTTTAATGCCACACAGCATTCAAGAGTCAAATTAGAAAATACACAGAAAACCCACAAATAACAAGCTGGCTTCTTAATTAATGGGGAAAAAAAAATAAGTAAAAGAATAAATACCCATTCTGGAGTGGTATTGGGTTCACCTGATATAAAAAAGAGGGGTGCCACATCTCCGTGCCGCCCTACCACGCCGCCTCTGCGGGCTTTCCCCCAGCAGCTGTGGATGCAGATGGTCTCATTTCTCCTTTTTCATTCTACTACAGCAGGGTCCGTGTTTCCCCCGAACTTTACAATTCCTGTTCTTTCACAGGAGTATTTATAGCAAAAGAGCAAAGTGCAAATGTCACCGCCCGAGCTTTTGCATGCCTCTATATATTGCGTTTAAAAAATAAAGAGTTTACCAAAAATCTATACGTTACACGCTGTCAGAAGCTGGCAGTTGCGTGGTGCTGAGCTAGCTGATGATCTCAGGTCTTCTACCTAAAACTGAGAAAGCACCTGAAAAAAACCCAAAAGCTGGCATGGTGCTTTTTAACCCTACACCTCTGATCACCGACGCGATCCTGGCCACCTGCAATCAATCCTTTTGTTCTCTAGGGTGTGTAAGCCAACCGTGAAATAGATGCTGGCATAATTCTTGCACCCGAGCCACAAGGATGTCAAAATTGCAGGGAAAAAGTTGAAAAATACACTTAACTCGGCCGCGGGGCTGGGACAGAGCCATGGCCACAGCCGGGGCGCGCTCGGCCTCGGCCTGACAAATGCCGGGGGGTTTGTAGGAGAGGAGGGAGGGAGCGAGCCCGAGGGACGTGCCAGCAGCTCTTTATTAGAAAAACAGAGAGTTAAGCACCACGATGGACACGGCGTGACGGGTGGGAATGACGGGAGGGGGCCAAGCCCCGGCCCCCACACCTGGATCGCCACCCCGTCCCTGCTGCAGGCTTTGTTTGAGGGCAGACACTCGAGAAAGCAAGCCTTTTTTTTTTTTTTTTTTTTTTGGAGGGGGAGCAGGGTGCTCTAACAAAATAAACCCACAGATTACTGTGGGGACAACAGATTGACAGAACAGTATTCAGGCAGTGACATGAGGTTATTTATCCCCCCCGCGTACCTGCCTGCAGGGCTGGAGTTCTCTCAGCAGTTACAGTTTTGCACACCCAAACTAAGTTCGTTAGCTATTTTTAACAAGATGTGCTATAAAATGACAGACATAACCACAGTAAAAAAAAAATAAAATAGTGTGGATCTACATTATTGTTTTTTAAACTGTCACTAGAAAAATACTCTAATTATAAAAATAATTTGTGGGTAAGCACAGAATAAGCAGTACAATCTTCCGTCAGTCTTACATGTCAATTTTTGAACTGTTTGTTAAAGCTTGTTAAACAAATATGTAATTTCTCAATATATATCAATAGTGTGTATATAATTTAATATAGAAATAACAAGTAGGCAAAGTAAGACAGTAAATTACAAGTGGTTAATTAATGCTGGAAATATCATTACAGAAACGCAGAGTTGTGGCAAATCTCAACTTCAAGCTCTGGAGCACCGGCTACAGGGAAAGACATCTGCAGCCAGCTGAAGGCAGTATTATTTTCAATCTCTTCAGAGTTTTCTGTTAATATGCACCGTTTGTATAAATACACTCTTAAAGTTTTATATATATATACACATATACACACACACACAGAGAAAGACATTTTTATTATGTATATATAAAATCACTTACTTGATGGAAAGGCCCTCCAATTTTATCTGCACAACCACAATCTGGATATAATTTGGCATTTTTCCCCCTTTAAAAATTAATTTTAAAAAGAGTCCAACTCTGACTCCCTGCACAAAATGTAACTGGGACTTTGGGTGACAGAACCATGCCTCCAGCTCAGCACGAGGCCAGGGCAGAACTAGCTCGCAGCCTTTGATTCTTCTGACAGGGCTTTTTTATACCAACACAGATTTTTAATTAGGGAAGAAAATGCAGAGGAGCAGAATCGGTGCTGAAAATTCAGCTTTTTCAACTCCTCTTAAAAAGCAGGAAAATAAATTTGCAGATCTCTGATTCTTGATGCTTCAGGTTTTACACTTAAAAACCCCCCTGTCCCGAGAAGCCGACGTAAGGAAGGCTGCAGGTGTGGCTCCCTGGAGTTCACCAGCAGCTGCTACAATCATTTTTTCAAGGTAGCTTTTGCTAGATAATGCACTTCTAAATGCATCTGTGCAGAAACACATGCTACCAACACAGGTACGCCCCCCCCCCCCACCCCCTCCCTGCATACATAATTAAAAAAACCCCAATAAATGTAAACCCAATGGTGTTTAATCAGGTTGCTACACCTTTGCCTCTGCTCTGTCAGCGGAGCTCGGGCAACTTTGGTCTTGTTTGTGTAAATTGAAAAGCGAAGCCGACCCCGGCCCTGCAGAGGCCCAGGTCCCCGCTCGCCCTGCCCGTCCCAGCGCAGCGGGCAGAGACCCCATCCCCTCGGGCAAGAAAGAAGTTAATTCAGTTTGAAACCTCGCTTCCTAATAAAGAGAGGGAAGAGAAGAAATGCTCGGGAAAGCTTAAGAAATCGTTTCTACGCTTGGTAAAAGGGCGGCCGCTCTGCCGCAGCGAAGAGCGGGTACCTTAGGAGTATCTGCCTGCACGCCCGCCGGCGGCTGCTTTGCCCGGGGGGGCTGCGGAGGAGCTGCCGCTCTCCTACAGCAAAACACAGGTTTTCTTGTCCTTGAAAGGGTTCTCAGAAGCGGGGATGCCCATTAGCAACGGGTCTTTCTTGGCGTGTTCTTCACAGTAGAGCATTAGGTCTGCTGATGCTTTTGACACCTGTAGAAGACAAGGGGGGGAAAAAAAAAAAATCCCCATTAATTTGGTATTTCCCGTGGTAAGGTGATCAAACACGCTGAGAGCTGCTGCTGGGTACAAAGGTTCTGCGGGGGGGTGGGTGAGGTGCTTGGGGGGGTCTCTGGGGCCCCGTCTCCTGCCCAGACGTGCTGCCAGGGGCTCGCTCCGGCTTTGCCCGCGGGGGGAGAAAAGGGTGAACCCCCGTGCTCGTGGTGGCACCAGGCAAAAGAACCGCCTGGCTCCTGCACGGCTTCTACAGAAGGCTAAAAATAAACGGGAGAAGGTTCAAAATAAGGCAGTAGGTTCGTAATGAGGAACCTCTCATCTATACGGATGGGGACAGTAAACAGAAGTGGCCTCAGGTGACACTTTTGGGAACGCTGCGCAGGGTCCCTGACCCCGTTGCCCGAGGAAGGGCACACAAATCTGGACGGTTGTCCTGCTGGCCTTCAAACAGTTGGGTTTCCTTTCTGCCTTAAGTTAAAGGAATGCAGTTTCTGCTACCCTTCCCCCCTTTTTTTTTTTTTTTTTTTTTTTTAATATAGATAATGTCCCTGCACATTCACCTTCCTTGCAGATGTAGCATTCAGCCAGGCAAAGGCCGAAACAAAAATCACACGATATGCACGAAACTGGAAACGCACACCTGCCTTCTGTTTCACACACTGCATTTGCGCTTCGTATTTTGCTTTAGTTCTCCTGTAAATCCACAAAGCACTCGGGGATACCGCTGGTGAGCAGCCACAAGAATTCATTTATTCAGATTCGCTGGGGTGAAGTGTGAATGGCACGTTTCGAGGTGGGGAAAATACTGAACTGTGGGCACTCACACACACACACTCCATTCTCTTATCGCCCTACAGCTGGAAGGGGGAAAAAAGGAGGAACAAAGGAGGGGTGAAGAAAGATGTGCTCTCACCTTTATCCTTTCTATTGAGGCTTCTATTCTTAACTGCTGGACGGTCCTTCGGGCCTGAGCTATGTTGTTGGTCGTGCTAGCTGTTTTGCCAGACATTTTCAGCGAAGCGGTGAAGTTCTGTTTTGAAAGACAGCAGGTCAGTTTTCCAGAAGGTGGCACAGCACGTTAAACTGCTTTTACACAGAGAGGCAACCACGACGCGCTGCAAAAGGTGCTTTTTAAAATTATTATTATTTTGCACAACTGGAGTTGTCAGCTGAGAAGCAGCTCAGCCAATGATGCTCTGCGACCAAAACACCCTCTGGAAAAAACGCACTGAGCTCTCGTGCATCCTATTGCTTCACTTTTCCCCCGTGTTAACAGGCAATAAGGGTTTATTGATTTGTGCTTTTCCCAAGCTGGAAGGTGGCCAGCACTGGATGGATCCTGCTGCAAGGGAAGGGACAGTCACCCCAGGCAGGGCCAGGGGGAGCCGAGCTGCCGCCTGCCTGCCTGAGTGCTGGGGATGAAGAGAGTCCCCTCCTCTCCCTCTTGCAGGGAGGGGAATTTCACGGCCGCTCCTGCCCCTCCACTGAGCCCACTGCAGCGAGGACGAGCAGAGGCACAGATGCATCTCTAGCCGGGCTGAGTTTCAGGTCTGCAGCAGCCCCAGGGCGCGTCAGAGGAAAAGGAAAACACGAAGGCAGAGTTGGGAAACGCGCTCCTGGCTGCTGTCTGCTCCCATCTGGCCATATATGGTGGGGTGGTGGATAAAAAAAACCCGACAAAACCAAGCAGCTCCGGGACTTTCCTCCTCCGGGTAAGAATGCAAAGCAACAACCCTGACACGGGGCTGGCATTTGGATGGTGTCCAGCAAGGAGGGAGGATGCTCTCTGCCAGGCTCAGCCGGCCGGTCCAACACAATCCCAGCACAGCTTTTGCAGCTTGCCCCCCCTCCGCCCCCCCCCCCCCCCCCCCCCCCAATTTGCACCCCCCATAGGGTGCCCACAAGCAGCATGAGGCTCCCAGGGATGCCCAGCCCATGCTGGGATGCCACACGCTTCCCTGCGAGTCGGACCAAGGAAGAAGACATGCTCCCAACCCCGAAGAGCGAACCGGGGTTGTATCCAGACGAAACAGCCCGTGTGCCAGCTCTGACCCCAGAGCAGGTCCGAGAGGACGGGCAGCACCAGTAAAGAGTTACAGGTCAGCCTGGCTGGTGCTGGCCCTGCCGTCCCCGTGCAGCTTTACCCTGCAACAAAGACCCCAAGGAGGTTCCTTCCTCACGTCCACACAAGCACACTTCAAGGCCAGCACTTCACGGGCATTTACACCGCTCGGGATTTGGAGGTCTTAACCCACCCGTGGTCCCGGAAACCCTCAGCTCCTCCAGCTGTACCCAACCTCACATGGTGTGCTGGGGCCTGCCCTGGCTTACTGGGCCACCACGTGCCATCCCTTTGCCAGTGCCACACTGAAGGCCACCCTGTCCCATCTCCCCCCAGCACCCTTTCTGCTGCCTGCCCCCCCCCCGTCGCTTCTCCTCCCACGACGCTGGAAGGAAACTGCCCGTGCACGGAGTGGCAGGAGGGCTGAGGACCAGACAGCATCACATTCAAAAGAATATCCCTACGGGCAGCACAGCAGCAAAGAGCTTATTGCTAAATTATTCAGGTACCCAGGAGTTCAAAGAGCAGCTGGTTCAGGACAGCCCTAGCCTGTGAAACTGTCCTTTCTGTGCCAATCCTTGCATGCAATCTCTAGCAGGACCGTGCACAAACACTGCCGTTTGCTTTCCACAGATCCACGAGAATTACTGGCTCCCTGTCGCTGTGCTTAAATCATTTATTGCATTACAGGGACTCGAGTCCAGTGTAGCTACATGTGACCTTTCCAAGCGCTGAGGAGAGCATTTGCTTGCGGGCTTCAGCCTGGGTAGCAGGGCTGTTTTTCCAGTCGGTGCCTATGCCAGCTAGTTGGCAACAGCGTTATTTTGCACCGAGTCCCTGTTTTGGCACACGCCGCCGTTTCTAGGCTGCTCAGCAGGGGCCCAGATTTTCAAAATTTTTCTCTCCCTCTGCAGACACCAGCCCTGGGTTGGAAGTTCCCCCCCGCGGCGCGTGTCGGGCCATTGCAGCCCGCGCCGGCGGGCAGCACCCACGGCAGGCGTGGGGTGCCCACAAAACGCTGCCGTACACCCCCCAGCTCCCCTCCCACAGCGGCGCAGGCACCCATGGGTGCTTTCTGCCAGCTGGGAACCCTGTACAGCCGCCATGGGAGCGGCGCGGGGATGCTGTCATAGCCTCCTGCTCCCGCTCGGGTAGGAGGGACCTCCATAATTCATATTATATCACTAAAAACCCATTTCCTGAAACAACCATCAAGAACATACTCGTGAATGTCTCCAATCTGCAGGAATCAGAGTGGCCATGTAACAGCCCACATTTAGCTTGCTGGCCTACTTTCCCAGTAACTCTTTGCATCTGGGAGGAGGAGATGACAAGCACGAAACCCAGAACCAGATTAAATGCTGCGTATGCTCCAAATGACCGATTTCAGGGCAAATCCCAGGTCTTGTGTAATTTTAGAACCCTGAAACACGTGTGCCAGTTTAGAGATCACAGCTCTGAGCGAGGAGCCCTGCAGCAGGCGAGGCATGGGCCGTTTCAGGGACATGCTGCATGTTACCTTCCACTTCTCTAAATATTTCCAGCCAGAAATATTTAGAGTTTTTTTCTCTGTACGCAGCTACCAGGAGTAAAGCTGCAGCAAAGTCGAGGAAATCTGAGCAGAGATGCCCGTGACATGGAGGCCAGGGAAGCTGGGCTGGCGGCACACGCTGCCGGCTGACTCACTCGGGCTGTGCAGGAGGACAGCCTGAAAACTGTGGTTGCTTCCCCTCCGCAACAGCCAGACCAGTCCACCCGCTGCCCCAGACCACCACCAGCCCCTCATCGCCCCCAAATTCCCCCCCAAAGCTCCCGCTGTGCTCCCGAGAGGTCACCCACAGGCCAAGTTGCACACGATTCACGGCTTACCGCCCACGGAAGGTAATTCATGGGGAATTTTAAAAAGCCAACAGGATTTTTTTCCTCTGCGAAGCAGCATCCCCTCCGTGGCATTGCCTTAACCGAAGGCACAGGCGCTCGTCCTCACTCGGCACCCACTGCCCTCGGTGCTGCATTCAGAGCAGCACAAGGAAATGAGCCAGGACCACCTACACGAAAGCAGCTCGCCCCTCCAGCCCTGCAGGCCTCTCCCAGCCCTCATTTAATCCACGCAAAACGAGGCAGGAGGTGACAAATCCGAACCACGAGCCGGCGCAGGGTGGCTGAGACGCAGCCGGCAGCACCGGGCGCGAAACCCCCCCAGCTCCCAGGAACAGGCACTGGTTTTGTCCAAACTGGGGCTCCCGTCTCCCAGTGCTGTCGGCTACTCACTGGGAACGGTGGAGGGTACAGAGTTTTGGGAGTGTTGTTTGCTCAGGGGAGGTGTGAGGTCTTGGCATGCTTTGGCTGCGAGGAGGAGAGTTAAGATGCACAGGAGTCTGAAATACCCTCTGTATCGACATCACGACTCAACCTCACGCTGATTACCCCAGAGCCACCAAATTACAGTCAAATTATCGCTAATCACGGAGCTGCAACATACCACAAGTACACCACACATGCGCCCTGAATTACTAACATTACTCAAACATTAAAATGCATTTTGATGGCACGTTTAGTGATTCAATCTGCAAGTTATTCAAGAGAAGGAATGCTGAGTGACACAGCATGAACACCTTTGTTTGGAAGCAGCTGTAAATTTGTTCGTAAAGGTTTAATATTCAGACATTTTGCTTTCTTGCTGGGAAAAGGCAAGCCACTGGGAACATGTTTGTCATTGTAAAGCGATGACGGGAGGTGCATGTTGAACGCGTGTCATGTTATTTGTAAAATACAAAGTGAATACTCTCTGGAATCCAAGGCAAAGGCTGTGGTGCATTAACCAGCCCCGAGGGAAGCCCTGCAGTGCCGTGACTCAGACACGAAGGCCTCTTCCATTCCAAGTCAGCGAGGGCCAACTCAACGCGCCGCGGAGGCTCACACCAGGCAACGCGGGAACGCTCTGCGTGCTTCACCGCAGACACAAAAGCAGAATTTTGTAAAGCCAGGAGAATTACCTCGCCTGCTGAGGGACGGGCCGTGGTTTAGATGATGGGAATTGGCGGGGTCAGGGGCACAGCCAGGGCTTGGTGCCCCAGAGCGGGGGAGCTGCTGCCGGGACCCTGACCTCCAGCAGCCAGAAGGACCAAGCTGGAGCTCCAGGGACTCTCGACAGCAGCACCCGAGCCAGAGCAAGCGTAAGCTCCCCTGGGAAGCCTGCCCCATGATTTTGCCGTGCTGTCGACCAAGTGAACGGAGCCAGGAGACCTGCACACCGGGGCTGCCCCAAGAGCTGTAACTTCAGAGCTGATGGATAACGCAAGCAGGCTGCCCTCCACAGAACCATCTAAAAGAGCATTTAGAAACGCAACAGGAGACTCCTGTTATTGGGGCATTTAACCTTATAATTTGAGGAATTTAATTATTGAAAAGCTAACTGTTATGCTAGAGTTCCTAGAAAGGAAGTTTAAAAGGACATAGGTTTTTGTGGGTTTTGATCAATGCTTCCTGCCTTTGCTGGTGTGCCATGAGAAACGGGAAGAGGAACGGCTGCTCTGCTGCCACAGCCCCCTTCCAACACACAAAACCAGCACCTCGGCCCTATTCTGCTCAAAGCCATTAATACATTCAAGCCCAAGTTTTGAGACTCCTTCCCACTGAAAGCAATTCATTGCAATAGGAAACTACCAGACCGAGGACTTTGCCGGATCTGGGTTTCGTCACCTAATCCTGGTGCTCGCTGAGACCAAACAGCTGCAGGGTCCAACCGGGACTTCTGCTCAACATGTAAGTGAGGATTAACTCATTTGGAAATGGTAACGGGCTCAGCCTTGCAGGCAGTGCCTTCCCCTGCCCCCCCCAGCACAGCCCCCAGGGCTGCCCGCTGCTCTAACTCCCACCCTGGCACCCAACACGGGGTTGCAGACCGTGCACCCAGGTAGGAAACGCCGTGCCTAGGTGCCCGAAGCAAGGCAGGGCTCACCAAAACC